GCAATCCCGAAGGCTGATATAGCCGTGTATATGACCCCTGAGGCAGTGGTTACCCACCATGCTACCACGTTGAAGATGCCAACCGTGTAGGCGGCAAAGTTCTTTGAGAACTGTGGGGCAACGATATATGTGAAATGGTATTGACCCTGCGCGTTTGGTGAGTTTGCCGTCACCGGAATAACCCCTATATCGTGATACGAGTGCTATCAAGAGACTTACACCAGAAGAGGGAAGGGCAGAGCACAATTCAGCCAGCCCGAGAAGGACAATCCACTGAACTGCCGAGGCGATCATTAAGCCAAAAACAGCAGTTTGGCCACCCCCGTAACCGAGGGCCATCCCAAAGCAGGCAGCATAGGAAAGCCACGAATTAATGATGCTAGAAACGGTTATTGCCTTCTTCTCATATTGCATAACAGTTTGGTTTACCTATAGGCCAAGCCAATTGCTCCAGCCCAGGAAAATGATCGTTCTAGCTCAGCCACATGGCCCTGGGCCCTCAGGACAGCATCGTCCAGGTCATACACCTCACCGAAACCTTTCCCATCCTCTCTGGAGGACGGAATGTGTTTTCCATCTGATTCAACTGAGTCTGACATGGTGATTTAGGCTGTTCCCTCAGGGTTGTACATACACGGATGAAGGAAAGGGAAATGAGTATGGAGACTCCGTAGGCAGATAACACACATATATATGCAATACTAAACGCCACTCGAACTTAGACCCGGCGGCGTACAAGGACTAGCAGCGCCCTTGCTTCCGGATGAGCGGACAACGGATAAGCACCTCCGGGGAGATTAGACGGGTCCATGACTATAGTATCTCCTTGCATAGTGCTGTGCAACACGTCCTATACCTTTGAGCGCGGAGTAAGGAAACAACTGCCAATCAGAAACATATGGAGTATCTGCAAGATAGACTAAGAAGGGCTAAGAAGGCTGGCGAGTGCGGGGAAATGATGTTGAGCGAGTCGCGACTCCAGCTTGGTGGGTACCCTTCTGCCCTAGATTGACTTTATCAGCTCACTTGCTAGATAGGGACAAGATATACACCCTCGATAAGAGTCACTGCACACCGTATTCGGCAACTCTTATAGATTCTATGTGGATTTGATTCACCTTTCCGTATGGTTGCAGAGAGCAGAGGTATTATCACACGTATTATAGCCCCGTCCGTGATACTAGCAGCAGTATTTGATTCGAGGGGAAACGGATACTTGATAAGGGTGCCTGTAGCATAATGACGTAGTTCGGACACTTATCCTAAGCCCTGGCAGAGAATATGAGACTTAACAGATCATCAATGAGAGGAATGCTGAAGTCAATTACTGGTTCATGTGTCATCCGAGCTTTGTCGCGGTAGGGATGTTAGTTGCAATATATACTCGCGTTCAAGCCAAGAAGCTTTGATTTAACATGGATATGTGGTCTGATCTATCAAACTTTGCTTTAATGTCATATGTGACATGGTCGTATGATTTTATACCCAGCTAGGCATTCGTTAGATACTCTCAGCAAGTAGGAATTGTAAGTACTGTTCATTATAACAATATCACTCTGCGAGAGGACGGATCATACCAAGTGAGTAAGACGCGATAGCAAAATCCAATACGGATAAATTCAGAAATAGCATATGAAAGACTTAACACGGACTTCAATTTTCAATTGTACACAGCTAATCACGAACATAAACGCCACAAAAAAGGTCACAGCTTTGCGCGGGCCGCCAAAGCCTCCTCTACGAGGTTCACAGCAGCTTGAGCGCAGCCATAAGATGACTGATATCCAGCTCCTCCAGCACCGTAGTTGTGTACCACCCAAGTGTCTCCTATACGTTCCTTCTCGATTCTTGTCCCATTCTCCCGCACAGGTCTCAGGCCCACGCCGTGTCGAATGATATCCAGGTGCTCGATTCCCTTCCCATCCGTAAGTTGAGGACACATTTTGACAGCGCGCTTCATGATGCGCACGGCAAGATTGGGATCCGCCTGCGATTCCCAATTCCCCAACTGATACGAGCCGCCCAGGATTGTACCACCGCCAGCAGCGCGCGTCATGACATAGCATGCTTCACCATCGCCGTCGTCAGTACCGGAGACATCCAGCATCTTACCAGCGTCATTTCTGACTATCACGATCTGTCCACGAGCAGGTACAACAGTTTTATCTTCAACTCCACCCAGTTTGGAAGCCATAAGACCTGTACAGTTCACGATGAGGTCGACTTTGTGTTCCAGGTTAACCGACAGGGAGGCTGCGTCCAAGATATGGTTGAAAACAGCTCGCTTGAATACAACTCCATTTTTAAGACACTGAGAAACGAGCCAGGGAAGATATATAGCGGTGTTGATGCAGACGGACGTAAAGACTGTTGCAGAGTCAAAGCCAGGGCCATGTCGACTTTTGGGAAGAGCGCGAAACTAATCGATTTAGCGTGCGTGAGATTTGGACAACTTCGAACCAATACGCGAAAGTAGTACGTACGTTTGGAACAACGTCCTTGAACCACGGGCTCGGTGACAAAAGCTCTCCAAACCATTTTGCGGTAGTCGTACCAACATCTTTCGAACGGCTGTGTATTTCGCATTCTGCATTACTGTTAGTGGCAAGTCGCGAAACGAATTCTTTCTCGTTTACCTTGGAAGTGTATCCCGGCATCAGGGTGATTGCGTGCTAGATCCTCTAACGCCGTCCATGTGGACTTGTCCCAGTCTGCTGCCTTGGTGCCACGAGTCGACATACTAAGTGTGGCCTTGGTGAGCAATAGGCAGGACATTTCTGGTTTCGATTCGACTCACGGCATATAGTTCGCACCAGCCCACGGGGAAGCATATTCAATGTCGTAATCTCCAGGCATATGTTTCGCCGCAACGACTATCTTGTATCCTGGAAGCCTCGAGAGGAGAAGGGCCGTCGTAAGGCCCGCCACTCCGGCACTGAGATCAGGTATAGGAGTTAGACATAGCTGTGGCAGCCAGTACGCAGCATGCGGTTTGAAGGTCCCTCACCCGATAACAACCACATTCCTTTGTTCCATTGCGCTACTGTCTTGAAAAGCGATATCAACTTAGATAGTTTGCTGATTGAGGCCTTGGGAAATCAATATATAGTCCCAGCCTTCCAGTAGGAACGAACAACACCAGTTCCCGCCAGGGCTGGTACGATAGTAAAGTACCAAAACAAGTATACCAATACTCCAGTTCACTCCGCAAGCATATTGCCTTCTCCCAAATGTGCTGCCAAGAGGGAAATAGTTCCGTGTCTCTTACCAGGCTTGGAAATCATACATAATCGTTCAATCATCCGGAATAAACTCAGTTTCCTCTTTGGGCAAGTTACCGGGTCTGGTCAAAGCGCGACGGCTATCACTTGCGTAAGTCCAGATCTTTGGTAATGAGAAGCCCGACTTTGCCGTTCTCAGATAGCTTGTTCTCCATATACTTAAAGACAGTGCTCTATCTAGACATGTACCCAGAATTCAAGCCAATCTTTCCCTCTACTTCGTCTACAGTTCCACCCAAATCCCCAACTTCACAATGGCCTCCATGCAAAAGGTCTTCGCCGGCTATGCCGCACGCCAGGCTGTCCTTGAGGCGAGCAACAACCCCTACGCAAAGGGCATCGCCTGGATAGAAGGCGAATACGTCCCGCTCGCCGAGGCCCGCATCCCGCTCCTCGACCAAGGCTTCATGCACAGCGATCTGACCTACGACGTGCCATCCGTTTGGGACGGGCGCTTCTTCCGCCTCGACGACCATCTCACCCGACTCGAAGTGAGCTGCGAAAAGCTGCGTCTGAAGGTACCTCTGCCCCGCGAAGAGGTCAAGCGGGTCCTGGTCGACATGGTCGCCAAGAGTGGCATTCGCGATGCCTTCGTGGAGCTGATCGTCACCCGAGGTCTGAAGGGCGTGCGCGGCACCAGGCCCGAGGATATCGTGAACAGCCTGTATATGTTTATTCAGCCCTACGTTTGGGTCATGGAGCCCGAGGTGCAGCCCACGGGTGGTAGCGCTATTATCGCACGGACGGTGCGACGAGTTCCCCCCGGCGCTATCGATCCTACAATCAAGAACTTGCAGTGGGGAGACCTGGTTCGGGGTATGTTTGAGGCGTCGGATCGGGGTGCTACGTATCCGTTTTTGACGGACGGCGATGCTCATCTCACGGAGGGGTCTGGGTTCAACATTGTCCTGGTCAAGGATGGCGTCTTGTATACCCCTGACCGTGGTGTATTGCAGGGAATCACGCGCAAGAGTGTGTTTGATGCTGCGCGAGCCTGTGGGATTGAGGTGCGTCTTGAATTCGTGCCGGTGGAGCTGGCATACAATGCCGATGAGATTTTCATGTCCACTACCGCGGGAGGTATTATGCCCATCACCTCTCTGGATGGGAAGCCGGTGAATGGAGGCCAGGTTGGTCCAGTTACCAAGGCAATCTGGGATACGTATTGGGCTATGCACTATGACCCGACCTACAGCTTCCAGATTGACTATGATGGTGCTCAGAAAGCTGGTGTGAACGGGTTTGGGAAGCTGTGAATCTTTCTCAGCTTCTACAGAGATATGGACTTTTATGTTTTGTTCATTTTTCCTATGTTATGATCGATGAATCGCCGAATATGTATGTGTTAAACTAAATACGATAGCCATTCTAAACCTTGCTCCGTGACTCGACTACATCTTGTATTGAGCATCGCCAACTATTTGACGCATTTCCACGAATGTGGGAAATAATTATATATATGGGGAAGAACTCGCTGAAATCAATCAAGTTCCCTCGTCCCTACATCCGCTCCGCTTGAAGAGACGAGTGAAATCACCTATAGTACTGCCTTCTGCGTCTCTCTGTCTCTCTCTATATATATTGGAAACGATCTCAAATACCGAATTGATGGTATGGCAATTTAGACCTGTGTAGACAACATAGCACATAAGTTTAATCCTAGTTCTAAACTAGTACAAGTCTCTAGATAGTTATCATGTCTTCTATCAAATTGCCCTTCTACACCTTTCTAGACTCCAACTCATCATATATCATCTTCTCCACCTCCTCCATGCATCCCAACACCTGGAGATCTAGAGATATAACCGTTAGCCAGGTGCCGTTTCCACATCCTAATCAATACATACCTCCATATGGAAGAATCTGAGATGCAATAATAGCCCCAACCCCATTCTCCCGATCCGCAAACCAGAACAGATTTGCCAGTCCTTCCCAAGAACCAGATCCAGCTGCCCGTCCTGTTGGGCTCTTGCGATGGCTGAGGGAGAAGGACAGCCCCCAACCCTCAGTCAAGTCATCATCACAGGGCACCAACGGACAAGGGTTCGCGAGAAGCGGCTTTCCCGATGGTGTGTATTCGTTGCAATACCGAGGCAGATCTGGAATTTGGTCGGTGAACATTTCTACATTCGACTTGTTAACTTGCTGAGTGGCGTGGCTGGGTGGATTAGGATCTTTCTTGCCTTTTACTATTTCGGGCCTCAGGAGCTGAATTCCTGTCTTTGGATCTGTGCCGTCGTTTAGTAGCGTTGCGATGATCTCTGTGATGTTATATATTAGCCACATGGGTGCACATGTGTATAGTTGCCAGGGAAAGCTTGGTAGGTAACATACTGCAATACTCAATGGGCTTCCCGAAACAGCCTGCTCCCCCCATGCAGAACCTCTGGCGTTCCGTTCCAGGTTTGCACGGCAGAAGAGGATACCGATACAGATGGTCGGTGACTTTCACTGTACCATCTTTATCGCGTTGATGCATGTACGCCAGGTTCATTTTCATCTCTTTAGAGGGGAAGAATGTGATCGATTCAATCCCCAGAGGCCGCAGAATGAACTGCTGAAAATACTCCTCCAGGGATAGACTGCTGACTCGCTCCACGAGCACACCAGCCCAATCAAGCCCGACGCCGTACTGGAACCGGGTCCCTGGCTGATTGACCAATGGCCGGTGCAACACGTCCGCCTCGTGGCCGGAAAAGTCGTCCAAGCCGAGCGGGCGAGACCAGTCGCGAAGGTTTAGATCCTCGAAGGCGTAGCCAAAGCCGGCTACACATGGAAAGGTCAGCGTTAATCAAGGAAGCTGTGTAGGGGGTAAGGAAAGCCTTACAGGTATGATTCAGCAGCATTCGAAGTGTGATACCGCGGTCTTTTGGGACCAAGCGAAAACTGCCGTCAATCTCTCGCTCAAGGACTTGGACATCCTCTAACTCTGGGGCGAGCGATTGGACTTGTTCAACATCATCGAGTGCCAGCTTGCCCTGTTCAACCATTTGCATGCAAGCTATGCTGGTTAGCAGCTTTGTGCAGGAAGCAATCCAAAACACTGTGTCTAAGGACATCGGGTCTGGGGAGTCATTCCCACGCTTTCCGGAGGCATGACTGAAAAACACGTCGCCCGCACGGTCGACAGCGCAATAGACGAGGCCGGGAACCTTTGGCGATGGACCCGATGTCGTCGCATCCAACATCCCACGAAGGGTAGATGCGGTGTCCTGTGACAGTTTGGCAGTCATTGTGCTGGTTGTCTTTAAATAGTTGCGCTTTCACGCAGAAGCTTTGGAAGTAGTAAATTAAGTATGTAGAGTCAATGATCCAGAATTGTATTTCCCCGTATTCCGGGATGTTCTACGTCAATGCGCAGGATGGTACAATATGCACGAGTGGGATGCTGCTAGCTCTGCTGTAAAGATAAGCCCCGCCACGATGCGATAGACAGCATCTCAAAGTGAACTCATTAGGAAACTGAGGGCGGCATTTCGTAAGAACTCAAGTATTTCGTGGGAGCTCAAGTATTTCCCGATCCGGTAACTGAGAATGTTCGGACAAGCCCCACTATCAAGCTCCGCTCAAATTTAGGGGTATAGAATAAGAGAGAAATACAACAGACAATTCAGGGCCGATACGGTCATGGCTTCCAATAAAGTTGGCATGTCATACACAGAATACCGTCTAACGGCATGACAGGGCTATCGCTAAACGAGCCATTCATAATCACACACAAACATCATCAGTTCCCCTTCACTACCTCGGAGATGCACCTCGCGACGTAGTCAACATTCCCCTCATTCAGCCCACAGAGACTAGCTCGTCCAGAGGGCATCAGATAGACATGATACTCCTCCTTGAGCCTATTGACATGCTCCTTACTCAGGCCAGTGTAGCTAAACATCCCAGTCTGGGACTCAATATGAGACCAATCCCCAGGGGTAGCAAGGCCTTCCAGTCTCGTCCGCAACTGCTTCCGCATGTCCATTATGCGTGAGCTCATAGTGTTCAGATCTTGCTGCCATTGCCGTCTGAGTTCTGCATCCGTCAGGACAGTTTCCACAATCTGAGCACCAAATCGAGGCGGGTTAGAATACTCTGCACGCGCAATCAGTGACAGTTGAGATTTGGCACCTTGTACGGAAACGTCCGAAGGGGCGACTAGATGCAATGCGCCCACGCGTTCACCGTAGAGTCCAAAGTTCTTGGAGAAGGACTGTGCAACGCATAGCCCGGGAATCCTTTGGCCAGGATCTTGGCTCGATAGTAGACGCTCTGTGAAATACCGCACTGACCATGCGTCTTCTTCCACGTTTCCAGTTGCGAAGCCTTGGTAGGCACTATCGAACACGACGAACAGTTTCTTTTTCAAAACCACGTCGGCCAGCTGCTTCCATTGGTCGCGGGTCAGGTCCAGCCCTGTGGGGTTGTGAGCACACGCTTGAAGGATGACCACATCGTTTGGCTGTGCATCTGTCTCCAGCGTCGAAAGCATATCGGCAAATCTAATGGATCGCCTGTGTGGATCGTAGTATGGGTACTCTTTCTGAACTACATTCGGGCCTGCCACCGCCCAGACTGTTTTGTGGTTTACCCAGGTAGGATCTGGGATAAAGACATGCTGGGGCTTCAGGTGCTTGGCAAGGAATGCGGCGCCCAGGTGGTTTGCTCCGGTGCCAGACACAGCTTGGATGCTTGCAATGTTCCGGCTTTCTGCGAGCTCAGTCCCGAAGACGAGCGACTTAGCAATATCCAGAAATACAGGAGACCCTGCAATACCAAGATACTCATGGTGTGATCTAGGGTCGGCCGCAATACGCTCTTTCGCCTAGTCTCATGTTAGCATCTGTTGGGCGTGCAGGCGGACGATACGCTGTCAAGCCCGTCACACTTTACTTACTTGTTTCACACTGGGAAGAATCCAGGGTTGGCCCTTTTCATCCCGATAGGCTCCTGCGATTAAGGAGACTTTCGTTGGGTCTTGGTCTGCGTCAAAATCGGCTAGCAGGCCAAAGGCAGCATCTGCTGGAAGGACGGGCACGTCGAGATATTGGGCAGACATGTTCCCAGATGCGGTGTTTACAAAGTTTCGAGTAAGTGCTGGCACCAGTCTATGTAAAAGCTGGCTGTGGCTGCGAAGCATTTATTGAACCGGCCGGTATGCAACAGGTTGTCTAGGACGTTCAAGATAAATGCCAGAGCTGTTGTAGAAAAGAATGATCTTAGAAAACGAAAGCTATGTCCAACGTATCATCCTGCATTATTAGAACTATGGCTGGGCACTATATACTGCTAACATACTACCTAGTAACTACCTGACCGATCGGGTGGATGAAATAATGCCGACGGAATTAGGGCTAATGCAGCTGCCGACTGGTGCGGGAGTGCGGGAGACCATCGGCATCTCCACCAGAGACAAACAGAGCAGACATCGGTCAAGTTCCGACACGCCGACGGCATACTGACTGGAGGCAAATTGACTCATAGTTTTCACGGCCAATCGACCCATATATATATAATCTAAAAGTACATGCCAACCCTTCCGCTGTAAACACCCAGTCAAGGCATACCCTATACAAGATTGCGCGGAGATTCAATCCCCTTAGCAAACCCGCCAAGATGGACAATATCGCCACCTTCTCCCTAGACAACGCCCCTTCCTACGAGAAGGTCCAACTGCAAGTCGACGGCGTCAGTCTCGAACTCTCCACGATCTACAAAAAGGGCACTCGTCCACCGTTCGTCTTCCTGCACGGCTTCGGCTCCTCAAAAGAAGAGCTCCATGACTTCGCCCATCTCCCCCATCTCAGCGAATATGGACTCCTTCTCTACGACGCCCCCGGCTGTGGCGACACAACCTGCTCCGACCTCAGCAAAGTGAACATCCCATTCCTGGTGAAAACCGCCAAAGCCCTTCTCGACACTACGGGGTCACCAAATTCCACCTCTCGGGCCACTCCATGGGCGGACTAACCGCCCTCCTCCTCGCATCGGAGATCCCAGACCGCGTCCTCAGCTTTGTGAATATCAAGGGCAATCTTGCCCCGGAGGACTGCTTCCTCAGTCGCCAGGTCTTTCTCTTCCCCGCGGACGACGCGGAGGTGTTTTTCCATGAGTTTACGGAGAGGGCGAGGCGGGCCCCCGCCTTCTCGAATGCCATCTATGCGTCCAATTTAACACGCAAGGTCAGTCCCCATGTTACATATGGGATTCTGTCGACCATGGTCGAGATCACCGATAGTAATGACTTGCTTTCCTTGTTTCTGGGTTTCTCTTTCCCCTGCATGTTCATGTATGGCGTGCAGAATGCTTCTTTGTCGTATTTACCGAAGTTGAGCGAGGGTGCTGTCGAGTTGGCGGAGATTCCGTATAGTGGCCATTTCCCTATGTATTCCAATCCGCCCGAGATGTTTAGGCGCGTTAAGGAGTTTTTGGAGAGGGTGGGTGCTTAGAGCATTGACTTGTTCTTTTTTTCTTTTCTTTTCTTTTCTTTTTAGACTTGCATTGACTCCTAGATTGTTGTTGCGGAATTGTTGCGTGTTGGATAGCATGAAGAGCTTAGAATAGACTTTGATGTTTGATCGAGGTTTGGGAGGTCTACGGCGTTAAGTGTATGAGATATTTATCTAGCCTGTTGCTCTACGTTTTTCTGATCTTGTTGATGATATAATCTGGATTTGTTGGTGCAAATCACACGAGTCCTTCTTGGCGGACTATCATAGTCCGTGTGGAAGGATAATCTATATAAATTCTTTCCTTCGTACATATATGAAGTCCATACGTATATAAATCTCTTCGCTCCATTGTTCTTTTGGGAAGGCATAGTTTGGCTGCACACAGCATCCGTAAAGCTAATTAATTACACTGGGAAAAGCAAAGGGTATATAAGTAACAGATATCGGACACCCAATCTCAGCTCCAACAACTCATCATCTTCTATGTAAAGGTAATACTTAGACGCCCATGCCCCACCTAGGGGCATTAATAATAATGCCCATTAGACAGCCGGATATGATACCAGTCACGGGCAGAGTAATGACCCAGCCGAAGTAGATCCACAGAATCATGCGCCAGTTGATAGTACGCCAGGTTCCACTGCAGAGACCAACACCGACGGTTGCACCTGAGATACATTGCGTTGTGGAGACCGGAAGCTCTACATATGGTTAGTGGTCAGAGGGTGTCACCATGCAAGAGTATACGGTGGACTTACTGAGCCTGGTCGCTGTGATGATCGTAATGGCAGAGCCAAGTTCCATGGAGAAACCACGGGAAGGGGAGTGAAGCGTAATCCTGTTGCCGAGATTTCGCATGATGTTGTAACCGTAGGTCCAGATTCCAATGGCGATAGCAGCACCTCCAAAGGCCCTGTAGAGATAAGTTTCGAGTCGGTCATGGGAACAGGGTACATGGTACTTACAAAATCCAGTAAGGGACAGGACTCTTAGAGTTGAGCTTTCCAGATTGCCAAATATCGTAGATCGTGGCATATGGACCAACAGCACTATGATAATTAGCACAGTTTATAATTAGCCAAACCTGGAGACATACTTGGACACATCATTGGCACCATGGGTAAAGGATGCAGTGGATGCCGTCAGCACCTGCAGGAAGGAGTACATGTACTCAGTCCTGTTATCGTAATGTTTTGCGTGCGCATGGGTCATTTCAATGTCGCCAGTAAGGATATTCTTCTTCTTTTGCAAGCTGACAACATCTTGCTCGATTCCCCGAAAGAAGAAGCGCTTGAACTGCCAGAACAACATGGCTGGGTGAAAGAACCCCTTTCCTTCCGGCCGAGGGCCAATGATTGAGAATTCTGACTTTGGTGCCACTGAAGGTGCATCGCTTGGCGCTTCTGACTTCAAAGCCTCGGAGGAAGTATTCTGGCCCTCTTTCGCCAGCCCACCTTCGTTCTCTAGGTCCGACGGTCGGTTTTCTTGAGTCGCAGCGCGCTCCACCTGCAGCTGCTCCAGAGTCTTATGGCCACTGTAGTAATCTTGCACGGGCGAGTACCCTTCCGGCGGAGGGGGAACTTCTCCACGACGGAGAACTAGAGGGCCAAGGAAGAGATGGTACCATTGAAGCTGCCAGTCCTCCTTCAGCAATCTTCGGTACAGCCAGGGAAGAAAGAAAATGGTAACGATCAAGGCGACAGCAGCGCCAACCCCAATAATCACACCAACCGTCTCTGCGCCAGTAAGGGTAATCCTGCTCGACCCACCCTTCCACACAATGAGCACTATATATAGGTAAGCGAATATTCATGCAGTTCTGGGTACACGGCTCACTGGTAAGGAGAGCAGAAGTAATGCCGAAGTAGATAGGAATAGCAATGAAAGCATTCCGGATGGAGTTGCTCCGCAGCATCACTCCGTACTTAGTGATCAGGAAGACAATGGCACCAAAGGCGCCCGACATGAAGGGGGCAATGATCCATGCCAGGAACACCTGAACAACGCCGGAGTTGATATCACCTCCCCACCACGAAACGCCGTTCGCTCCAACCGACGCAATACCCATTCCAATGACGCCACCCATGATGGAGTGTGTGGTGGAAACAGGCATTCCAAATTTCGTCGCTATGGTAAGGTAGATGGAGGAGCCCATGACCGCACATAGCATGCCCAGCATAAGCATAGAGGGATCCTCCTTGAAGAGGTCGACTTCGACAACCTTCGTCCGGATTGTATCTGCAACACGGGCGCCCACACCAATACTAAGTCTTGGCATTAGCATCTGATATCCTCAGAAACACTGGCTGGGAAGGACAGTGGAGTGTCCATACCTGCCACAAAACTCCATGATGGAAGCAAGTATCATGGCCTGCCAATACTTCAAAGATCGCGATGAGACTGACGTCGCCCAAGAGTTGGCGACATCATTGGCGCCAATATTCCAAGCATCTAGGAAGGCAAAGATGGTGCCGAGAGCAAAGATGTAGTCAAACTGGTGAAGGGCCATCTTGGCAGAGGCTTGAAGCCAACAAGAGACTGGTCGTGGGTCAGGCCACAGATCTTCATAACCAGCGGGGCATGCATAGCGGCTATATATACCATGGGCAATTTCCTACAGAGGAGAAGTAGGTAGAACAAAAGCAAAATCCTAGCACGATCACCCAGCGTTTCCATACTTTTGAACATAGTAATCCGCCCACCCTCCATGTAACCTCAGACAGGACCAGATTCAAGGCTAGGGATAATTCCCTAGTATTTTCGGCCGCTGAAAGTCAACTGATGGGCTCGGATGCTCCGACGCTCTTGGCAGTATATCGTTCAATTGCCAAGGAGTCCGCTCATAAACAGCCTTGGCACCACTTGCTTCGAAAGCTTATATGGCCAATTAAAGCTCTATAGAAAGGAACGTGGGCTCGGATCGAGCTCATGAGTAGCGCTAACAGTCCAGTTCCAGATTCTTGGCATCCGCCATGGTATATGACAGTGCTGCGACATGACTTGAGTTTCACTCGAAGTACCCTTGAAAATGGCTGCAACTTCGCAGCCCTGGCCCTAGTCTTCCACAAAAGGATCGTGAAGGGGGGTAGCCATACCCTATCCAGGCTGAGATTTGCCTTAGTATTCCTTTTCGTGTGGCAGCCACAGATCATTGTTGGGTATTTCACGGACTCGCTTTGGACCAGTCTTCTTGCAGCAGTCGAGCATGCTTCGTGCCTCCAAGTCATTTCCTTTCTTGGCAGGTTGTCTCCTGCTCATAGAGTCACCACATGGAAGCTGCAGCTGCAGCTGCCTGACACTAGAACCGACTAAGATACGAAGGTAAAAGCATGAGCAAGAGAAACTGACTAGAATAAGCATAGTACTGTTGCTAGAAGCAGAAAATCTCCGACCAACCAGTCTGTCACTAACATCATCGACGAATCCCGAACTATGACAATCATCTCATTTACCCCTCCCTTCGTGTATGATTTCGACGCTCACTTAACTCGGTCTGTAAGTGCTGGATATATTCTACCGCGGTTTCGAGGAGCTCCACCTAATGTGACAGCGCAGGCCATTATCTCATGTCAGCCAACAATATTCTCAGACAGTGAGTGTTGCGAGAAAACAAACATCACCCAGCTCGTTTCTGATGGCGTCTTACCTTGGTGCACAGTCCCCTTTTTCGCCCGCAGTCCACGCCACTTGCACTAAGTACATGGGCCATCTGATCGAAGGCAATCTTTAGCCGATCCCGCTGGTTTTTCTGGGAGAGGGCATGCTTTCGGCGCTTGAATTCAGAGTGGCTATTCGGGATTTTGATCAAGAAGCCTCCTGAAGACAAATCCCCTATTAGTCACGTCAAGATATAATTACCCTGGTTGAGACCAATCCGGGTAAACATGTCCACTAACCATCTTTCGGACGAAGTTCACTGTGCTTCTGTGATGCATTTGAGGGTGGACGTTGTGGTGCCGCATTGGGGGCACGTGAAGAGGTGGACTGAGGCATGACTTTTCTGATAGATTGGCAGCTAACTGTATAGTAGCGTTGCTCTTTGGCTTGCGGGGCCATGCATGGGCTCTATATATATATATGCTCTGACTAAATGTTATGAGCTTATCCGTCATGTACCAAGCCTTTAACACCATCTACTAGTATCTCAACGGAGTACAGCACGCCCCTTCACTAATCGTACCATTTTCGACTTTCAGAGAAGTATGATTGGAATACATTGCGTAATCATAGCCCCAGACACACCTTTAGTCTGTGGTTGACTTACCCCGTATACTTGTTTCCCTTCCTCTTTTTAGTTTTGCAGAGTATGAGTGGCCTCTCTTACATTCGAGAGACTGTAGGAGTATCACTGGTTTTCATAATATACGAGTTAGTACTCCATAAACTCCACTCTCATCTAGCCGGAAGGCCTGGAGTGCCGATCTTCAGGCAGCCCTGACATTGACCCACAGTGGGGTCTCTCCATATGCCAACCCTAACTTGGCCTGGTGAACATGCTATCCTTTGGTATCTATATGGTTACAATCCCATGCCGCCCAACAATGCTCTATCTAGATGCAGATACTTATAGGGCACACTATCGATCAGGTTGTTGCCTACCGAGGCTACCATGTTATCGAGCCCAGCCTATATAGCACGTAGAAATGTCATCATTTTACAGTAATACCATACATCAAGGCATCATCGAGTCAATCATGACCATGACTATGTCCCGGTCTCGTCATTTGACTCACCATTACCTTCTCCTTAATTCTTCCCACTCTCGACTGAATCCACCTACACCCAACCACTTGCCTCGACTTCTTCGTTCAGCCACCACAGCAATAAAACACACGATATCCTATCTTCCCTCCTACTGTCTTCCTTCGTTGATACCTCCGCCACTCAAGATGAACTCCAAACCCGACGTCCCAATACTCGGATACCAATCCCACCTTAGCTTCCCCTCGTCGCATTCCGTATACTCCTCCTTCTCAACAACACCTCGCAACTTGACCCCACCAGCATCAATGATGCAGTTCACACCAAGCTCCGAAAAACAGCCCAGCACAGCCTCAGACTCGCACACCATTACTCCAGCACCCAAGACCCAGCCCACAGAGCCAACCAACTACGCAGACCTCCTCCAGCTGTACCTGAAGATCAAAACGGACGTCTCGTCCAAGTTCACCCTCCCCAAACAGGAGGAAACCACCGCACCGTGGGTCTTCCAGGCGCTGACGCTGCTTGATCATGCAGAGAACGCGGCCGAGGCTCATCTGGAGCTTGTAGAGGCGCTAGAGAGCGAGATTCGGGTTTTGCGGGATCTGCGCGATAGGATGAAGGAGTCTGCTCCCTTCCACTCGGCGGTTGTTTCGGCGGAGAATTTGATGAAGGATAATCGGCATGATGAGGAGGGGGTGAGGATCGTGCAGGAGAGGGTGAAGACCCTGGAGAGGCTCAGTAGTATGGATGCGGACGTGATGTGGTAGTGGCTTGTCGGACGGAATCTTTGGGACTGTGGCTCTTTGCTTTCCTGTGATCTGGCCTTTGGCTGTTGTTGTCGGTGCTTGGTTATTGGAAGGATTGTTGAATTATCAGTTGTGAATCTTAGTTAGATGTTTTAGGGGGGATTTATTCAATGCAACGGAGGGATATTTGCTTTCGGTGTTTTGTTTGGTCTCTGATTGAGAAAACGACATTCAGAAGACATCACCTACCATCAGTGCATTTTGCCGTTAATGTCCGATCACCCGGTCTTGTAGCAGAGTCATTTTGATTTCATGAAGGGTAGGTATATATCACTACAGCTACAGAGGGCTATCTCACCCGGTATTCTCGGAGATCCTTTCTGGACTTTGTAGTGGTCCAGAACCATCCGTTTATCATCATCACCGTCATGAAATGGCCATACTCATCTAGTTATAAGGAGGGAAAGACAAAAGCATGTACTGTGAGGTATGCGCACTTCAGAAAGTTGCAGCTTCTTGAAGTTTAGAAATTTTATTGAGTAGGTATTTAGAATGGGAGACTTGGTTAAGAAGGTCATGGATTTAACTCTTACTATTGGCATGCTAAATTCTACTACCCATTCGTATGGAATTCGATCTTGGGCCATTGTCTACAGTCTAGCGAGTAGTTAGTAGTCCGTTTCATAGGCTGCGGACGTCGCGCCATGAACGAGTTTATAGATGAAGTGAACTAACTTTGTCTACATACTATTGTATAATAGTCGTCAAGGATCTTTCTCGCTGATCATACTATATATAATATTGTACGAGTCTATAAAAAATATACAAGAGAGGGCAGGAAGCGCTCAGTAGCACCCAGCTAGACCTAAATCTCCCATTCATAGCAAGTGGCCATGACATGACTGGAAAACCTAGCGTAAACAACAGGTATAGCTTGTCCAGATGTATTGCAACGTTCTACAGCCCCAGAATTGAAGTATAAAGACAATGATCCCACTAATCAGGTCTCGCATTTTAATATATCAATTGAACATGGGTCGCATCGAAGTCAACGCAGGTACAGATATAAAGACAAGGGATATATGCTTCGACGCCCCCAATGTATCATCACAATGGTCATAAACAGGCCACAATAGTGGCAGGGTATCCTCAGCAATTCGAATAAGTAACGGCTATAGCACACCACGCAGAGTAGTAACTTCCAGACCCGGCACACGCACGAGCAGACGTGAGTACTTTGCGAGGCGGGGCCATGCCGTATAACGGAGAAAAACGGAAATGAGAAAATGAGAAAGGGAAAAAGGAAAAGAATGAAAAGGAGAAAAAAACAAGTGGAAGAAAGAGAAAACAAAAGGAAAGGGGTAGGTTCACGAAAGCATCCAAGGCTCAAAGGAAATCGACATAGCGAGGGACAAACAACGAATGCAGTAGTAATATCAACAATAAAAGGGAAAAAATGATAATGTGTCCGCGTGAAGTCGCGATTCATAAAGTCTCAGGCTGAGTCGGCTTGTCTTCATCATTCTTTGCCGACTCGCTCTCCTCCTTTTTACCTTTAGTTTCCTCTGCTTCTTCGGAGATAGGTTCCTTCCCCTTGGCGGACGATGTTTCGTTTTCTTCTCCGGTATCTGATGCTCCATCCTCAACCTTTGCTTCAGCACCATCTGTTGTGTTCAATTCTGGCTGAGAAGCTTGTTCGGCTTGTGCTGCTGCAGCTTCCGCCTCTGCTTTCTCCATTTCTGCTGCTCGAGCTTGTTGTCTCTCCCACACCTCCTTGCGGATGCGATCATCCTTGGCCCGTCGAAGCCTTTCGGTCTCTTCTACACCACCACTCTTTTTCAGCTTACCCTCTTCCACAAATGCTCCCAGTTCCTTCTGGAAGAGACCGATCCGGCGGTTCTCTAATTCTTTCTGCCGTGCTTTCTCTGCTCTTTCAATCGCCTCAAGGCGGGATTCATGGTTCGGTTGCAGCGCACGAACTTCCCCTAGGACGCTGTCTTTCGCCTTCATGGGATCCACTGCGGGGTCGATGACCACATTACGAGAAGTATTTCGTAGGGTGACTCCGTTAGTGGGATTGTTCTGCATTGCTTGTTCTTTGGTAGCCTGCTCAACAAGAGCGAATGTCTGGGCGGCCTTTTCCACATCGTCCTGCAGGTCGGCCGCAAGGTCTTCTTGCATAGTGAGTTGATCACGTTCCTCGCATACAAGTTGTAGCTCTTTCTCCCAAATCTTGGTCCAGATCGGTTTCTCCCGTTTGAGGAATTCCTGCATCTTTTTAATCTCCTTCGTAACAGCACTGATATCCTTGCCGACACTTTCCAGTTGGCGCGGCAGCGGCCGAACCCCGCGAGTCACCACATCTTTGCGCAGATCCTCCACCAGATCTTGAAGGTCATCAACACGTGCTACAAGGCGTTCTGATTCTTCACCAAGCTCCTTCTTTCCCGAATTGACGCGTGCGCGTCCTGCATCACCTTCAAAAGACGGCAGAGATACTTCCGTGGCAGCGGATTTCACACCGCTGGCCTTGGTGCGGATCGCGTTCATCGAACTTGCGATATCCGACTGGAAATTGGAGTAAGTTTGTCGCAGCACAGCAATATCACGCCGAAGGCTCTGAAGTTCTGCAAGTTGGCTGTCGCTGCCTGCAATCGGATCCTTCGAAGGGCCCCCAGACTTTGCACTTGACACAGATACCGGAGGTGCTGCGGCAAGACGAGCCATTTCCTTGGCCGCTTCAAGCTGGCGGTCGGACACCCGCTGCATCACACTCTCTTGGCCATTCAGAGCGTCCTTGACGCCTTCAATTAACCGGCGGACACCACCAAATTCATCGTCAAAATGCTTCTTCACCTCGTCAAGGATGTCGATATTTAGCACGAGGACGGACCGGTCCTTCACGTCGTTCAAATCCTCCAGCTCGTGGCGGACACCCGAGACGGGATCCTGGATATAGATCTCCGGCAAGTCAGCTCCATTATTGTGAGTGTTCCAGGCAAATTTCTCGATGAAAGCCAGCTGGAGCCTTCCAATCGTCAGACCAGTAAAGCCTTCTGGCAGAACATATTTCTTGATCTTGCTTTTATACTGTAGGAACAGGGTGAGCTCCTTCCCGGGAGATGGCTGTTCGGCAGTATATTGAGCGCTCTGGGGAGGAGTGGAGACAGACGGTGGCTGTCGACGTTCTGATTTGGGTGTCGTTGGAGAGGCAACAGCGTCGATTGTGCTCTCCTTGGCCGGCTGAAATGCCTCGGCAAGAGAAGGCTCCTCCTGAGGGCGAGGTAGATCAATTGTTTCGGTATCTGGCCGTTTTTGAACTTTGTCTTGAGGAATAGGAAAGTCTGTTGCGGAGACAGACGTCGAAGCCTCAGCCCGAGACTTAGTACGTTCTTCTTCAATGCTCGGAACATTCGGAGATGCCTGCGCCGGTGCAGTTTTGGTAGTAGTGGTCTCCTGCAAGCGGTTCGTCGATCGCTGTCGGCCGTGGGCGTAAGATCCTCGTAGACGAACAGCATTCAACGATTCACGAACATCGCGACCACGATTTGGCAGAGGAGAGTGCTGCGTTGGGAGAACAGGGACACCGCTGGAAGAAGTCCCCAGGTGTTTTTGTATCTGATACGCGGAGAACCTTCGTGACGCGCGCCTCTCAAGCTCACCACTTCTCTGCAGCGCACCAATGGCATCATCTTGCTTGGGAGGCGGCGGTGGAGGAGTAGGATAGTCGGAAGGATTCACCGATGACGCGGGAGCCTTGGGAGTCGATTCACTTTCAGGTTGGGAGGACTGAGACAGGATATTCTGTGCTTCTCGTCGTGATGCTTCTCGTTCTGAGAAGCTTCCCCCTCGCGTGTCAACCGGCGCTGGTGAGGTTCGAGACGTACCAGACGGGTCTTCCAAAGAGCCATTACTTCCATAACGGCGACCTGATCGTTTCGGTGATGACACGGTAGAAACAGTTTCCTCGTACGCCTGGTTCATAGCCGCCTGCCCACTCGCAACACTCCCAGCGCTTGCTTGCCGGCCAGGTGCTGAACGACTTTCCTCTCGCTGTTGCCGCGAACGTAGGCGGGCCTGCTTCTTCTTGAGTCCGTGAAGAAGGTTGATGATGATGTCACGGATGCGCGGGAGATAGCGGTCGAGGCTCTGCGGGGAAGCATCCTGGCTAAGGGTGTCTTCAAGGATTGTTCGGAGAAGATCTGGCACCGGGCCCAAGTCTGAGGTGTCGACCCCGATCGCATTGAATGCGCGACAGGCAAGGTTGAACTCATAACCTAGCCGCACGTAGACGTCAGATACCTCGTTCTCCGAAGCTTGTTTCCGGGACCATTGGGTCAGTGTTTCTAATAGTTGCTTCGTGGCTACCAAGAGATGCGTGACGCTCTTTTCAATTTGTGAGATCTGCTTATCGGGCTGGGGCGAGCAAATAGACATGTATTAGCCGGGGTAATTGTGGGTACAACGTGGGTGACAGCCAGGGTAAAGGTTTGCGGCGTGAACTATTAAATGCACAACTTACCACAGAGCTTCTGGATTGTGATCGCCCGGAGCTGGATGAACTGCGTGGTGCGGAGGACTGTGAAGTCATGGCGGATTCGATACTGCTTCCGGAGCCCGAGGAAAAATGCTGGGCTGACGGACTGCGCTGGGAGCGAGACGAGACGCTAGAGGCAGACTGCATATGTGAACGTGTATGCGCGCGTGCGTATATGTGGGAAGTCGGAAGGTTTCCTTTTTATGAGGGTAAATTGGATGGCGGGTAAACGGGAGAGGGACACAGCAGGTGCAGGGAGCAAGGGACCGGTCGTAATAGGGAAGGGGCCAAGCTGACAGACTGTCTCGGAAAGTGAGAGAGTGTGTGGTGTAAGGGAGAGAGACGAAACAAAACCAAAAACAAGTGGGGAGAGACAAACGAAGGGAAGAAAAAAAATAATCGGGCGAAAGCGAATGTTAGAGGAGGAAAAGGTCCCTCGCTGAGAAACACATCCACACACACACGTATCCCAGCCTCTTTTTGGTGTTGATTGGGGGTTCGACGATAAATGAACTGATCGGCTGTCTTCTGGTTTAGTCTGCTTGGGCTGCAGTTGGTCCAAGTCAGTTGGCGCCATGCCTAAGGCACCCCTTGTCAGCTGTTCCACCACCAGCCTCCCGCTTTCCCTCTTTTGGCCATATCCCTCACACCCTCGAGGTATAAAAGAGAACCTCGGTAGGATATTCATTGACAAATAATGACTGGACTACCATTCTGACTGAGAGATTGATGTCCGTATGCAAAGGCAATATCCTACCATCCCCTTATATTTTTCGTCGTACCATACCTGTTGTTCTTCCTGCTTGAACTCTATCGTTGTCCTACTCTGGAAAACTGGTGCCAAGAATGGGACCCGCTCGCTGGGCGATTACTATTTTTGTGAAGACCCGAGACAACCCATCGAGGGAATGGAGAGTATACTCCTCGTACTCTTCTAAGCATTGGGGATATTTTTGTTCTTCTACAAGGACATTATTGGTGGAAGAGAGTACTATCTAAAATTTAGCAAGTCTTAACTCTGCAAAATGAATATCAAACTCTCTACCTGTGTTCATAGTATTGTCATGGTTAGTCAATAGACTAGTCCATCGTCGCGGATAAGCGGAGATAAACCCAATCAATAACCAACGTCAACCTTATGGATCTTAATGAGACGGGATCGTTATGAGGCTGTCGGGCTTTGTAAGGTAAAGTTAGTTATATCTTTACTTGTATTGCAAAATAACGGCCAAGTAACCAATGCAGCAGCAGAAGAGGTCATGTGCAGTCTGACTCTGAATATAACTAACTACTACTAAGTACTGTGTAGTAGTCGTACCAGACAGCCTGACTTTCAAAGCGTAAGCATACGCAAGGTCATGGATGAATACATAAGCCCTTCAACCTTTTGTAGATAATACTATATGTAGTGTACTAGTAGTTACTCCGCCATAAGCCATAAGTAACCGTGCGATGTGATCGGCCTTGTCTGCGGGAAGCAGCCCCCAACCTAAGCAAATGAAGAATTGGTGCATTCACACCGGATTTTTGGCCATCGAGCATCGGTGTGTTACAACTCTCGCTACAGTACCCTGGAATGTAAGGTTGTTGCAGACCTGTATGTGTCAGGTAACAACGTATTTAAACCTACGCTTAGACAATACTCAGCATAGCGGACGGGCTGAATGTTTGGGTTTTTGCGGAAAGAAAATGCTGACGGACAAGAAAAAGAAGAAACAAAGGAAAAATCGATCGTGAAGTACAAGGGTTTATTCAATAAAGTAACATGGCATTGCCGATAGACATCCTTAGTATGGAGTAGAAGATTAATTCATGGTGCTATCAGAGTGGGCCGGAAGAAGTGGGTTCTGACAGGCCACCAGGCAGGAGTACTCCATTCAGATTGGGCAGACACAATTGTTGAAGTGCGTTTGAGTACCTAGGGAAAGTGGAACACGCACTACACAACAGTCATTGAAGTACACAGAAGTAACTCCAGAAGTCCATTCAGTCAGTCAGTCCCATTCTTGATTTGATGCAGGCAGAAAGGAAAGAACCCAGATAATATTAATCAACACTGAAGAGGAACACGAGAATGAATAAATATTCTCAGAAACGGGAAAGTAACTATCAGAGTGATGAAAAAAAAATCCTCTCATAGTATACCAGGTGGTATGTTTCTTGTAATCATGATCCCAAGAGGAAGGGAGTATGTATACCTGGACATAACTCCGTACAATGTGTGTATTGATGAAATAACGTTAATTACCTACCTTACCTTAGGATTTCCCATCAAATCGAGGAGGTCCCCACTTTTGCTGCCAAACCGCCCAATGGAACCATGGGAAGGGACTCTTTTCCCTCCGCCAAAACCTCACCTCATCTCCTGCCTTAACACTTTACTGTTCCTACTAATTGTCTGGACACCTCCACGGACACTAAACCGTGACGACTTCTCCTCCTCCTCCTCTTGTCCTCCCTCTCCTCCGCTGCCGTCGCCTCTCCTCCGTTTCGACCCTGGCCGGTGTGCTTTGTTTCTATTGTTCTTTTTTATTATTCTTATTCTCAATCACCAGTTTGTGGTTCGGGATTCCACCCCCATCTTCATTTTCTCCTTCTCCCCCTCATTTCGACAATTTTCTTCCCAAGCTTCTTTATTTACCTCTTTACTCCCCTTGATTATTGTGGTCCCGTGACCTATTTCTTTTCTTGCGATCTTTTATCCTTCCCCTCTAACATTTTCCCCCGCTTCTCTTCTTCCCCCCGACAAGGTCGTTCTCTGTTCGCGCAGGCGGTGTGTGTGCGTGTGTCTATCTTTCTACGGCTTTACGTCGTGCGAAGTTCCACGGCGTGAGCTTCATTCGACTTTGACAACCGCACCAAATGGCTTCTGTCAACTCCCTGCCGGCTGCCAATAGTGCATCCGGCAATACCGTCAATTCGTCTTCACAGAACTCGGGTTCCAGGCCTTCATTGAGATCCAGCGCTAACTCCAAGGCGGATGGAGGTCGCCGTCAGACAGGCAGTCCGCTAGATGGAGGTCAGAGGTATGTTGTGTGGTCTAGTTATATTATTCGATTATTTCGTGTCCAAGCCAATCCATCGGTCGTTTTGTTTCTGTTGCTCTTGTTTCACCGCTTGATCACCTTGCGAGAGCGCCGTTGAGCGTCTCCTTACCCACCCTGGGCTTTTTCCAACAAACACACTTACCACTCGACAAACGAGTTTTGCTTCAGCGCCCTATTCTTCTCTTCTAGTCTATATAGATTCCTGTTACCGATGGCTATGCTTGTCTGTCACGGCACGGAGACCAAAGCATTTGGATTTAGTGCCTTTTGCAGCTTCTCCTTGTGATGCATTGACTAACGATTCTTCTCCATCCTATACAGGCGCAGTAACTCCCAGAAGGCTTGGACCCAAGGCACGAACCCGATTACTCAGAGGTCTTCGTATTCGCAACAGAACGGAAATATGGCCCAGAAACAGAATGCTGCCCCTAAGCCAACATCAAAAGAGTCGAACACACCTGATAATCATGCCCATGACCGCCTTGTTTTCTTGGTTACCAGCTTTATTGTAAGCTCATCCACCCTTAACCCTACACGGGACAGAGCACTTATACATCTTAGGGTTTGACCGCTACCATCACCACAAAAAATGGCGAGAAGTACACTGGAATATTCTCTTCTTCCTCCCTTGAGCCTAGCGAATCATCCTTTGTCCTCAAAATGGTACAGCGCCCAACGAAGCAAGAGCAAAACCGGGCGAATGGTGTAAGCGATGCTACAAGTCCGTTTCTAGGATCTGCACCAGATCACAGTATGTCGTTCGATATAAAGGATGTGGTGGAAATATCCGTCCCCAACGTCTCTACATCCGATGTTACAGCAAAAGGAACAAATGGTAAAGCTTGCCCGCATTTAATTTCTGCGCCTCATATTGTTTTCTAGTCGTTAACGCTCTCTAGGTGCCTCTACTGGCTTCCGAACCGATGTCGACATTTCTGGTAACTTGGCGATACGCGAGCGAACCTTGAAGCGCTGGGAACCATCGGCAGAGACCGAGGTGGATTTGTCCTTGGAAACTACCAAAACTTCAGCTGGCTGGGATCAGTTCGAGACCAATGCACGGCTGTTTGGAGCCACTAGTAGTTATGACGAGAATCTCTACACTACCCGGATCGACCGTTCCGATCCGACTTACAAGCATAAGGAAGCAGAAGCCGCTCGTATTGCACGTGAAATCGAGAACACCGACGTTGACAATGCGCATATGAGGGAAGAACGAGGGATAACAGTGCCAGGAGATGGTGGTGACGAGGAAGACAAATACAGTGGTGTCCGACGTGACGAGAGAAACTTCCCACCCCTTGTCTCTGGGCAGCCAAACAAGTACACGCCGCCGGCTCGTCGACAGGCTGCCGCTCAAGCTGCCGCAACTCCAAGTTCCTCCGCTAGCACTGTGAAACAGGTACCCAAGGACACAACGCCTTCTTCGGCACCACCGCCTAAAGATAGCACCGCATCGCAACCGGTACCTTCGGCTACAGCTCCCAGCGCCGCTTCTGACGCAGAGAAGTCTGTCTCGGCGAAGCCTCCATCAGCCACCGGCGCTGTACCGAAACGGACTGGTACGGAGAATGCTACCGCCAACGTAGAAGCTGAAGTGCTAGATCACTTCCGTCAGTTCGCCAACAGCGAGAAACAGAAAATGCAGGAACGCCGCCGTAACCAGGCGTCCTATGATCGCACAATCAAACTCAACGAACTGATGAAATTTTCGAAGAACTTCAAGCTCGCTACGCCAGTCCCCAAGGATCTGGTACCTATCCTTGCCAAGGACCCTCATAAGCAGGAAGAAATCATCCAGAGAGCTCAGCAGCAGGCTGAGGAGAAAACATCATCAACCAAGACCTCTCCGACGCCTGAGCAGAAACAAACGCCTCGTGCCCCGGTCTCGGCTCGCCATGACAGCGGAACAACGCCAGCAGCGACACCGTCCGATCGGCCGGCCTATCCTCGTGGTCGCCAGGTGCACCCTCCTACTGGTCCGCACGCGGGTTCTGGTGCGCGACCCCAACACCAGACAATGAATCCACCTCGTCAAACTACGGGGATGCTCGGGCATCGCCTGGCCGACAATCTTCAGCAGCGGAAAGGTGCCGCAATGGGGACTGTTCCTGCGCCTTTGCCTATTCAAGACGTTCGCTTACCTCCAACTGGCCCCGCTGGTGACCAGTCCGGCGTAACCAGCCCAAGCAAAATGCAAACGCCAACGTCTTCTGCGTCCACAAAGTTCAATGTGAGAGCCCTAGAGTTCAAGCCCAACCCAGCCGCAAGCACATTCACCCCAGGTGCTTCGTCCAGCGCAGCACCCTTGGTCGGGGGTCGTTCTGTTTCTCGTGCCACTAGCCCATCTGCATTCTTCGGTGCTAAGAAGCCACGGCCCGTCACTGAGCGCCCGTCTCTCAAGAACCAATTCAACCCTATTAAACGAATGAAGAAGGAGAGCGCGGAGCAGACCGAGAAGGATTATACTTTCAACGGAGGAATTCCGCCAGCATATAAAACCCTCCCCACCTGGGACGTGGCTTCTGGCAATGAAGAGAAGACCTATCTGCAGATGTTCAAGCCTCCTGTTACTGTTCCAGCCATCTCTCCCCAGAACCGCTCAGCATCTAATCCCCAGGCTCCTCATCAACCCCACATGCCCTTCCAGTTCCCCCAGACTACACCAGGCATGCCTCCTGTTTCTGGTCCCCCACATGGGCCTCACCTGCATCCCCAGCACCACGCATCTGGTCCACCTCACTTTGACGACCCTCATCGGATGCAAATGTCAGCCTCAACTTCTCAGGTCTTCCCCTCTCCTAGACTTCAACATGGGTATCCTTCTCCCATGGCCCCGCATGCACAGCTAGCATTCGGACAGCCTATGCCACAATTCTACGTCAACCAAGGCGGCCCCCAACCCGGTCCTATGAGGCCCTACCCAGGTGCTCCTCAGTTTATGAACCCGCAGGCCAACATGGGTGCCCCCATGATGGTCCAGCAACCTTCCAGCGGTCCTTACATGGGTGTCCCTCAGGGTATGGCCCCTTACACGCCTCAGATGCAGATGTATTCCCCGAACCCGGGTCACGCCTACCCGCAGCATGCGCCGCCTCAGCCGCACAGCGGCTTTCCGAGCCCCAGCCGCGGTGCCCCAATGATGATGCACCAAAACTCCCAACAGGGCCAGCCGCCGCAGCCAGTCATGTTTATGTCTCCGGGGCAGCATGGACAGCCCGTCTATGCAGCTCAGCAGCCAGGTCACAGTATGTTGCAACCAATGAAGCGACCCACTGCCGATTGCTGACCGTTCCCAGTGCCTCCCGTTCGGGGCAACTATCCACAACAGCAGCCGCCCTTCCAATCTAGCCCGCATCAGGTGCATCACTATCCACCCCACCAACATCGTACCCCAAGCAGCGGCTATAATCAGATGCCCCAAATGCCACCCCAGATACCTGCTCAAGCACCGCCGGCCGCAGCGTCGGTCCTCAGCCGCCAGACGCTGCAGATGAGGTGAAATGAATCTGCACTATGGATAGTGGGCGAGACGCCATATCCTCCTTAGCTGAGCAATCTAAGGATATAACTATTACACCTCGTGAATAGGCGTACCAGCTACGCTTGCGTGTGCGCATAGCACCCGTTCAGCGTTGGCAACCTCACTATCTCGCAATACCCAAGCCCTCGATATGTTTCTAAACGACCTCTCTCTATCTTGGATTTTTGCTCTCACGCTACCCATCTTGCATCCAGAGCGTGCAATACTTCTGGCGAGCAGGTACTATCATTTGTACTGGTGAGTATTCTCGGTATCTTTTCGGTATACGTTGGGATTGTATAAAACTTATACTGATGGGCCAAGGCGATTATGTGTCATGTATCAACTACTTTCAGCGGGTAAGGTATATGATAGGCTTGAGGATGTATATGCTGAAAATATGAGATGACCCACTGTCGACATTTGCAGGTCTTCATGGGCTTGTGACAACGTCTACCTCGCCACCTATAATATACGTGTCTTGGGATAACCTCAGGAGCATCCGCGAGATGAGCTCGGCCAACATTACATCCCATGCCCGTGCGAAACACATCGCTGGAAATCGGTATATGCCAACCATGTTTGGGGGAAATTTTTTACTTGTCATATTCATCTTGCTTTTCTTCGTTTCCATTTTCTATTTATTCCTCTTATTTTACACTGCTTGTAGCGAGGGGTTGTGCAGGAAGCTCAAGATGTGCATGGAGATGTGTCAGTCAATAACTGGGTTTGCTTCTCATAGCTTAAGTGCCAAAGGGTACCGACATGGCACTCTACACGCTCTGTTGTTGTGTTTGACTTGTTGCAGCCAAAGTGCTGAAACGGCACGGGAGGGTACAGGTTATGCATGGATGAATGATAATCAGTGATCTAAAGGATAGTCGGGAATGATAATCCATGAATACCCTGTGCTAGTCCATGTAAAATTGAGGTTTCGTATGTGTAGCTGTTGCTGCCGTCAAATAAGGGATCATAGCAGTCTATTGCACCAGGTTAGTAACGAAGCCTTAGAAAACAGTGTAGTGAACTGGGGCACGGATGGTAAATCTCCTCAGGTCTTTTCAGTTTATATTTGGTCATCATCCAACCAAGACAGCGTCACAACCGCGGTACTTTTGCCTCATCCAGCTCAGAAACAAGGAGCCCATCATACGATCACAGATTCCACACCGCCATATCGTAGCCAAAGCCATGCCTCATTTTCGATCGAATCCCCACCACTTCTCCCCCGCTCTCATCAGCAGTTTACTCCCACGAAAGCCCAAGCACCCACCCCCGCCTGTTTGCCGCAGCCATTAGTTTCTGAATTCCTCATGGAGACAAAGCGGGCCAGAAACCCCAAATTGCGGCTTGCGAACTATCCTCTTTGCTGTACACACGTCTTTCCAGGGTATGCAATGCCGTGAGTCTTGCGACTATGACCGTTTGCCTTTTACCGAAGCATGTGCCTGCATCTGATTGATGGGGAGCAAAGAGGATGAGTGCAATGATAAGATCTTCCCGAGAATGACGTACGGCTGGCTGACGATGTGGGAGGGATTTTGTTTTCGTCTGATGTCACGCCTTGACGGCGGATAAGGAGTGCCTTCGGCTGGTGCACGACGCGTCTCTTGGTTTTGCGGTCTGACCTTTTACCAGTGGATCATCACTGGAGATTTGATGGGCTGCGGAAGGGGAAGGTAGAAAGCTCACTCACTTCATTTGTGGTGGGGTGGAATTAGTTTTCTAGAGTTATTGTAGATTAGTCCGTGTGGAGAGCTAGCATTGAGACGGTCAGCCTGTTATTTTGATTCATTCTTGCACTATTCAGGCGGGTGGTAACGTTGACGCGCATGGTAAAATAGAATCGGAGAAAAAGGAGATGGAGCAACAGCTGTGATGATATTCGCAAGTTAGATAGCGCTAAACCGCATTGGGGGTGGGGTACCGCTGGCCGACGCCAAGGCTAAGGCCATCATTTAGTTATTATTAGTTTCCGTGATTCAATGCCACTGACAATCCCCTTGTAAGCAGCGCAGGCTGTTGGATCGGGGCCAAGTGGCTTTTACTAGGAATTCGTCAACCGTACAGCTAATTCAGAAGCAATCGACCGGTTTCCGGCATAGTCGCCCTTTTCTGAAATCCAACTCCCGCCGTGTCATTGTTGTCAAAAGTCGGAGTAATCCGCGGTCGAGAAACGAACAACTATGGATTTCCTCAAATCCGCCGTCGCATCTGCAATCGCGAAAGGAAGCTCCTTCCCCTACTCGCTCGGTGACAGAGTCGATGTTTCTGATTCAATATGGACGCTTCATAATGCTACGAAACGGGTATGAAAGCTAGGAGACTATTGCCGGTTTCTTGGATGTGATCGCGGGGCTAATGAGGCGCTATCTGGGTTGGATGCATAGGATGACGGCTCGGCATGCAGTGTTTTCACATTCGATATTGCTTCTAATAAGTCTCGTCTACCCCTGGCGAAGAACGCGGTGCGGAAGTCACGAACGTTACGGCACCCTGGTGTAATTAAAGTTTTGGATACTATCGAGGTACTTGACCGTTTGGTGGTTTTAGATGCCGGGTGATGTCCCGGGTCACGCAACTGTGGACGCGCATCTTACTTACGGTGTATAGACAGAAGCCAACCTTTATATTATCACCGAGCGAGTCGTCCCCCTATCGTGGCATGTGAAGCGGAGGAGTTTGAGTGAGGAGACCTCTAAATGGGGACTGCATACAGTGGCGGTACGTGGCTGAATATGTGACCGGGCTTAAACATATCTAACTAGATTTGTTTACAGTCTACGCTTAAGTTTATAAATGAAGATGCTTCGTCTGTTCACGGGGTCGTGAGGGCTTCATCGGTCTTCACTAGCGAAAGTGGCGAGTGGAAGCTAGGGGGTTTCGATGTGTTGAGTTCCATGAACGATGAACATGCAGTTATATACGTTAGTCTCCCCTTGACAGAGTCGATCAGACGGGGACGTGTGCTAACGGCCAACAGACATATGCCAGCCTTGTACCAGACGCAGCTCGGTATACACCTCCAGAGGTCGTCAAAGGCGGATGGGATACCATTAAGCGCCACCCACTAACGGCTGTCGATGCCTATGGACTTGGAATCCTAATCTATGAAGTCTTCAATGGTGGCTTCATGGGAGGAGATCAGGTGGGCAAAACAACGAATATCCCACCAACAATGCAAGCAAGCTACAAGCGTCTTTGCACGGCGAATCCCAAGCTGCGACTGAGTCCGGGACACTTTGTGGAACAAGGAAAGAAGTATGGCGGCTTCTTCCAGACACCGTTGATCAGATTGACAGACGATATAGAGAGCCTGGGCCTCAAGAATGATGCCGAGCGAGAAGAGTTCATCAAGTAGGTTTCTCTTCACGTTCCCTTTGCTGACAAGTATATTGTAGAGGTTCAAGTACTGATCATCTTAGTGAGCTTGATGGACTTACCGAGGACTTTCCCGAAGAATTCTTCAAAATGAAAGTGCTTCCAGAGCTGTTGAAATCTGTTGAATTCGGTGGAGGCGGCCCCAAGGTTCTAGGGGCCATAATCAAGATCGGGTCCAAATTATCGTCAGAGGAATTCAATTCAAGACTGACGCCTGTTATCGTGCGCCTGTTTGCCAATCCTGATCGAGCGCTACGGGTCTGTCTGTTGGACAATTTACCATTAATGATTGACAGTCTTCCACAAAGGATTGTGAACGACAAAATCTTCCCGCAGATGGTTCGTCGTGCTATTGAACCTTCGCTGTCTTCCGTTACTGACAGTTGGTTTCCATTCAGACTTCTGGGTTCACTGACGTTGCACCCGTTGTTCGAGAACAAACCGTTAAAGCCGTCTTGGCGGTCATTGACAAATTGAGTGATCGGACCATTAATGGAGACCTGTTGAAATTCCTGGCTCGGACTGCAAATGACGAGCAGCCAGGGATTCGTACAAATACTACTATATGTTTAGGAAAAATCGCGAAAAATTTAGGACAAAGCGTTGGTCCCACCATGCCCCTGAAACAAGCCAACGCTAACCGCGAGTATAGTCCAGATCCAAAGTTCTTATTGCTGCGTTTACAAGATCACTACGCGATCCGTTTGTACATGCCCGTAATGCGGGCTTGTTGTCGCTGGCTGCCACGATGGAATTCTTTACTGAGGAGGATTGCGCCACGAAAGTTCTTCCCGCCATATGCCCTTCTCTCCTTGACAAGGAAAGGTAAAGAGTTCTTTGTCTCGTCGCTATCTCTATGCTTCTAACATGCAAACAGGATGATCCGGGATCAGGCGAACAAGACGCTCGACGTTTATCTCCAACGGATACGTAAATTCGGCAGCACTATGCCAGAAACCGTGCTGCCTCCTTCCACCAGTTCGGACGCTCCCAAGGACGATGCTCGTATTGGAACGTCCAATGATAAGTCCTGGGCAGGCTGGGCGATCTCCTCGTTTACAAACAAGCTTACCGCGGCGAATGGTGTGATTGAGCCATCTGCGAATGGCGCTAAGCCGGTCGAAGCCGAGCCAGCCCGCTCCGCATCCGTGCCACGTCCGTCGAAACCGTCACCCTCGGCGCAGCTTGATTTGCCAAAGGTGGCTCCACGTCCTGCAGCACAGCCCCTAGGCCACCGGTCAATGTCAGAGCAGGTCGTTCCGGTCACCAATGAAATCGACGAACCGGATGACGTGTACGAAGCGTGGGGTGCCATGGACGATGAAGACGGGGAGAAGGCAGATGATCCATTCAGCCCTGCTGCGACCACGGTTTCCTCCACTGTGTCTGCACCGGCGTCCAAGCCTGCCCCTGTGCCCTACGATGATGGCGGCGAACCGGACTTCGCCGGTTGGCTTGCGGCACAATCCAAGGCAAAGAAAACTCTACCCAGGGGCTTGAACAAGACTACTTCCGCGGCATCCTCGGCTCGGAGCGCCAGTCGCAATAGCACGACTAAGCCCAAGACGGTGGCTCCAGTCAAAAAGATCGAAACCAGACCCAAAGAGGAGGACCTAGACGATTGGGGAGATGCTTGGGATTGAGTTTCTTTTTCTTTTTCTTTTTTTCTCTCTAGAGCTCAAAGTATGGGGTTTTGGTAAAATCGCAACGGGCGTTAGAATTTAGATACCATGCACATATAATTAACTGATGAATTAAGATTATTATTTGCATCGAATCCATAGAATGTTCGATAAGTCAGCCTTATCGATGCCGTCAGGCCAATCACATGCCGGCCCGCCGACCCCGTGATCGCAGGTGACCATCCGCCGCCTTACGAGAAGCTTCACTTTATCTTATTGTTGTCTTGCCTGACTGTCATCTTTCCCGGTGTTGATACATTCTTGTGGAGTGCTTTTGGACCTTGGCTATTCTGCTAAATCTTATCCCCGCCCTTCCTTTCGGCTCGACTCGTATTTGAAATACCGATTGTCCCACTTGAAGCGCTAGATAATCTTGCTGCCTGTCTTGCCAGCGTCAGCGGCTGTGTCTGGTTTCTAGAAGGCTGCAGGTTATCTAATCGTTTATGCGCGATGGATCACCGTTGACGAGCCTAAAGGTCACTTGAGTTCATTGAAATCAGTCCCGACTTCCTGCCATTTTGTTAAGATATCCGTGATGGACCATGAAGAGGAGGCACCTCCGCCGTATTCCGCCGTCGATCCGCTCACTCGCAATGCCATTGCATCGGCCGAAGTAAATCGGGTTATACTCCGTCTCCGAGGGGGAGATGTCTCACTTGGTGATACTGCATCAAGCGATAGCTCCAGTTCCGTTGTGCTTGCCTCCTCTCCGCTTACACCCGCCAACTTCTCTTCCGCCGCCGCTTACTTCGTTGAACGTCCGGTCCCTACCATTGACAATGGACGGCCGATCCTCGAGCATCACCTAACCATCTACCCGCGGAGTCAGTCCAAGGACTTTCCTCGTCGCCCTCGTTGCTGGGGTCCACGCACTGAGCACATCATCCAGCAGGACTGGGACATGTTCTTGCGATATTTGTTTCCTCCACATCTCGGCCTCGCTTCCTCCTCCGATCAACTACCTCGTCAGGTTAGGGCTCAGATCCAACGAGATCGCAAAGATCGCCCACAAGAGACAGACGAGCAGCGCCGGATGCGAATATCGGCTGTCATCACAGAATGGAACCAATACTTCTTCGAACCCCGCGCAACTTGCATCACATTTTCCTACATCACCGACGCACAAAATGCACCGGCATCTCCTCTTTGCCCTAGATGCTACCCTGCTGCCACCCGGGTCTCGCAAGAGAACCGGACAGCGGTGACGGTGCGGCCTACTCCATCTTTAACTCCGAGACAACCCATGTCGCCTCTGTCACCCCCAGCAAGCAATCGGCACTCTCCTGCACCTTATGCATACCCGAGTCCACAACATCCGCAACTGCCTCCTACTCCACATACACCTTACGGTGTTCCTCAATACTACCATCCTCCACCTCCTCACCACGTTACATACCTTACTCTCCCCAACCACATATACCCTATCAACACAACGCTTCTTGGAACTGGAATGCTAGGGCTTGGCCCCCTCCACAGCAAAACTCGAGTTCTAAAAGTGGGCCACTTGGCTGGATATCTTCGCTCGCTTCCCAGGCCCAGAAGTATGGTGAGCGCATCTCGGAGCATGCTGCCCAGTATGGAGACCAGATCAGTGCGCAAGCCTCCCATTATGGCCGACAGGTAGAAGAGCACGCCATGGCGCATGGTCGGTGGATAGAAGAACAGGCTAGCCTCCAAGGACGAAAGGTGGAAGATGTTTTCACTGGCCTGGTCAGCCGGCCCCGCAACGAATGGCCCGCCACTGATGCTCACGGCCAGGTTTACTATCCAAACGCGTATAACTATCCTTATACACCGGCTACCAACGCTGTCGAGCCTGTCAAGCCAGTTGAGCCCGCGGCCACACTACCTGTCCAACGTATTCGTAGGTTATCCACTGGTTCGGCCTCCTCTGACTCGTCGTTGGAATCGATTGACTCATTGTCCACAACCTCGGAGCTGAGCACTTCTGATCTGGCTACAGTTCGGGCGCAGCTCTTGTCGCTCGAAGGCCACCATGACCGGGATTTGCATGAAGCAGCGGTAGGGCTGCGACGGCAGCTCACCGTTTTGCAGGAGTCTCGCCGTCGGGACCGGCTCGCCGGACGCAATTGGCGGCAGGGGTGGGGCCAGTACCCACAACAGCATGGCTACGGGCGCGGCTGGGGTGGACGATGGGAATCGCCACAGCAACATGAACAAAGTGCAGCTGAGAAACGAGCCCTAAAAGAGGAGACACGGGCCACGCGGAAGGCCTTCCGGGACGTCTTGCGGCGAGCGAGGGAGGAGCACAAGGAGCAGCGACGGATCAAGCGCAACCGACGCCGTCTGGAACGGTCTCGCCAGATCGAAGCCCCTCCGCCGGAGCCAAATCTCGAGCAACAGGTGCAGAATTTGGACCTCGACCATAACCGGGAGAGCCAGTCGACGGTCCAATCCTTCACATCCATCCCTTCTCCGGCACGGTCCGTTGCCGAGATTAGCGTGATCAGCTCGATCAGTACCTCTAGCACTGTGTCTTCACATCATCTTCAGGAAGATGAGCCTCCAAATAGTGGTAAAGAAAACCAAAAAGAGGCCGATACGGCCAAACAAAGCCCGAAGGAAGCGGAAAAGATCAAACGCAAGGAGGTGCCGGGGCTAGAAGAGAAAGGCAAAAAGTCTAGTTGACCGCGAGCTTTTCAACATTTGAGTCATTGAGCAATTGCATGGAATCCGTGATTCGTTTATTGGGGGGATACGGTACATGAGGAACGGTGTTTCGGCGGAGCAACTGCATTTCTTGTATGTGTTCATGGGTAATAGTGCCAATGGCATGTCGAGTCTTTCATCTTTGTGGTTATACATGTTTTCGAAGTTTTTGTTTAGCCGTAAGTTAGCATGGTACTGGCGCTTAATGAGACATGAAACTGCATCACACCCACTCTGCATTGCAGGCAGTGTACATATACATCTTTCATTTCACGCAAGTAGACTACCAGACAAATCAACATCCGGCAGCACACCCGATCTATACGAATAAATAATATCACGGGAGAAAGGGAGAAAGAAAGAAAGAAAGAAAAGAGAGGGAACCCCCGCTTAAGCCTGAGTCTGCGACTCATTCTTCTCCACCAAATCTCCCACGCCCAATCCGCGTCCAACCCGCACCTTCACCATCTTCTCCTTTTCCTTCTCCGTCCCCAATTCACCGACCTCCTCACCCTCATCGGCATCTTTGCCCTCCTTCTCCGCCCGCAGACGATCCTTCCGCTCGATCTCGGCCCAGTCCATCCACATATCCGTCAGATCCATGCGCATGGCATACGCATCCTCGCCATCGGCATAGTACTTGCTCTCGACAGTCTCGACCTTGAATCCGAGGGTATCACGGTATAAGCGCAGCGCAGCGGTGTTACTGACACGCACATGAAGCGAGACGTAATGGGCGCGGTGGGATTCCGCCATAGCGCGTTCTGCAAGACGAAAAGAAAAACAACTCATTAGCATTCATATCCCAAAGCATCCCAATCAAACTCCTCCAACCCCCAACACCCAAGAAGAGGCGGGGGTGGGAGGAAAGAAAGAACGGAAAAGGTACAAGAAACATACGAGACATCCTCATCAAGCGCTCGGCAATACCCAACCGTCTATGCGTCCTCATCACACTCAACGAGGTAATATGTCCATGTGCCACGCCGTCCGTCGGCTCCTCTTCCATCTTGGCCAACACATACCCCACTACCTTCGGATACTGCTCGCTGGCGGTTGCGGCCCCGCCGGGGGCTGTGTGTTTGGAGTACCCATTCTTGGGGCGGACGACGGCGACAAAGCTCAGTTGCGGCCAAGTGAGCGCGTGGTAGAGGTAGTATTTTAGGAAGTAGTTTTCGGGGAGGTTGGTGATGTTGCAGGTTTGGATGGAGGGGAGGAGGTCGATGTAGCTTGGGTAGCTAGAGAGGGGGACTATGTCGACCATTTTTGTCTTTCGATTGTCTTTTTTTGGTGTTAGGGATTGGAGTGGGGGGTTAATTGAGGTGGTGAGGGGTGAGGGGAGTTCGTTGGGTTCAGATGGGAATCGGTTGGATTGAGTATATGTTTTTGATGTTGGTATGGTTAATTTGTCTCCGCGGGCGGTGATGCGGATCAGGTGGTGCGCTAACCCGGTTGGGGGGTGTGCCCTATCTTTACTATATCTTTTGGTGCTGAGTATCTGAGCTTGTCTTGTTGCTCCGATTTATGGTACTGTGGATTATTCAATGGTGTTGGTTCTTGTGAAAGGAGAGTTATTGAATTGAAATTTTTATATTGTTCCTTCCTATATGCGCTACTGCAGGTCGTTTCTCGTTAAATATGTAGTAAACAGGGCTGTCTGTCGTGTCTCGTAACTCCCAGCCAAATCTTCTATACAACTAAATATATATATCAAGCGATTCAAAACAGAGAGATGAGGAATTGGATACCGCCGATCAGGAGTGCGGTGGCCATGACGCCCTGCGGCGTCAGGCTCATGCCGGTGCTGGCGATGCCGCAGCACTTTCCGTTGTACGTCACATTATTCATCTTCGCCGCGACCTCGAAGACCGTGCCGTTGACGGGGCCGTAGTTGTAGTAGTCGACCAAGAGGAAGCTCGGGGGACGATCCCAGATTCCTAGGCGCCGTTAGACCATCGCCGATCGACCCAAGGGAAGAGAAAACTTACTGGTACAATTGCTCGCCATCAGGCCCAGACTGCCAAATCCGGTCACATTGTTCGTCTCGTTCAAGAGCGCCGTGTTCGGGATGAGCAGGCTGAGACCCAGCACGTCCATCTGGATGTTGAGATTGTGGTTCGCCATGTACAACCGGTTCCTGGCGTCCGGCGCCGCCAGATCCGGGGGGCGCTGGACGTCGCAGGGAAAGTCTCGGTCCGTCGGAGAGAACGGCGTCTCCCAGACCTGGGAAAATTCGTCCATGAGCCATGGATACGCTGTCTGGTTGGCTTGATAGTCCAGGAACATGACTGCACGCTTGCCGGACAAGATCATGCTGGACAGTGTCGGCCAGTCGTCCAAGGCCATCGGAATCTTGGTGGGCGTATACACCAAATCCATCAGACCGGAGCTCTGGATGGGTCCGGTGAAATTGCCCGGATCGACGTAGTCCGAGTTGCCCATCAAAATGGTGACCACATCGTACGGATGGGCTTTCATCCACTTGGTTACCCGTGTTAGATAGGCCTCGAGGGTCCCGACATCGAGCAGCTCGCAGCTGCTGTGGCACAGGCGCATCGTGTTATTGACGAGATGGGTCTGGAATTGTACTATTCGAACATCAGTCGCCTGCGTCCCCGCTTCTCTCTCTGGCCGTCCACTTACACATTCGAATTCCATCGTCCAACTGAGCCTCGACGTCCAAAGCCTGATTGGCGGCGACACTGCCTGGTTGCACAAAGGGACTGTTGTGGGCAGCAACCACGGTGATGTTGGAATAGTTCCGGGCACAGAATTCCGGGTATCCGTTGCAGGGCTGGGTGTTGACCACCGGAGATGACGAGGCGGACGCCGAGGCCGTCATGGTGCCATTGGCGGTGCCGTTGAGGGTCTGGGTGCCGCCCAGCACCGTCAGAGAATTGGAGGTGGACGTCGTCGCATTGGAGCTATTCGACGCCGTTGTCACCATCGCGTCGGAGCCGGTGAGGGTGTGTGAGCCGATGACGGTCCCATGGCCGGTGCCTAGGGTGACGGTCGAGGTGATCGACTGATAGGTGCCGGTCGGAGTGGCGGCATCAGTGACTTTATCGGTGATGGTCCCTTCCAGCGTGAACACCCCCTTCCCCGTGGACGTGCCGGTCGAACTGGAGGAATCATCTGCAGCTAGAATGCCACCTGCCGCCAACAGCGGTAGTAACCGGATCATCACCCGCATGATGCCGGTTCAGCAGAGAAGATCACCGAGGGGATGCTCTAATCGTATAATAATTAATGTATATGTACGTATATATCTGTATATCAATATGAATACGAAGGGAAAGAAAGAAAGAAAGAGAGAGAGTCGGTACAATACAGAAGGGTATGAGTATAGGAAGAAAAGGAGAAGTAAAGAAAGTCCAAGTGCACCGGGTGGAATGATGGAGAAAAGGTTAAGGTCGATGCGGAGTTGAGCACCTGAGGCAGTCCCTGAAGGCCGTTATGAACCGGTTCGGTATTATGTATTGTTCGGTGTTACTATGGGTATGTTCGGTAACAGGGACTGCAAGCCACCCGCAACAAAACAGAATTGAGTACCGGTAGGGCGATCGAAGGCTGCATAAGGACGTCTTGGCTGGTCTGGGCGAATAGGAATGGGTATTGGTTCCAGGCAGCTGGGCAAAAAAAAAACAATAAAATAAAATAAAAATAAAAATAAATATATGATTAAAATCAGACTAGGTACTCCACTGTGGAGCAGCACGCTAGGATGACGTTGCGGCGGTGCAGGTGGTCCAATTAAAGCCAGGGGTTCGGCGTGATAAACACCGACCGTCCAGACAACTCATGCTCGAGACAGATTTGGCTCGAGTGAAACACGTAATATCCACCCTGTGTCTGCGCCTCTGGATTTTTGTTTTTATCCGGTTCGAGGATATTGCATTGCCTATTTGATTTGATTTGAATTGAATTGATTTGATTGTATTCTATTCTATTTTCTTTTCTATTTTCTGTCTTCGGTATTGTCATCTTCGCGCCAGGTCAATGTCTCCGTAATGAAATCCTGCCGGTACTAAACGACTTCAGTACGGGTATAAATACGGCCAATGACCGTGAAACAATGTTTCGATCAACGGCGCTATTTAAGGATCAACCGCTTATCAGGATTTCGCCTCGACTGGGAAAGGGAAAAGAATGACAGGATTGACTAACGCCGAGAAGACGATCGGTACCCCTTAGCCAGCGGGTCCAGAATCCAGACCCCTCCAGGAGGGACTCACCAGCTGTGCAAAGACTCCAAGCACTTACGACCGCATTACGCCGCCGCCGATCTTGCGAAGATTTTCCCTGGACACCCAACTTTATTGAAGGCATTACCGTTCGATCGTCGCCTGCTTTGGCTCCATTTCTCGTATTTCGCTTGTGCTTCTCCTCCTGCCTTCGTATTTTCTCTCCAGCCCTATCGGTGCTTTGTATAACACACGCCCTTGTATATTGTGCTCTTTGTATATACCGTGGATGGTCTCGTTCTACTGTTGTCCCTCACGGTCTACGTCATCGTCGACGCCGGCCCCAGCTACTGACAATTCTTAAGAATTGAGATCGATCAATTAATCAATCAATTCTCTTTTTGATCTCCTGCTACCACCACCACCACCACTACTACTACTACGACTGGTGCTCGCCGCACGTTGCTGAGCCCATGGCGAACCTCCCATTCTTCCGAAAAGCTCCTCAACGGCCGGAATACGGCCGGAGTCGCTCCAAAGTCCTCTGGCACCGTCTCCTACGCTCCTTTCTCTACCTCATCGCATGGATCTTCCTGATCCTGGTCGTCATTGGCAATGTCTCCAACAAACCCGTCCTCCGCCAAACGTGGTTCCTCAAGATCGACCTCTCCAACATCATCCCACTCTCCGTCCCCAATGCCGTCCTGATCAACAGTATTGCTCGTTCCATCGGTCTCCATGATTTCTACACCGTCGGTCTCTGGAATTTCTGTGAGGGATACAATGATAGCGGCATCACCAAATGCTCCAAACCGGAGACCCTTTACTGGTTCAATCCGGTCAAGATCATCATGTCCGAACTGCTCTCCGGAGCCACCAGTACGTTTCGGACCCTCCCGTGCAGGCCAGACAGCCCGCCGCTAACAAAGTCCAGTTGCCCTCCCCGGAGACATTACCGACGCTCTCAAGATCGCCCGGATTGCCTCCCACTGGATGTTCGCCCTCTTCATCCTGTCCACCGTCTTGACCTTCATCATGATCTTTCTCTCCCCGCTGGCGACGTCGTCGCGACCCCCACAGTCGATCGCATCGGACCCCAGCGTCAACGCCGCTCACCCGGCCCACCGTCGCCGCACGTTCATCTTCCTCCGCGCCTTTCCGTTCTTCCTTCTGACCTTCTTCACGGCGCTCTTCACCATTGTCGCCTCCGTCGTCGCAACCGTCATGTTCATCATCTTCAAGAACGTGTTCACCTCGGCGGATTACGATCTGAATATCGAGGCGGAACTGGGCACCCGCATGATGGCCTTCATGTGGATTGCGAGCGGCTGCAACCTGCTGTCGTTCATTCTGCAGTTGGGTTCCTGCTGTGCGGCTTGTTGCGGGGGCCGGAAGGCCCGGAAGGCGCTGAAGAACGGCGGTGCCAATGGATCGCCGATGCGCGAGAAGGATGCTCATAGTCCTGCAACGACAACCGCTACCGAGTGAGCTTGGTTTCCGTCTCTTACAGCAAGCCCCGTCCAAGTAGGGGGCCAACTTGCGTCCATTATAGGCTTTGGATTGGATATTATTGGTCATCAAGAACATACACAAAGTAAGAGCCACATATATAAAGCTGGTCATATATCTCAACTTTTGTTTTAGAACTGTTATATAGACTGGGGTCTCTATACGGACATTGTTTTATCACCGCTTGGCTCAGCATTGGAGGTGCATTTGATTTGGTTAGTTACGATCGTTACGACTTGTCATGATATAATCTACGGGTATTTGGACTGTTCCAGATCCAGAGATGTAACTCGTAAGGGATGTGCCAGACTTCTCAGATACGCTTCCTGTTTTTGGAGGCTCTATCTATGTACAACGAACTAGTAGTACTAGAACTATGAATCAGACCATAATTATAAATCATGTCACACACGTACAACGGATAGAAATACTTTCGCGTGTATATAGGTGATCTGAATAGATTCTACTCGAAAGCCAGATTAATGGTTGACATTGATCATTTTGTCGTAGCTGCATTTGCAGGGATATATATATCACTGTTCAGTTCGCTGCGGTTCAATTTAGGGCATGGCTGTGTATATCACGGAAAACGGTATGTTTTAGCTAGAAGTAGTATCTCGTGACAGTTAGATTAGATTTAGCGCTCTTGTATATAAGACTTGAAAAAGAATAGATTATGAGTCTTTGTTTAAAGAGATTATTGTATAGAGAAGCTAGAAGTGTATAAAACTTCGTATCCGTGGACTCGTTTAGCCCTAGAATGCTGGGCGGAGATATGATTGTTTGTTTGAATTAGAGATATACTGGATCCAGAACTATAACACTCCAGCTGACTATTATAATATTCCTATAGATATCATGAGCATGTAGGGTCTGCATACTAATATGTCCTTCAACTAATCTTTACGTATATGATATCGATTTTTATGTTGACCTTCATATCATTTCCTGCCGACGGAATTCCCACAGCTGCTGGATAAGTTCAAGAAGCATGTCTTTCGCTATCAAGACATCCGGTTCACAAGGCTCCGTGCCGCCTCACTAGCAAAATGCTAGGCTTAGGGAAGAGAAGAAGAAGAGTACCTAGTACCTGACTTGGGTAGGTACCCAGCTCACCCTCTTCAAGCGGCAATGCGACAGGAAAGGAGGACTCGTGCTTTTTTATCCAATATCATTCATTACCGACCAAGAGGATATAGATAGGGTCCTTTCGATAGTCTCTGACTATATGCCACTGCCTCCCCAGGATACAAGAGCTTTGCAACCCCTGCTACCTGCCGTAGAAAACTACCGGGTCATTAACGAGCGAGCGAGCGAGGTTCATCCCAGCTGAGAGCCAGAAAGAAGGACAAAGATTTTGAAGAACCATGGACTTGTCTGCAACAGCAGGAGCCAAGATCGGCGACAGCCATTGTAATAGCGAGCCCTAGCAGCGTTCTATTGTGGAATTCCGTGGAGCTATGACAGATGCATGGAGCAGGAATTCTTTGTCTTCTACTTCTGTAAGTACAGTACAGCATGGTCAATGAATCCTGCGCTTTTCAATCAACGGAGAACTAGAATGACGGATCATTGTCCCTGGGGTGCCTCTGATGCATCTTTCCCATATAATCCAGTGCCTATTGTTACCAACAATCTAGTACATATAAGCAAAAGGCGAAAGGGGCGCATCGCTGGATATTTACAACAGCAGCATACTTTACATACTTACATACCTACCCCATATCACTTTCATTCTTCTACGACTCTTGCTTTCTGAACCCAAAGGGCACTCCTAGAGGAGTGGAACCCTCGTACCTTCAACCATGAACAGCAAAGCAACCAGACCCAAGCGACCAAGACTACCCAGTCCCGCCACCCGAGAACTATGGATGAAACGAATCGGCAAGAGTCTCTCTGCGAACGCTCCTCTGCGCCCAAACAAGCGAACAAAAACGAGTGAACGCGACGAAAACTGCCCGGAAACCAGACACCGGTTCCTCACGACCTACAAGTGCAAGAAGATAAGGGGGGAGAGCGGGCTGCGCTACGGGCGTTACCGAGAGAATTCCCATGGAGATATGACGACCGTTGCTGGGGGGTCTCTGTACGAAGATGCTAAGTTATACAGAATGGATCGGAGGCAGGATGCTGAGATATATGAGGAGCTGTATGGAATCTCTCCTTTCAAGGTGCCGAAGAGTAGGTACATGTACATATGCAGTCCGTGATGAATGGCCAGCTAAGCTAATCTGATGAGACGTAGTGCATTCGGAAACGCGTGCCTTGCTCAATGATCATGCGACGGCTTTGGCTTCAAGTGACTATAAGTTTACGCCCAGGTTCCAACACGGTTTTGAGGAGTTCGTGGCTGCTCTGAAAATGGCTGGATTTCCGCGATATGAATACTTTCGGTGGAACCTCAATGGCAACATTGAGGACGAGCATCCAGTCCTCATAAAACTCAGGTCATGTCATTGGGCTTTAGAAAGAGCTTTTAAGAACGAAGTCACATACATTAGTAGCTAAGAGAAAGGGTCTAGCTAAGCCTTTGTTCAATACATTGACCGTTAAGTTGGTTTGCTTCGTCGAGGTATTCTTTATTAGATTGTCTTTATCTGTTAGCAAGCATCACTGTCGTGTTTGGCAGTGCACCCAAAAGGATCGATCTCCTCAGTCTGTTCAACCGACCACTTAGCCCACATAGTAATAGTCATTGAGACCTTTGTATAGTGTCAACTTCTTGGCTACATCTACAACCGATTGTCAAGTTACGATAATAAACAAAGGCAGGTGTCACAGAGATTAAATAAATATGCAATATTCCCTAATCGCTATGCAAAGCTTCGATTACACTGTTGGAATCTTGAAAGTAATAAGAATGGGTATCATAATCTTTAAGCTTCGGCCAGTTCCGCCTCCATCGCACGAGCCAACTCGTCGTCATCATCATCATCGATGGGGCCGTTCTGGGCAGCTGTATGATCCGGAGGATCACTGTGACTCCGCTCAACTAAGGTGCTGGTATCTTGCTGAGGTCGTGGAGATTGCGAACTCAAGGTACGAAAATCATGCCCCGTCTGTCCGGTCTCGAGCCAGCCATATTTTTTGTTTCGGAGGGACTGGAGCATCTCCATGCGGCGTTGGCCTCCTTCCGTAGGGGGTTCCGAGGGAGCGGGTTTGTTCGCCATCTCATCTGTCAAATCAATCGTGACTGGGGTCGACTCGCGTTCTATTGCTGAGCTAGCAGGCTGCTGACTCTCGTGGACACCCGAGGCGTCGGGTGGTATGCCCTGGGGAGGTAGGGGTTGAGAGCCTTGCCTGGCATGCTGCATGTCTCCTGAGGGCGCCGGAGTAACGGGGTGAGAATTCGGCGTGAGAGGGTGTCCCCGGGCTTGCGATGTGCGCGGAGGCTTGTATGAATCCGGGATCGGAGCAACTGCAGGCACTTGTTTCTGGACGTGGATCTCGTAGAGAAGGTTGTTATAGATTGTACCAAGGTCATGTAGCCTGTTTTTCCACTCTGTTGCCTCTCTCTTATACTGCTCAACACGGTTCTGGTGTTGACTAGAAACACGTCGAAGCATGGCATTCTCTTCGCGCAGTAGTTGCTCTCTGGTCTTGCCCGTCACAGGGTCTATAGTAGTCCACTCAAACCAAGCGCTTTTGTACTTGTTCCGCTCGCAGGTGAGAGTATATACCTTTTCCTTCAGGCTGGAAACGCGATAACTCATTCGATCGTCTGCAACTTCAATGTATTTGACGTGGAGATTTGGTGCTGACGGAAGATAACCTAGAGGTCCTCCATATTGTGGGTAAGGGGACGTGTATTCCGGTTCTTGATGAATTCGTTGTAAGATTTCTCGACTAATATTGGACGCCAAATCTGAAGATTCGAGAGAAAATCGGTCTTTAGTGAGTAGGCTGACAGAAGGCTCCTTTGATATCGAATGTACAGGGAGTTCAAGGGAAAGTTGGTCGCCTTGTGCGAGGGGTGGCTCAAGTCCGAAATCTGGCGGGAGCTCGTCATCAGGTATCAAAGGAACATTGAAATCCGGATCCTCAAACAGGGCATCCAAAGAGTCAAAAAGTGGATTGGGTGACTGCAGTCGCTCTAGTCCGGGTGTATGGGGAGCGGTTCCACCTTGTTCCGGCTGGTGAGAAGAGTCGGGAGAAGACAAGGAAGGCGTTTCCCCAGGAGAAGGAACACTGTGGTCTTGCTGTGACTCGACTAGTCGTCTCTTTTCAGGTGGGCCCCATAAATCAAGCTCTGGAAAGGCCTCATCGCCAGCTCGTTTTCGAGATGCAAAAGCCGCATCAAGCTCGCGAAGTACAGCCTCGGAATCGAAGAGCGGGTCGTCAAACAGTGCTTGTACTGTGTCAGTCGAACCAGCGAAACCTACAGGGTCAACATCCTGAACCGGTAACTTGGATGAGCCAATACCCGCCGCCGAAGCCTTGATCTTTTGATCCCCGGGAAGCTGGTCGCCGGTGTACGCTCCTTGTTCACTGCCGTCCGGCAAACTATGGTTCTCTTCCTGCGAGGGCACCTGAGCATCGACAGGTTGCTGTGGCTGCGACCCAGGGGGTGGTGTAAGCCCCAGATCATTCACATGCAGGTGATGTACGTAAGGGGGAGATGGAAGATCCTCGAGAGCATAAAGCCCTTGAAGATCTGGAGGGCAGGTCTGGAGAGAGGTAGAAATACCTTCAACCACGCTTCCATCCATCTTGACAGAGATAACCCAATATAATGTAGATCAGAAAGACAGTGTGCCCGCCACTATGGCTTTACACCCTTCAACAAAGCGGAGGCCTCAGACGGGGCAAGTGCGATGCGTATTGTAGACACGTCGGTGGGCGCAAGGTATGTGGCGTCGACAACATCAACGCAGCGACAGGATGGAAAACGCCATGGGTAATGTATATAGGCTATGGAAATAAGTAAGAATAAGTTCCTGGTTATTTTTCTCCAATGGGCCTTTGTTGCGCTGCAGTCCGTACCTGTTGAGACACCAGAGAACCTCTAATCAGAAATTTCAATTTTCTTCCGTAGAATACCGAGTCGGCGCAGACGGTTTGCAGGACGTCACAGGGTTTGGAACGGTGCGAATGATCTCCAGACGAATAAACGGTCGGTAGCCAATATTCGTTACTTAATTGGAAGATGAATTGCCAAGTACGACGCCTCGACAGAGTCGAACTGAACAAGGACACGACTTTGCTGCCGCTCAACCGAAGGTGAAAATGACGCGGATTGTGAGACCTTGTCAGACCCTCTGTGACAGCCGCGGAATGATCCTCGCTGACGAAGAAAACAAAGCACAGGGCGAAACTTTGTATCTTATCTGCAACAAAGAGGAAAACATGATTTAAATGGGCCTTTTTTTTAGTCGACTTTTAATCTCCCTGAGCGCGTTCCGCCTTACCCACCGCCTTCAAGACCGCTCACGTGTGCCTTGCCCAGAACGGCCAGGGATTGCGGGCAGCGACGACCGCCGCAGCATAAGGCCGGCAGGAAGCAATTCGACTTTCTTTCCGCTGATGGGGAAGGAATCGCTCAGGGTCTCCTAATATTTAATGCTCTTCAGTTCCTCATAGGTTCCCGCACCTTCAATATGAGCGTCATTCTTTGTACCGGTAAGTACAAGCTGGCCTTCAGCATTGGTTTCGAGATCTTTGGTTGGCATTTCAGTGACGCTAATTGACCGCTTCGCTACCAAAGCCGGATATGACCACACCATTCGGTAAGTCAACTATTTCCCCTACGATTGCCGGCATACCCAGCGCGCTAATCCTATATGGCAGTTTTTGGGAAGCCCTGTCTGGCATATGCTCGCGGACTATCCAGCATCCCGACTCTCAAGTAAATCGCTTATGTATCACCCCAGACAAGCGCTACCTGGCCGCCGCAGGTCACAACAACGTCAAGTTGTATGATATCAAGTCCACTAATCCCAACCCGGTTATGACCTTCGATGGCCATACGAACAACATTACTGGGGTTGCATTTCACTGCGAAGGCAAGTGGATGGTCACTAGCTCGGAAGACGGCACGGTGAAAGTGTGGGACACGCGCACCGGCAGTCTACAACGCAACTATGCCCATAAAGCCCCCGTCAATGATGTTGTTATTCACCCCAACCAGGGTGAACTCATCAGTGGGGATCGCGCGGGTATCGTCCGGGTTTGGGATCTGGGCGAGAGCGTCTGCACTCATCAGCTAATTCCCGAAGATGACGTTGCTGTGCAAAGTGTTAGTGTTGCAAGCGATGGATCTTTACTCTGCGCAGGGAATAAGAAGGTATTCACTATTCACCTCTCTCCCTCTTGGTGTCATACCAAGCAAACTATCCATTCACTTTGCGATTCGAGACTAATTGACCTGTCAGGGCAATGTTTATATCTGGCGTATGGTCCAAGATGCTGAATTGACTCGCATCGTCCCAATGTGTACCTTCCAGGCCCACAAAGACTACCTCACCCGCATACTTCTCTCACCGGACGTCAAGCATCTCGCCACCTGCTCAGCAGATCACACAGCCAAGGTCTGGAACCTCGATCTCGACTATCCCCCGGCCAAGACAGCCGCCGCGCAAGCCAAGGCCAATGCCAAAAGCATCACCTCGGAACCTAAAGAGACCCCTTCGTCTCCACCTCCTTCAGAAAGCCTAGTGAACACCCCAAGCAGTGAACAAGGCAGAGCCGACTTTATCAATCCATTCAGCTTCATCAACGGAACCCCGCCGCCCACCAACGAGCCCCAACAGACCTTCCCCGTACAACCCGATGGTCCCCCAGTAGATCCGAATACCAACACCCTTTACCTGGAGACCACTCTAGCAAATCACCAGCGATGGGTGTGGGACTGTGCGTTCTCCGCCGATTCAGCCTATTTAGTCACCGTTTCGAGTGACCACTACGCTCGTCTATGGGAGTTGGCTTCGGGCCAGGTTATCCGTCAGTACAGTGGGCATCACCGCGGGGCGGTGTGCGTTGCTCTGAACGATTATTCTGAGCCTCGATGAGAGGTGTTGAGGTACGCACATTTGTTGTCCGTTGTCGGTTAGTCTTCTTCATGGTTAGCATGGCGCCTGGGATTGGGTGAAGCATGGAGGCATGTTGCCTTCTGCATTGGAGTTCAGGCTTGTTTGTTCCCACTTGTATTGTTTTGGATGTCTACGAGTCTATGGCATGCTCACGTATGATTGTGGTATATCCAATCCGAAATAAAGAATATACATATAATAGTCTGTCTGTACAAGTTCTTTGTATATTCCCCTACATATGTATTGATACGATCAGAAACACACAAAGGTATAAGGCTCACCCGAGAAAAATAACATACCGACAACTGATAGGACAGAAAACCTTATCTGCTCATTGCACCTTGCTCCCAAAGCACAAGGACAAAAAACGATGATACCAAAATAATAAAGGGAAGAATAATTCGTAAAATTACAACCATGCGTCTTTAAGAACCAATCAAACCACCAAACATGTGAGGAATTCTTTTATCTTTCCTTTAACCCCGTACAAGTGGGTATGCTTAGATTTAGTTGACGGCAAACCACGTTACACTCACGACGACATCCAGACCCCGCTCGTCAGCACCGGGGTACTTGAATGTCCACATTCCATCACGGTTGACGTCCCAGAACGCGCCGGAGGCGGAGTGCATCCCGCGTTTACCAGTGTTGCTAGCGGCGCCCTCTGCGGCGGCAGACTTGTCGATCAGGCCTTGTTGCACAATGGTGCTGTTCACGGTGAACCGGTAGGGGGCTGCCGTCGAGGGGGTAGAGGGAGCGGTCGCGGCGATGAGAGCTTTGAGGATGGTGTTCTGTAGCGGTTTGGTGGTTAAACCGTTGTCAAATGACGCCAAGGAATACGGTCCACACTCACAATGATCTGAGAGTTCCATTCGCCGACCTTGGTGTGCTCGTAGCCCTCGACACCGCTCAGTGCGGAGTCACACGCCTGTTCTAGAATTAGTACAGGCTTTCGTTATCTTGCCATGGTGACAGTTGAATTGAATAGCGTGTGCCACCGCAACTAGGTTGAGACGGATGATAAGGGGGAGAACGTACCTCGGAGGCAATCTTGGTGAGGTCCTCGATAGGGACAGGCTATGGGCGTCCACACGAGACAGATGTCAGCGTGGACCGAGTCAATGGACGAGCGATAGCGGACAATGACGTTTTAGCGGCGGGACAGGATTGCATGGTCACGCACCGAGGAAGTGGGAGCAGTCTCGACAGCCATTGTAGGTGTGATAGTCGGGTGTAAAGATAGTTGTTCGGAACAAATCTATCGAGTTAGTAGGGTTGAACCGCGATTGGGGTCTAGACGGGCCCAGAGTCGACAGTGGGCAGACTGGAGAGAATCTGGAGATATGGTTGTGGGGGAGTGCGGCCCCGAGAACGGGGAAGACGAATTGACGGTCAAGACCTGCAGAAGAATAAAACTCACCTGATGCAATGTGGTATGCAGGGATGAAACAAGCGGCGATGTTGGCGGAATTCCAAGACTGTAGGGAGAGATGGGGATTCCAACAGGGTGTTTTGCTGGATGTTTAGGAGCCGCAGTTGAGCGTGTTATCAGGATTGTGGCTTGACGGTCGATGGTTGGCCCACCCTTGCAACCACCCCATACTGGATCGGGGTTGGCTTAGTAGCTACTTGCCAGCTAAGGGCTAGTGCCGTGCTTAGCCCATCACCGCCACAGGAATACGGGGTAACCATAATCCGGAACGACCTCAAGCGATGACAACAGCAACGAACGAGAGCACGTGGGATTGAGTCGACGGTCGGAAATCAACCCGACGCCACAAACTAGGCCGAAGCGGGTAAGTAGCAAGACGACCGGAGCGTTTGTAGCGGGGCACAATCTGGGCCGTCTTGAATACCGACAGTAGTGGTTGCAGCAACTGTATCGATCCTCTCTAGTCTCTCCCCCGACGCTTCCAATCAATTTTTTTTTCTCTCTCTCTTCTTCCTTCTCTAACCGAGCATCATCTATCTTTTTTTTTTCATCCCATTTCTTAGCTATAACATTATCGAGGTTGTTCAGAAACTCTCGTCTCCAATTGCTCTCATCCCTCCTGGCAAGCTCTCCGGATCCCATCTCACTAGCTCTTATCTCTCCCCTTCCGTACCCACACACACACGGACCAAAATGTCGAGTCAACCTCTCCTCCAGACTGCCCCAGGTCAGTAAAAGAGGCATCATGAGTCAATCGTCTCAATCCCAACTAACAGTCCCCCCAAAGGCAAGCGCATCGCCCTGCCCACTAGAGTCGAACCCAAGGTCTTCTTCGCCAACGAGCGGACCTTCCTCTCCTGGCTCAACTTCACCGTCATCCTGGGCGGCTTGGCCGTCGGTCTCCTGAACTTCGGTGACCGCATCGGTCGTATCTCCGCCGGTCTCTTCACCATCATCGCCATGGCGGCCATGATCTACGCCCTCTGCACCTTCCACTGGCGCGCAGCCAGCATCCGCAAACGCGGCCAGAGCGGCATCGACGACCGTTTCGGTCCAACCGTATTGGCCCTCGCCTTGTTGGCGGCCGTCGTCGTTAACTTTATCCTCAGGATGACGGAGAACTAAGCCATCTTCTGTGTTTCTTGAGTGTCTTCTTTATGTGCTTGTTTCTCAACCCCCTTGTTTTGTGGGGCACGTGCCCGTACTTTTGCTTGCGTTAGACCTGGGTTATGTGTTATGGTCTATGCCCTTTATGGACTTGTTTCTTATTCGCGCTGGGGTGGACGTCGCTGGCCGGTGCAAGGGTTAAGAATGAGTGGATAGATTATGGTCTGGTTTGACGAGCGGTCGCAAGACTGTCTTTCTTTTTTTTTTTTTTTTTTTTTCTCTCGACTTTTTATTATTGTTTATTGCTGCTTGTACGTGTACATTGTGGGTAGTTGTATATTCCTCTGTTGTCTTCTGTGTTATAGCGACTAAAATTGTGCTACAGCCACTGGTTAGTGGGCTTCAAAATTGCAAATTTGAATTATTGGCCATGAATTGAATACTATCAAGTACAAAAATATCGGTCTCAAGCAACAAAAGGAACCCCCTGGTTCGTCCTTCACTTCGTAGTATGGAATCTCGTCAGGTCAATGTACCCGTGGTCAACAAAGTACTCAAAGTTCCAGTAGTCTGCTTGTGTTCCTTGCCCGTTCACGGTCGCATTGCCCGAAAACTTAGCGGTCCAGTAACAGCTGCCTTGGGAATACTTGTACATGGCATCGAGACCTGCATTCACATTCCTCTCACGGAGGGCAAAGGAGTTCTGGTATAGCGTTTGGATCGACCACTCGCCCGTGAACACAGGGAACTTGCCGTCCCCAGCCTTGGACCGCGCGTCCGCGTACAGGTGGGTTGGCAGGGTCTCAGACGTGACGTTGCGTTCGAAGTAGTAGGTGTGGACGTCAAAGACAAGGTTTGCGCCGGCGGGGAGCTGACTGGACCAGTACTGCTCCGGTTTGAAGCTGCCCTGGAACATGACTGGGATGTTGGGGTTGACAGATGCGACCCTATCGATCACGGCACGGATATACTTCAGTACCCAGGTGGCTCCGCGATCTGAAAGTGCGGCTGGGGTTCCGAAGACGGACATATCCGGGTTATCGGTAGGCTCGTTCATCGGCTCGATGGTGTACGATTGGGGCGAGCCTGAGTCTGGACGAAGGAGATGACGGCATCAATGACTTGCATGGAGTAGTCAAACGCGGTCTCGTTGTAGTACCAGCCCCAGTGTCCGCTGGCTTCGCCGATGGTGAGACCGTTCGTGCCGCCAGGAAGGGAGTGGACATCCACGATGATGTGCATGCCATACTTGGTGATCGCGTAGTCGGCGATCTGTTTGAGGTAGGCTGTCTGGTTCCCGGAGTACAGTTGGGAGCCAGGGAGCTTGATCCAGGCGGCGTATGTCGTGGGAATCCGCAAGACTTCTACTCCGACGTTGGCCAGCTTGTCGATGTCGCTTTTCGTGATGTAGGTCGCATATCGATGTTCCAAAACAGGTCCACACCGGGATCCTAGGTGTTCACAAAGCCCCCATTCATCGTCTGCGCCGCCGGAATAGGTTCCCCAGAACTGGCTGTCAATCGTGGACTCCTGGACGAGCCAGCCTCCGAGGTTGACTCCGTTGGCTTTGAAAGTGGTCCAGTTGACGTACTCTGGACTGTGCACTCTGGGATGGGGAACTGCCAAAGCGGCCGAGAGACAGCCCAGGGCAGTGAGAAACGGTAGTGACGAACGCATTTTCACGTAATGAATGCAATTTTAGAGGCCTTATACTGGTAAATCCGTTCACCTCCCAGCCTTCACTCTTCACACCCTGCAAGATCCCCCGTGGGAGCCCCCGCCATGATATAGGCCCAACTGGTGTCCCCGAGCCATATTGGAAATCCCGAACTTGATCGTCTCTCAGTGAGATCACAATGGACATACGAAAAGCTCTTCGGGGAAGAATGTTCCCGTCTGCTGCTTCCTGAAGATCCACAGTCTAACCGTATAGAGAACGTATCCCGCAGCAGTTGAAACCAAGGTCGTTAGGCACAAGGTAAATTACCCAATGACAAGAGAGCACAGAGCAGAAATCCATCTTGCGATCCCACGAATTCTTCACTAATATAATGGAATCCACATGGTGACCCTGCCGAAAGGCGTGGTTGCGGGGTGCGGAGGAAAAAAGGCCGTTCGTCAGTACCCCAAAACCCCAGAGTATCCACCGCGTGCAATCACGGTCGAGTATGTACGGTCTAACATCAACCCGAAAATTTTGATCAACATCTGTCCAAGGCCCTAAGTTGTGGCCGTTGCTGAACGAAAAGGCTCCGTCCGGAATTCCCCATCTCTGGTAGAGGGGATTGCCGCCTTTTGGCACTCGGATATTCCGAATCGAGATCTTTCACTCAAGTTGAGCCATGCTGCGTTATATACGAGCGTTTCCCTCGTACCTGAAGTAACCACAGTTGCACATTAGGGCGTCTCGCTCATTTACTGTTTGAGTGTACAGCTCGACAACTCCCATTTTTAACCTGGGAAGTGTTAGCATGACAGCACTGGATGAGAATCAACCGACCGCAGGGAAGGCAGCGATTGAGGATTGACCACATACTATTGTCGGGTCCAGAAGACGGATTCTACCAGAACCATGGCGCAGGAGAGTCTTTCAGTGAAACTACTTATCCAGAGGTAGAGGGATGGTAGGGTTCTTGCCTGTATATGCAAATCTAGGAAAACAAAGCACCCAGAACGGAAAAGCGAGGGATGACTAGATGCCATGATGTAATCATTTGTACCTCAGGCACTCCGTCCATGACCGTTGTGAAATGATCAGGCAGCGAACGAACCATGGGCCCAGCAATATGAAAGAAGTCCACACTAGGAAGAGAATCCGCCATGTGTGTGCGACGAACCTTAACCACTCACTCCCGATCCATGGCACCGTTAGCGTATAATTCAATTGTCACTATTGTGACTAAGGAGATATTCCATAGTTAGCCAACCATCACTCCCACCATTCCTACTCCAGCAAGACCTATACAGCTGCACTACTAGGGCATGAACTCGGCGGATGCCCAATGATATGCACATTGTCGACGTCGCTAACGGTGGTACAGCGCGCTAAACTACTCCTACCAGGAGGTATATTCCAATCCCAGTGCGAGTAGGTTGTACATGTTAAGTGACTCCTGTGGCAGTGCAGGACGAACTCGGATGGTTTGCAAGGTATGGAGACCGGACAGACGACAAGAAAGAGGAGCTCAGATCGCTTGATACAGACAAAAGTACCATACCGGGCGTGACGGGAAATACGGCGAAGACGAGCCATGGACCAGTCCAGGCCCAGTATCACATCATTGACCCACCGGTCAATGTGAAGGGTCAATAGCGCGAAGATCTGATTTGACGTGTCATTCTGATTCAACCAGGCGCTGGAACAGGGAAGTCAATTCCTGAGGATCAATGAGAGCTCATGAAGGATATATCCCAAAAAAAAATATTATTATTTATTTTTCTTAGAACAAGAATATTACTAAATTTCCAGATTAATATTTCAGACGAGGGAAAGATTTCACCGGTACTTTTACGACGGAACTGACTCAGTACTAGTACTAGTAGGCAAGTCTCTTCCGGCACATCGACATTGGCCCTTCCTTGAGAGCAGACGCGATAACGATTGAATGTGGTGATAGCTGTTTCTCCCCGTCGTCATAGTAGACCATTCAACCTCTCTGTCCACGGTCTGTGTCTGTAGTACTACGACTGTTCAAGCATACATACAGGGTACGAATGAGAAACAAAACCACCCTGGAAGATCCCCTCACTGTCACTGATCTTCTTTTTGCCTCCACCTTCTCCCCCCCCCCCCAAAATCCAACTTTCTCAAACGAGTTTCTGCTCATTTTCCCTTTCGCAGAACCCAAAACCAACAACTCCCTCCAACTCTTCCTCTTCCCACCGTTTCCTCCCGGATTCTTTCTTCTTCTTTCTCCTTCTCTCCATCCCCGACGGGTTTCATCACTCTCCATCTCCGCGACAGGATTTGGGTCCCTGGTCGGACTACTGATTTGCGATCATCCTTCTTATCGCCTTCCCTCCCTCGTTCTCCTTCGTATATAGGTTTCTTTTCTTTTTCTTTTTCGGTTCCCCCAAGTGATCGTTAATTGATTCGCAGATTAGCTCGAATTTTCCTTCCTATTCTGTATTATCTTTTCGGAACTGATTGAACCCAAAAAAGTTTCGTTGTCATCTCTTTGCACATTTGATGTTGTTATTTATTTTCTCTTTCCTGATTCATCCCCTCTTCTTGTCTGCTGCCTGTTCCTGTTGAAATTCATTACGAGTTGTGTTCCTTAGCATCCATTATTAATAGATTACGCCACCACCTGTGTTCCGCCATTTTTGCCTCTCTGGAGGTGCCAATCAATAGCCCCGTGGATCCTCTGCTGCCTTTCCCTCCTTTCCCGGGAACTGCATGTGAGTGGACTACCACTACTACTAACGTACTTGTTGGGAACGTACGGAGAACGTACTGTACTCCCTCATACTTTACTTGAACTTCCTCTCCCATACCATTGTTCTGGTGCTTATCTGTCATTATTCATTCCTCTGGAAACTCTGTCTGGTTCGGAAATTCAATCTAAAACTCTTTCCCATCCGAACTGCTCTTCTCAACTTCCTTATCATCCTTCCCTCTCCCGCTTAAGGTGGTGAATCCGCTCTAACGTCCGGTGTTTCTGGTTGGGGTGATTCTTTCCTCCCTCCCTTTCCCCCCCTTGCTGAGCTTCTGCCGGTCGCAAACGACGCCTGATCACCGATCGGCAGCAACGTCCACTCCTTCGCGGACTCTACGTCTCACTCTCCACCTCTCCATCTTTTTCCCCCAGGTTTAGATCGCGTTCGCATGCACTGGTGCATGATCTAATCACTCAGCGACTAACTGTATTTGCGCCCGGTTTTTTTTTCCTTGTTTGTTCTTTCGCTTTCGGACGTGTCGCATTTCTCCCAAGTCGTCTTGGCGTCTGAACACCCTACTTCTCTCCCTGTCGCACACCTCTCGCATGGCATGTTTCGGCTGCTACCCTGGTCCTCTGCAATTGGGGGGAATAAGGTGATGGCTGAGGAGCTCAAGATGCTCGCGACCTCGCCACACTGCGCTGCCCCGGGTGTGAACAGCCTGGCGCTGCCCCAGTTGAAGCGCAAGCGCTCCGATTCGAGCGATTCAGCTGCCAGTCAAGGTGCCCCGGTCGCAACCAAGTTGCGCGCAGACGATACACCCAGTACTCCGGTCGCGATTGATCAAAATCCATCTCTCTCTCTCAGTAGTGCGACTGCGACGTCACAGGAACCAACAGCTCTCAGCGATCGCGCATCCCAACCATCACACCCGTCCGACAATGCATCTCGTCAGAACCCCGACCCGTCAGGTTTCCCAGTCGCCAAACCGGATGCCACCCCGCGCAAAGTGAATGTGGAAAAGTTGCGCGAGACGTTGGAGGCGCAGTTAAGCTTAGAGGTGTTGTTGAAGCACAATGAACTCCGTTTGATCGACCAAGAGATCGCCAAATGCCAAGTCGCGTTGGAACAGTTGCGACGGTGCGCCGAGATCCCTTATCCTGGATCGCAGGCCATGGGTCAATCGGTCAGCAACGGCACGGGAATGGCAGTGTTAGCTCCTGGAAATGGACCTCCACCGCTCTCCCCGGCACCGTGGGGTGTAACGGATGGCCCGTACACCCGCCACTATGCCCGATGGTTGCTTCCGGACCCTCGTTTCGACGGAGGGGAGCTCGAGCCGGCAACCCCTCTGGGATTCGGTGCACCAGGTACGCCGCTGATGGAAGGTCGTTCGACGCGTGGAAACTCTGGCGATGGCTACTGGGCAAGCAAATCTCGCCTCCACAGAGGCTCGGGTAACATGAAGCTGCAATCCTTGCCGAATGGCTATCCGCCGCCGAAGGAGAAAGCGGGCCCGATGATCATCCGGCGAAAGTCCGATGGTGTCTTGGTCAAACTGGTTTGCTTGGATTGTCGAAGGGACAATTTCTCCAGCACGCAAGGGTTCATCAATCATTGCCGCATTGCCCATAATAGGAATTTTGCTAGTCACGATGCGGCCGCGGTCGCATCGGGAGAGCCCGTCGAGGTGGACGAAGCGGGTGCGATCATTGGGGGTAAGAACGACACCTCCAGTACCGCCACGGCAGGTTACGTTCATCCGCTCATTCGATCTGCTCACGTTATTGAGTCGTCCTCCAAGACACAATCCGCGTCGGAAGCCTCTGGTGACAACGCCACGCCTCGGAAACGGTCGGTCTCCAGCCAGGCGTCCTCGGTGGTGGAAACACCTCGTCCGTCTGCCCCCCCTCTACCCACTCAGCGCCGTACGCCGGCGAAGCCATCGGATGACTTCCTGGGCTCGCCGGCGACTCCCCATCTGTCATCATTGATGCAGCTCAAAGGCGTTGGACTCGATCTAGACCGACTGGTTGGGGAAGCGAAAACCCCCGTGGATTTGAGTGCCTACTCGTCCGACGAAGGCGAGTCGGACGTGGAGCCGGCCCAGCCGTCGGTCAATGCGAGTCACAGCGAGAAACCGACTGAAACTCGCATTAGTCGGCAACCGATGCGGACCACAGCTCCGCAAGCCGGGTCGCGGCGCCCAAGTAGCCGAAAGGGGGTGGACAAGACGAGTCATAAGCCCCTCACCTTGGAAACCCTGACGCCAACGCGGGCCGCGCCTTATCAATCCCCGTACGGCCCACCCTCCTCGGTGGCTCCGATCGATGACCTTCGTCTTCGTGAAGTCGATGGGGTCGATCGTTCGGCCAATCTCAGTCCGAACACCGTCGAGTCGAACCAGGCTCCGAGTCTGGTGAGTGATGACGACGACGACTGTGAAGCGGCGTCGGATTCGGATAGCCCGGGTCCCAGCTCGTCGGAAGCTGGGGATCACGAAGAAGACTTCAGTCACATTGACGTGGAAGACGACGACGATACGACGGGCTCCACGACGACCAGCGATCCCAAATCCGACCCCGCCGCTCACCCTTCCCCCGCTTTCTCGAAGCCACTCCGGGGAGGCAGCTCTAAGAAGAAAGACAGCCTTCTTTCTGCATCCATTGTGTCGTTGAACCGTGGCAAGGATGAGAAGCGCGTGAGCTTTGCCAGTCCGGACACCAGTCCTGCCAAGGGGAAGAAGGACCACAAGCGAAAACCTAGTGGCGGCCAGTAAATGCTATAGACTTCTTTTCTCTTTCTTTCTTTCTTTTTCTCAGCTCTTATCACTACTCGCAGGGGCTAGACCTCTCGTCCGTTGTAATGCTATACATCTCTCCCAATTCTTGTACGAGACTTTAGGGCCTTACAACTTGCGTTTACGTGGGACTGTGCTTGCCATGGTCCGATCAGTTTAGCATGTTCTAGTTATTCTTGATTTGTGCGATGCGAGACGTTGCAGTTGAGCGTTTCTGGCGATGTTTACGGATGCAACTCTGACGACTCTCTACTTATACGGGATGATTCTGTACTGAATAATCAAAGATTTGCAAATTGCCAACTTACGTGGTACTCTGTACTCTGTATTCAGACGTGTATCGAGGTAACATACCGAATGGATTGTAATAGGAATACCAAAGTTACCCCGTCTAGAGCCAAAAAAATACAGTAACCGGTCACCTAGACACCTCAGGAAAACGACAACCCCATCTAAAACCACCACAGAACCAAAGAAAAAGATGGACAAAGATCAACCCCAACCCGACGCCTCCGCAGACTTCCACCCGGACCACGTCACCCGGGCTACCTTCCAGGCCCTACTCACCCGCTACCCGGCCACGGTGGAGGCCGTAACGCGCCGCAAGGTCACAGACCGCGTTCTCCAAGCCTCCATACGGGGCAAGCGTGGCAAGCGCGTGCCTCCTGCTCAGGTCCAGAATGCCGAGCTGGACGCGGAACAGAAGAAGCAGGTCGAAGCCGAAGTCCAGGCATATCGGGAGTTAGATGCGCTGAGGTATGAAGGTTTGCCAGGGGTGGCAGCAGAGAAGCGGTGTTTAGAGAAGGAGGAGGTAGTGACGTTAGTTGAGTGGAAGCTGTGAGTGTTCTTTCTCTTTTCTTTCCTTTATATATTCTTCTTTCTGTGTTTTGTGATTTGATTTGTATGGTTTGTTGACGCCCCCGTGCGGGAAACATGGTGTGTACCGTCCTACGTTGCTGGGCATGGTGAAGGCGAACCAGGCAAAGACCGTCCAGAAAGCGACCTCAGACGCTTTTACGGCAGCGCACACGACGACTACGTCTGCTGCGGGCGAAGAAGCTGAAGCTGGTGCAGCTGCATTCCCCAAGACGAGCCTGGACGCGCTGGTCAAACCCCTCCGCGGCGTGGGCGTTGCTACCGCGTCGCTGCTCTTGTCCGTGGGCACGATCCGTGACCCCGAGCACGAGGCCCCGTTCTACAGTGACGATTCGTACCTCTGGCTGTGTCTGAAGACGTTCCCGGGGCTTGGTCAGGAGAGCGGACAGACGGACAGCGACAAGGTAGGGAAGAAGGCGAGCAAGTTCAAGCGCAATGGCGAGATCAATGTCAAATATGACCTCGCGGAGTATCGCGCGCTGTGGACGGCTGTCAATGCACTACGGGCGCGGTTGAATGAGACAGAGACGAAGACGGAGACGGAGCCTGGGTCTTCTTCGGGGAAGGTTTCTTGTGCGGATGTTGAGAAGGTGGCTTTTGTGCTAAGGCATCTTGATAGTTCTGGGTATTTGGAACCGGATCTGGTGGATCATGATTCGCAGGGGGTGAAGGCGAATCCGGGGAGTAAACGGAAGCGGTTCGATGAGGCGGAGAAGACGAGAGGCCGGAAGAGTAAGAAGCAGACTTGATTTGGGGGGGAGGGGGGTTTTTGGTGTACAGTCTGTAGACTATTGGTTATGGGTTGTTTTTATGCTATCGATATACATCTGTCTACCCTCGTAACCCGGTGAGATCAGATAACCCCCCGGCATCATAGAAAAGAGCAAGTGACACGACACTAACTCCAAGCGAAGAGGATCAATTGACGTCTCGCCAATGCTTATTTCCCCGTTGGCGCCGTGCAAAGCGGGCTGGAACCACATCGCCCGCCAACGAGAGGTTCCTCTGCAGCGCGATCTCCCCACATCGTGGCCATCCGCTTGGCGGGCCTCGTCACCCACGCTGCGCAGTTTGCGTCGCCCATGAGGAAGCCACCCCGAACGATGGTGGGAACACTTTTGCTTTCCCCTTTTCCTGTCGGCTCTGTCACTGGCTGGCGGTAGTTGTCTGATCATGTACTCTCCACAGCTCGTCTCATTGACTCGTAACAGTAGACGAAGTTGACACTAGAATGTAAAAAAAAAAAGAAGTAAAGGAGGACAGTGGAGTATACAAGTTCTTCACCTATGGATCTCATTCAAAGATGCACTTCCCTCTCTCTCTCACACATAAACATATACAACCACACTCACTCACCCACTGGCACACAGAAAGAGAGAGAGATATATATATAGAATCCCAATGCCAATACACCTCCTCCTACTCACAACCCTACTCCACCTCACCCAAGCCCTAACATGGCACTCCCTGCTCTACGACACCGGGCTACTCGGCGCCCACCCAGTGAGAAAATACGAATCCGTCGACCTCGCCCCCCCAGAGCTCAACATCCTCGCATGGGACCCGCGCTGCGAAGACAAGTACGTCTTCTTCAGTCCGCGGGGCCATTTCTACCCGCAGCCGGGGCCACTCATCTTCGACAATAAGGGGGAGCTGGTCTGGATGGAGAGCCGGTTCGGCATGGTCATGGACTTTCGGGTGCAGAGGTATCGGGGCGAAGACTATTTGACTTTTTGGGCTGGGGAGGACGATGGGACGAGGGGGTTAGGGATGTATTATATGGTTTGTCTTCTTTCTTTCTTGGTTTCTGGGCTATGAGGGTTATGAGGGATGCCGACGAGAGTTCCATACACACACAAACACACACACACACACACACACACATATATATATACTTACTCACGTATTCACCCGGAGATACAGCTCGACTCAACCTACACAACAACCCACACCATAACGGCAGCCAACAACCAAGCGGGCGACATCCACGAATTCCAACTCACAGCCGCCGGCACAGCCCTAATCACCATCTACGAGATCCGGCCCTTCGACCTCACGCCTCTCAACGGCCCCGCCAACGGGTGGATCTACGACTGTCTCTTCCAAGAGGTCGACATCGAGACGGGTGCGCTGCTCTTCTCCTGGCGCGCCAGCGACCACTACAACATCACGGAGAGCTATTTCCCGCTGAACGGGAAAGGGACGGGGAACTCGAGCGACGCGGCGTACGACTACTTCCACATCAACAGCGTGGATAAGCTAGCGGACGGCCGGTATCTGGTTTCGTCGAGGTACATGCACACGGTGACCTGTATTGGGCGCGACGGGGCGGTGTTGTGGGTTCTGGGTGGGCGGCGGAATATGTTTGAGGATTTGTCCGGGGGCCTGGCGACGGGGTTCAAGTGGCAGCATAATGCGAAGTGGGTTCCCGGGTCTGATCTGTCTGGGGCCACGGTGGATGTGATGACGGTGTTTGATAATGGCGCCAATGACCATGTCATGGATGAGGGTTCTAGTCGTGGGCTGGTGCTGGAGGTGGATGTGGGCAATTGGACGGCGGCGGTGAGGAGCGTCTACCCGGCGCCTGGCGGCTTCAGCGCCCATTCGCAGGGCAATGTGCAGGTGCTCGAGGAGTCCGGGAATGTGTTTGTCGGCTGGGGGAAGGCTGCGGCGTTCACGGAGTTCAGTGCCCGTGGGGACGTGCTGTGTCATACGCATTGGGGCCCGCAGATGTTCTTTCCGCTGGGCTGGGTCAAGTCGTATCGCACGTATAAGGCTGCCTGGGTTGGGAGGCCCGTTGCGCCGCCGGATGTGGCCGTGGATCAGGGCTCGGGGACGGTGTTTGTGAGTTGGAATGGGGCGACGGATGTGGCCGGGTGGGTGTTGCAGAGGGTGTGGAATAACGCTACGGAGGAGCAGGTTGAGACGGTGGATTATGTGCCCCGGACGGGGTTTGAGACGGCCATTGAGATGGCTGAGACTGCTGGGTTCTGGAGGCTGGTTGCGGTGGATTTCACGGGCGAGGAATTGGGCTATACGGAGGTGTTTGGTCTGGATGATTCGGTATGTTGGCTTGGCCACGATCGGGCGATCGAGAAGGCTTGATACTGACAGGTCTTATCTATAGGAGTCCGGGTCTCTCTTTGCAGCGATGGCGGCAGATGAGGGTCTGCTGCATATGCTTATCCCTGCCTGTGCTGTCGGGGCTATGCTGGCGGCTCTATGGCAGACCAGGAAGAGGATCTCAATAGGGCTGCGTTATCTTGCTTCTCGACGGGCTCGACGGGTTTATTGATACGGTTGAGCAGCTTGTTGTTTGGTTTGGTTTATCTGATACCCTACGATGTATGTACATAAACTGGATGTTTCTGATTGAAAACAAAGTGGATGACGTTGATGCCTGAGATATGGAAGTAGATATGATTATAATTACATTTAATTGAATCATGCACGGATAGACATACATATTCCACTTCCTCTTCCGTCAACGTCGACATACACATTACTATTAAGTATTATCATAACTCCCTCGACGCAGCTTGGAACAGATCAAAGCCCCAAAACCCCCAGTACAACACCCAGCATCAGCCCCCCTTCGACAGTCCCAAATGCCGCCGTAGGAGCAGCAGCAGCACCTGTCGACGTGCTAGTCGAGGTGGCAGAGGGACTGGTTTTCTTCGCTTCCGTCGCCGAAGTGGTCGAAGAGGGGACCTTGGTTGACGACGAGGGGAGAGCCTTCGCCGCGTTGCAGTAGACTTGTTGCTTCTGTCTTTCAGGGCCGCTCTCTGCAGAACCAGGGCAGTTGTTGTAGCATCTGTTCATGCCGTTCCATATATTAGCTATGTATACTGGAGCGTGTTGAACAAAAACAGAAGTGCGTTAACTCACGTAACGACGTTGCCTTGCTGCTCACACAGGCATCTCCAATCGTTTGGTTGGCAATCGTTTAATTGGCCCAACATTCGTTGTTTACAATCATCCACGATGCTGTTCGAATAGCATTGTCAATATCTGTAGCTCTGGCTGGGATTGATCCCTCTTTATGACATACTTTTGAGCAGCGCACTTCGTCTCGGTCGAAGTTGTTGCCCCTGAAGTAGTAGTGGGCTGGGTCTGTGCCGCTGCGAGGAGGGGGACGGATCCTGCCAGGATAGTGGTGAAGAGTGTAGCACGCATGTTTCCGTTTTGGTTTGAACGGTAGTTGGATAGAGGATAGGACAAATTAGGATGGAGTATAGAGAATGTGTAGTCACAAGACAGCCCTAAGACAAGAGTACAGAAACGTAGCAAAGAAAAACGAAAGGAGAGACCGCTCAGCTCTTAAATCAAACACGACGATGTCTGAGCGTCTTCCCAGAAAGTGAATGTGAGCGTGACATCTGCAGAGCTCGCGTCTGTAAGACATGGCACCTACCAAGTGAGAAATGGGTGGTGGATATGGGAGACACTGCATCGAACTATGTCAGCCACCCCGGGGGATTGCTTCGTTTCAAGCGATATGAATGGCCCATGGCACTGACTGGGTTTGTTAGTGGGTGGTTGTCTCAGGGCCAATATTTAATAGTACTAACCGATTACCCCGGGTGGGTTACATTTCCTGCTGTCAACTACTAGTACCATGGGGGGCATTGTGATATCAACCGCTGTATTGGGGGGTGAACGTGGTCTGTTAGAGTATCAATTCGAGTCCCTTCTTCCACGTTTTTCTTGCAATTAGAGGCGGTATTCTATAATCAATTCCTCGGTTGACCCCGTACAGTCGCGTGTCTATCGACTGGCGGTGACAAAAAAGGGTCCAAGGACTAAGTCCAATAGTTAAGGACGATGTATCACTTCCTCTTCAGAATCAGATCGGTCACATGCGGCCACAGGACAACACAAACCCTAAAACCGGATACGAAATTTTAGACCCTCCTTTAATGTAAAGACTCTCCAGATTCAAGTCAGCTCGTTATCCATAGGACAATAATACAGAATATATACAAAGCCACCACTCTGAAAGTAACGAAAGAAGAATAGAGAAAAAAAAAGATTCATATAGTCTGCTCCAAGCCGCATGCAACAAAATGAAGACCACGAACGAAGGGGGAATATGGGATGCCAAAGGGACACAAGCCGGTGGAGATCACGAACATGCGCATGCGCCCTCTCAATCGCGTTGGTTTGCATGCCGTCCGCGCAGCACGCGGCGGCGGAATTAATATACTCGTATGCAAAATATCTCGTCTCGGAATGGAACAAAAGATGCATCTACTCCTGTCCGAAACCTAACGTCTCCTCCACTGCAATCGAGAGTTTATGCTCAAGCACATCATTGGTCTTATACGGAGGAAGATCAAGACGGTTGAAGCTGCAGAAGAGTCAGCTAGGCATTCACGATTGCCATAAAGCACAGAGAAAAAAACGTACCATGTGTGGGACTTGGGCAGCGCCCCCGGATCGCCAGACTTCTCGATGGTAAACCGTCTTGGTCCGTCGGAACCTTGCAGGTCTTTGAACCCGTTGACCGGGATACGGGATGTACCGGTAGTGAACTGGAGCAGACGAGATTTCTGTTCCGCATCCCAGCTGCGGACAATCTTCCAGAAGTTCTGGATCACCTCATCCGACTCCTGGTAGCCACGGTAGTCGGTGTGCTTCTTCCAGTCATCAACGTCAATGTCCGCAATACCTCCAATCAGCAGTTCCAATTCGCGCTCATCGAAGACGTTGACCAGATCGGCCGGGATCAGTTCATTGAAGCCAGACATAAAAGCGTTGAACTGTTCCTCAACCCGTTTCACGATCTTCCACTCAGTGACCAACCTGATGCAATGTTAGCTTTCCCCAACTTGCTCATCGCTTGGAAGCCAAAACGTACTCAACATATTCTCCCTTGTTTTCGTTGGTAACAGGAATATCCCGACCACCCGGCTTGAGGTCGATCGTGCGGCGCTCTCCGAACTTCTCATCATCAACCGCAAAGGTCAACTCTATAATGCCTTCGATATCGTTATCCCTGTGGATGATCAGCAGGAGCTCTTGACATATGCCTCGGGGCACGGGGCTACGGGAACGTACAAGGTCCAGGTCAAATTGCGGTGCAGATCTTCGTCAACACCCTCCATATCTTGCAGCGATACCTTCTTCCTGAGCATCATCTTGTAGAACGCTCCAATAAAGAATGAGTCCAGGAAACGGCGGTGGAAAATAGCCAATCCAACAACACGTCCAATGAACTTAAAGTAGTTCAGATGCTCCGGATTAACGCCCGAATGAGGATTAATTTGCAGGGTATAATTATCATGTGCGGAGTATTCGAAAAGACAATAGAAGGGGTTAAACATTTCGTGAGAGAGAAGGAAAAAGAATTCACTGGGCGCCATTAGCTTGCGACACTTCTTCACAATCCGCAGGACTACTTACCGGGAGAGACCACCATAATCCAAACCGTCTTCGCCGTCAAATTTAATCATCAAGCGCTTCTTCAGGTCCGAGGCACTCTGCCGCATGATCTCGGCGTAGGAATCCTCGAAAATGTTGCTACGTCGTACCTTGACATGGCATTGTCCGGACATGATTCGCAAAGCGGGTTGTGACCGGAAGTAGATCAGTTTACGTCTAAAGTCACGCTTGTACTGCGGGACGCCTTGGTCCAAGGACGACGGCAGACGGGGATCGTCCCAGGTAGTCGTCTTCGTGTTGTGGTCGACGAAGTACACCCGTGCCGTATTCGTCAAGCGCATTTCCCAACCACTGGGCAACGGCCCCAGTTGGGACACCGGTTGCTGTTGAATGGTGGTATTGGTGCCGTTGGCATTCTGGCCATACATCCGGATGTACTGCTGTCGGCGTGGATCCACCCATGTTGTGGTGCGAGTGTTGTGGTCGACAAAATAAGGCCGTCCTTCGGGAGTAGTCCGTTGCTCCCATCCTGGCGGAAGCTCGCCAGTGCCAGCGGTGGTCGCTCCGGTCGCCATCATCGAAACAGCACTGGCGCTGCCACCGGCCGGCGGGGTCTGAGCCTGTTGCTGGTTCTCCTGCAGGTTGGGTGAACTCGCACCGGTGCGATCCTCTGGGAGCATGCGACTTTGGTGGGCTCTCCGTTCAAGCTGCATGCTGGCCTCCCGCTGCGTGCGTGACGTTTGCTCGTTGTAGTTGTTCGATGGCCGAGTCCAAGTGGTCGTCCGAGTGTTGTGATCCACATAGTATGTCCGTCCCAAATTATCCTCTCGTCGCTCCCAGCCGGCTGGCAACCGTCCTTGGTTATCTTCAAACGAACTGAGGTTGGTGCGAGAGCCTTGCTGGCCATTGGGCGGAGGGAGCGTTCCATTGGCAGGTACAACCGTGCTGTTAGGCCGAGTAGTCGATGGGACACGTTGAGGGTGGAGAGATGGATTTGACGCAGTTGGGTCCACTTGACTTGGGCCGGGGGACGGCTGCGGAGTCGATGCCGATACTTGAGGCACAAGGCCGCTGGAAGTTGATGGCTGCATCTGTGACCGGTGTAGGCCGTTGGCTTGGTTGGTATTGGGTGTGCTTAAGTTGGTGGACAAATTGATAATGAGTTTGCCATGCACGACAAGATTATCGTTGGATTTCTTCAAGTCTCGAGTGAGCATCTCTGTAACGCAGGAAGTGAAGATGTCAGTTGGGGCACTTTCACGCACGGGACAAACCTTAGAAGATGACGACAGTTGACTCGCAGCCCAACTTACCATCACCGCCCATTTGCAAATCAATCACATCGCCGATCCGTACATTGATCACACCGAGGAACCCTTGGTCCTTCTTCTTGAACTTCTTCTGATCAAAGATCTGGATGGCAAGGATGCTATCTTCATTTACTCGCCTGCATTGTAGGGTAAATCAGTATGGGGGCGTCTCAACTTGGCCGGGGAGGCATACAGATCAAACATCTCATTCCAGTAAGGGTTCAATGTCTTTTTGATGACAGAGGTTGTATGGGTTTGTTCGCCCCCCACAGTGGCCACCGCAAACGGATCGGGGAATCCTGTATAGATGAAGGAAGGTATTAGTGAAACCTGTCAAGGTGATAGTCAATCAGAGCAGATCATATAGGCGGGACATACGGAAGACATCTCGCTTATATAGTCCATCCGCCGCGATAACTAATAAGAAAGGGAATCAGTTAGCTCTTCGCTCTTTTCCTCTCTATGGAAGAATGACTGGTAATTCTCCCCCATTCCAAGATGTCTTACTTGTAACCCTGAGGTTTGGCTGGCTGCAAGTCATTGATTCGTTAGCACACCCTCGCTGTCAACCACAGGACTACTCTTTCTTGCTTTTGACGCGATAGAACTTCTTATCCAAAGAAAAAGGAGCCGCCGAAGAAGACTTACGCGGGCAGATTGGAACCCATCCTGTACTGTGGAAAGGGATCTGGCAGTACACGCCTCGGGTGTTAAACGGCCGATCAGGACAAGCCTAAAAGGTAATTCGCGGCGTGCGCATCCACCACAGACCACAGGCCGCACACTAGGCAGGAGTCGAAAGATCGGAAACACAGGTCGGCCGTAGATCGAATGACAGAAGCGGTGGTGTGAAGTGGAGAGGGGAGAGAGGGGGGGGGTGAAACCGGAACAAGATTGATGATTGATGCAACGGAGAAAACTAAAGATGAGTTGAGGTTTGGCGATAACGGGGAGACTAAGCCTGAAGATGGAGGCGCGGGCAACTTTGGGGCTGAGCAAACCAGAGAAGGTCCTGACGTTGCGCTGTACGAACCAATCACCTTGTGACGAGGGGCTTTCTTCCGACCAGTCGAGCAAGCGGCGCGGTTGATTGACTTGATTCCCGTTTGGCTCTTAGGAACAGTAGCGCGGGTGTGGGCGGATCGTGGCGAAGGAGGGGGGAGGGAAAAAAAATAATAATAATAATAATTAAAAATCTCAAGGGAAAACAAAAAAAAAAAGAAAAGAAAAATAATAGAAAATATTCGAATGATATTGTCAACATCAATAATCCATAAATAAGCCTTCTCTCATACTCTTAGGTATTCCGAAGATTCCTCGAACCGAAAGATATCGGTAATCATCATGTAATATTATACTCCGATCCATTCCAATATCCTTGAAATAATACCAGCCAGAAAAAATCAAAATTTCCTCATTCCATCCAAAAATTACCGGTGACTGAGAGTGACGAGTACTGGGATCCATGTCTGTACAGACATACATTACTGTACGGCTAGTGTTTGTAGAGTCCATCCCAGATCAGGGAAAAGGACCAGAAGGTGATAGGATACCTGAACCCTAAGGTGTCCAGGCCGGCGGCTAACCCAAGAAATCCAGAGGCCATGACGCCAAAAGCAGCAACCCCGCGTGCTTAAGTTCCCATTCGACTGGAAGAAACGTTTCGCCCGTAGCCCAAGCCAAGCATTTAGTGGCTTTCTCGTAAGGCAACAAAATTCATCCCTCTATTTTTATATTGACTTTGGTACTATGTAACTATGTAACTATGTACTGTGTATACCACTCCCCCCGTCTCAATCTTTACCCCCTTAATGCTGTTGTTCAGGAGCATACTCGGACATTGCGGCCGGTCATAGACAGTGGGGCACACGGCTTTGGTTTACCTACCAGCGTTTATCGCCTTGATTTGATCCTTAACGTCAGTCACCTCGTACATACTGCCTAGCTTCATACACATCGTATCCACACACACACCCACACCCATGTGAAAAAAAAGAGAGAGGCAACATGGTGTTTTCCATTGACCCTGTGTAGGATATGCTTTCAAAACTGACGATGATCGTAACAAATTTAAAATAAAGATTTAAAAAAAAAAAAAAAATAGAAACCCTAGTAGAATATGGGTGATATCATAGAAACAAGCGGAATCCATCCATCCTACCGGTTGCCAGATGGTTATCATACAGTACATCCTATCCCCAACTCCAAAGTATTCTCCATGAAATCAGAGAATCCTCACGATGTATCGATTTAATGTGGACGTGTTCGGCCGTATTCCTCTCTCACTCGACTCGTTCGAGCTCGCTTGCTCTTGTCTGCGAAACATGCGCCCTCGGCGTGGCGGCATACGTTGCATGCATTTAGTAAGGTGCATAGCCCCGACCCCGACCACCACGATAGCCTCCACGGTAGCCTCCCCGAGGGGGGTAACCGCCACGGAAGAAACCCCGGCCACGGAAGCCACCTCGTCCGCGGCCTCGACTCATGCCGGGCAAGTTGGTACGCTTGGGGACAACCTGCGTGCGTGTTAGGGGAGAAACGGCACTGGGCACAAGGGGGTAGACAGGGGGACCGACCTTTAGGTTCCGGCCACGGAAAACACTCTCATTTAGAACAAGTGCCTGGGCAACCAAGCTAGGTTCTGCGAACTCTACATAGGCGTACCTGTACCACAAGCGTCAGCATTCGCAACCGATGTTGTATCCATAAAGGCAAAGTCAGGAGGGAGAAAGTCCCAGAGGCTGGAAAAGCGATAACGCACCCTTTCGGCTGACCCGTGAACTTATCCAGGAGAATAGTGACACGATTTATTGAGCCACAGCTCTGGAAATGCGCCTGGATCTCCTCCGGGGAAGCAGCGTAATCAACGTTGCCGACGAAAATACTCCGCGCATCGATTTCTTCCTTGTCTTCCCGCAGGTTCTCGGACTGTTGATCAAGGGTGGCTTGCATCTCGCGCAACTTCGCCGCCTCGGATTCCATTTCGGCTACCCGTCTCTTCATCGCCGCAATCTCTTCCTACAAGCGAGACCACCGTGTTAGTTCGACTGATGCAATAGAAATAGCCATTGTGATAAAGCAAAGGCGATACAGAAATACCGGAGTTGAGCTTCCGGTCTTCAATCGAGCTCTTGAGCTTTCGCATGAAAGAACACCCATACCTCATCATCGGCCCCCTCTTCCTGATGCTGCAGGCGCTCATCTTTGACCTCGTTCTCTTCAGGATTCATTATGGAAGAAGTCTTGTGATGCCTCCTCTTTTCTATGTTCGACCCGCGGAGTCAAAGAAAAACTCAAGTTGTCACGGCACCTCCCCGACTGCTAGCGGAGCGGAGTGGAGCAAGAGCTCTGGGAAAATATAATATCCGGCAAATGCAAAGCTTTAAAAGATTGGAATAAAGTAAATCTAGATTAAAAGGATTGAAGAGGTAAATAGAATGACCAGCAACCGGTGATTGGAGGTAGAAGACCCGTCGTAGTAGGTCACAAATGGTTATGCTCGTGTTTGATCGACGCCGAAGTCACTGCTGCTCTTTCCGGTTAGCGACTTTTGTCATCTGAACCTTCACGGGCAACGAACTTCACCCAAATCCAGTTCCCGAGTACTACTGTCGCAAACGCAAAAAATATTGCCCGCCTTTGTCTTCCTTGTAGTCTTCCAAACTAACTAGCTCCTTTCGCTGATTCTATTTTTGATTTCTTTCATATTTTGCATCTATATGATTTGTAGCAAAAGAAAAGTAAAACAATGCTCGTACCATACACACCCTGAAGTCAGGTGGCTTGCAAGTATTCAGCACTATGGAGCTTCATAGATTAATCCGGCTCAGTATTCTACAGTTATCGGGGTAACAGAAGGATCAAATACGGGCAACCGATACTTCATCTGGCTTTAAAGTACATTGTCAGAAGGAAACCAATCCATGCAACTCATAAGGGATCGGAAACCTTCGTCCATCATCAAATTCAAGGCAGCGGCCAGTTGGGGAAAGCTTGGTAAATTCAAGTCACATACAATTAGGAGGTCGTGATCGTGGCTGTTTCTATGACATATATACAAGCAAATATTACGAAGCGTTAACTCATGATTGAACGGTGTTCTTGCGGAAGGAGACCTTTTCGACCGCGACGGTTTCAACGCCATTGGCGTCCGTCTTGAGTTGGTAGACATACAGCACAAGTACGTCACCTTGAATCTGTAAAATGTTCAGTATGGGAGGCGAAAGAGTGGCATGGAGATGCTAGGCCTCGACTCACATCCATGAGACAAAAGCTAGGCGTTGGTTCCTCTCCTTCGGGCCAATACCCGGTACTCAGAGCGCCCGTTGCACTTCCCGGGGTGATAAAGAACCTCCCTTCCATCTCAAAAGCATCGAAACGGTGCGCACCACCCCAGAGTAATATATCGACATCCATCTGGCGCGCGGCGATAAGCAGGGCTTCGGCGTCGCCCGGCGGGATGATGGTGTGGCCATGTGTAAGACCGATCCGGAGGCTTCCGTGGGTCACCACTTTTGAGAGGGGTAGATTGGGAGAGTCGACATCGAAATCACCCTTGACCAGTTGCAGATCGGGAGCGATACCACGGAGGAATTCAAATGTACTTCGGTCGGTCAGGTTGCCCAGACAGAGGATCTGGCCGATCTTGCCTGGCGTTAAGAGTTTCCGGAACTGCGACAGTCAGTCGGGATCGGTTTGCACAGTGAATTGTTGCCGATTGACGGGTGACTGGGTGGCACGCACCTTAGCTGGAAGATCCTAGAGATGGCATGTCAGTGAATTGAGCGTAGAGGAAGGGAACAGGCATATCCATTACCGGAGCTCTATCAGGGATAAAGAGGTCACCAATGACCAGAACAAGACGCGACGTCATCCTTAAGAGAGGAACTGACGACTCAACAGCCCATTCCAAAGAAACCTGTGCCTAGGAGACAAAGTAGTTACCTGCAGGCGTACAGGCCACCAGCGAACTAGTAGTTAAGGTTACGTATGGTTATTTGGTGCTCCGTCGACTCGATGGAGCTTCGCGGGGAAAGCTCACTGACGCCTGACGCCGATGCCGCGGTCCTCGAGCCCTAAGCCCTATCACTGTGACAAGGATGGTTAGTCTGATACTTTTATCAGCCATACATCGAGCTTTACCATATTTGGGCTAGCCTTCAGGTACTCCGTTCCATGATCATACTTTTGATTATCATCGGTAATTGATGCCGTGCTGATCGACTTACCATCTACTGAGTGGACCAGACACACTGCGTATGATTTGATACTCACATCACTGTGACTGGATTGCTTGCTTGTTCTTGGCGGTATACCTTATCCAACAACTGAGGTGTTGAATCATTGCAGAAGTCATATTTGTCCCACCAGTATACAATCTACTGCGTTGTTTCGAGTCGTCCATTCGCCTGTGAGTTTGTGCTAGTACTAGGTACATAGATAACCTTTGCTAGATGTGATTGTCTGACCACTGACCTTTCTACAAAGGCTTTGGGGCAAGTCTGAGGGGTGTGAGACTTGACTAGCTCCGGAGATATCCATATGATATGAACGAACCTTGACATGGAGAACACATTGAAGTCCAAACCTCAGATACGGTCTCGCCGTAGTTAGTTGGTGCCCATTGTTTGAACCAAATATACAGCCGTATGCAGTTGTGTTGTTGTATTGGTTTCTTATAGTATCATTGGGTGTCCTACGAAACAGGCTGTATCAGAACTATACGTTGTTATATATGTATACGCAGTCATGATTGATAAATATATAATGTCTCCGGCTCTCCGCCGCATATGGGTGCCCAACACTCTAAACCCTGGACGCAACAATGGAAGACGATGTTTTCCTTCCGGCTCGAATTCTCATTACTCGATAGATAAATGAAAGCTGAGTCAATTGCGGTTCGCATCCCAAATCCCAACAAAAAAGTCATCCGGAGATCCCTGAGGTTCTCCGCAGTGCGGAGGTAAACGTACGGAAGGCTCCGCCCGCTGCAAGCGTGGGACATTACGGCCGATAGAAAAGGCGAGAAAGGAAAAAAGGGTTAATAATCTGAAAAATTTTATAGATCAATTGCCCTATTTAAGCATATCCCTTTCAAGGAGAGTTTTTTCTTTTTTTTTTTTTTTCACATCTTCCGTTTTCTTTTCAGTATACTACTCCAGGGATAGTACTAGTATTTGGGATATACCAAAACCATCCACCAATAGCATTGATCCCGATTGATCTTCTTGGTCGTCTCCGGCGATCCCCGACTCTTGTCCCCTCACACCCCATTACTCATTACTATCACGTTCACTTTCTTCCACTACCCCGCGGATTTCTCGGCGTTGAGAGCCGAACCTTCGGAAAAGCTGGCGAGCAAACGAACGACGCAGCGGCTCAGTCTGATTTCCAGGCACCTGGATCAGCGTCTACCGTTGCCCGGTCTTAACACTCCCTTCTCGACCGAGAGAGACTCCCAATCTCCCGACGATATCGAATATAAACCCCTCGATCGCACCGATCTCTCGTCCACTCTTCCTTCTCCATCTCCTTCGCAACCAGAATCTCCCTCTCCCAAAATGTCGTCCCAAGCCCCCCACCCCACCTTGTTGATTCCCGGACCCATCGAGTTCGACGATGCTGTCCTCCAGTCCATGGCCCACTATGCGTGAGTCTACCGGTGATTGTCCAGTAACCCATTGACCCCTCCATACTGATGCTTTTTGTAGTGAGAGCCACGTTGCCCCTGGCTTTGTCAAGACCTTCGGAGAGACATTGACCTTGGTGCGCAAGCTCTTCCAGTCCACTAACCCCGCCGCCCAGCCCTTCGTCATCTCCGGTAGCGGCACTCTGGGCTGGGACGTCGTTGCCTCCAGCTTGGTCGAGAAGGGAGAGAATGCTCTCGTCCTGCACACCGGCTACTTCGCCGACTCCTTCGCCAAATGCTTGGAAACCTACGGTGCGAACGCAACACAGCTCAAGGCACCCATTGGGGAGCGTCCGTCGTTCGAGGAGATCGAGCAGGCCCTGAAGGAGAAGCCCTACAAGGTCATCACCATCACCCACGTCGATACCTCGACCGGTGTGCTCAGCGACATCAAGCGCATTGCCGAGATCGTTCGCCGTGTCAGCCCCCACACCCTGGTGGTTGTTGACGGCGTCTGCAGTGTGGGCTGCGAGGAGATCGCCTTCGATGAATGGGATCTCGACGTTGTCCTGACCGCCAGCCAGAAGGCCATCGGTTGCCCCCCGGTCTCAGCATCCTGATGACCTCCGCCCGCGCCCTCAACGTCTTCAAGAACCGCCAGTCTCCCCCCGCTTCATACTACGCCTCCATCGCCAACTGGCTCCCCATCATGCAGAACTACGAGAACTTCAAGCCCTCCTACTTCGCTACCCCACCCACCCAGCTGGTCCACGCCCTGCACACCACCCTGTCCCAGATCACCTCCCGGCCCATGGCTGAGCGTTTCGCCGTGCACACCCAGGCTTCGGACCGTGTCAAGGCCGCTGTCGCCGAGCTTGGCTTGAAGCAGCTGGCCGCGAAGCCAGAGAACCAGGCCCACGCCATGACGGCCATCTGGCTGCCCGAGGGTCTGGCCCCACCAGACGTGCTCCCGGGACTGCTGAAGCGGGGCGTCATCTTTGCAGCGGGTCTGCATAAGGAGGCTGCGACCAAGTACATCCGGTTCGGACACATGGGCGTCAGCGTCTCCGACCCTGCCCGCAAGGACATTGACAACGCCGTTGCTGCTCTGAAGGAAGCCATGACGGAAGCCAAGCAGGCCAAGGGACTGTAAATGATGATACCTGCCATATTTCACGAACTTAAGTAGAAATGAATATAAAAACGTTAATATACCACATTCAGAGTAATGTCTCCCGGGCTTTATCCGATCTATCCGCAGTAGCTTGGTAGCAGTTTTTTCTCTAGTGAGGACATATACGTGGACCACGTAGACTAATATCCTAATTGATGACATGTCCCGCAGACCAAACCCACACAGTAGCCCCAACCCCTCTTCACGAATGTGTCCGATTATTAGGAGTAGCAGGTACGCCCACTCAGTGCTCCTGTTGCAACCTGAGCGTTCCACAGGTCGACCAATAGGATGATGCTCCGAGTTGACGGTTGTGTTCCCGATCGGTTACAAATACTACTAAGGAAACTGCAGTGGATTAGTAGTACACACCGCGGGCAGTACAGAACTGTTAGTTATCCATTAGATGCCGTCCATGTTGAAATGGGGCTATATATAAGGACTAGTGGCTCCAATTTCATACAACCACCAGAGGGAGCATATAAAGTACGATAATGATATGTATAATGATGATCCTGACTCGTAACATCCGTCCAACTTGAGAGAGAGAGAGAAGAAAAAAAAAAAAAAAAAAAAAAAAAAAAGGAACAATAACAATAGAACAGGGAAGTGAAGAAGAGGGGGAAATTACAAGAACATAAAGTAGGGGTGACAATGATAAGTAAAAAGAGGAGTAATGCTACTGGCACTTATGATGCTGGCCAGTTTTCTTTACAGTCATACCACAAGGGCTATGGATGCATTATAAAACTTCCACCAGGTTGTATACGTGCGCTGCTTCATAGGACTTTTTTTATTGTTCCATGAATTCTATTTGGGAGCCCATGTCCATTCCCTCCTAGGCTATGCTTCTGTTTCCCCTCTACGTAACGCCAAAAAGGCACGTACGTCGGTCACATATTGCAAAGCTTCTAGCAGAGGAACGAGATGGAGGAGGCCGTTATCCGTTGGGTCGTTGATCCAGCCCTCAATGGGAATCGCATTATCTAGACAGAATCAGTGATCATGCTTGCCGTGACGGCGCTCACTCGCCAGTTGACGAACCTTCGTGAAAAATATAACTCATAGGACTGTTGTCCAAGATCATCACTTTGCTCAAGTCAGGCTCTACCGAGCTAAGGTCCTTGATATAGGCACCATTACGGAAAGTACAATGCTGGCGGTAATACCGCGCATGGAAATACTTTCGCTCTTGCTCCAGCCAGTCGATCACGGGGTCGGCGTATTCTTGAACACTGGCAGTGAAGATAACCAGCTTATACCATTTACAGATCTTGCGCAGAAATTCATCACAGTGGGGTCGTTTGTGCACATAATACAGGATGGGGTGTTGTGGTCCTAACGTCGTCGGCGGTGCTCCCGGGCTGAGAGCAGTCGTCATTGGCGCGGCCAATTTAACCTCAACCATGTGGCCGCTGGACATGCGTCCGCCTTTGGCCAGTGAGTGGATGAGGGTTTCATCCAAATCAAGGATCAAGGTCTTTTGAGGAGCCCTATGTGCGCGCGAAGTGGCAGTGTAGGAGGGTAAACGGGGTGGGATCAGCGGCCGAGGAGGCACGGGCGAATGAGGGTACCTTGTAACCTTGTGGATAGATGAAGACGTTGGCGATTTCAAGCTATCTGGATTTACGGTCCCGGTTTCTGACGACTGATCGAGGTCCACACTCTGTGACCGGCGCTGCCTTTGCCGTTTTAGAGCTTCTTCGTTATGGAGCTTGATCCGTATGGAGCGACGAGGAGTGCTCTCATCCGACATCTGATCCGACTTTAACGATTTGGCTTTCGGAGATCGATTTTTGTTACTTGGAGAACCCTTGAGGGCCTTCCGATCACCCTCGGATTCAGAAGCACTCGAGGCAATAGAATCTCGTGACCTGTGACTTTTCAATTTTCGCGTGGAGCCCTGCCGTCGTCTACTTTCCGTCCGTTTGACGTCTTTCGTCGACGTGTTTGCGCTACTGCTAGAGGAACCGAACAGAAATCGCCCCAACTTCCTCGCAGGAGCTATGGGGGAATAACGCCCGTCATCCTCACGAAAGCATTGGATTGCAAATATACCGGGTGTGGCCAAAGTAGACAAGATGAACTTGATTGCTTCGGCAACTGCGTCGAAAAACCGCTGTGCAACGAGACCTAGTGTACTTTTGGTAGCGAATGAACCGTCTTTTTGAAGCCCTCGTATCAGTGGTGATTTCTCATCGAACGTAAGACCAAACTGGTCCTCTTCATGTGTTAACCCAGACCCATCGTCACTACTTTTCTCAAAAACGTCTGCCGAATGGAAGTCGTGGCTGCTGTAAGACCGGAGTTTAGAGAGATCCGCCGGTGCAGTTACTGGTGGGATATCTCCTTGCGAACGTGATCTCTGACGGTTACGGTTTGAATGGGAGGATTGGCCAATGACTCGGGACGAAATTATGTTCAACGAGTTCATCTTCCAACACGGCCCACGGGTGTCCGGGCTGGCGCAGCTATCTAAGGGAGAACGTGCTAGTTAGCACTCATGTAGTGTAGGCACAGCAAGGCAGCATTGAGATTGCAGTGGGAGACAGAAGATGCTCATACGAACCTCAATGCGCCAGTTGACAACCCGTGTCTCAGAACTACGCTTATACCAGCTCTGTTCGATGAAGCGACAGCCGACGGGTAGACCAGGTCCCAGTCGTGTCGGCCGGGGAGGTTCTGCAGGAGAAAGAAGATAAGGAAAGGAAGGAAAGCCCGATACAAAGGCACAGCCTCTCAGCCAGGAACACGAAGCGGTCTAGTAGCCGGAGACGACAGAGAGGTGTGTGGGGAGAGACACTCATACATACTCCAGGTTCAGAAGTGGTCTGCTGTCAGGCCGTCCCGGGATTAGTCCCAGATGCCAGCAGCACGTTGGGCCGAGCGGCAGCTCTAAGCGGCGGGCAAAAACTCCCTCCGTCACATCCCACCAAACACCAAAAGAACCTCCCTCTTTCCTCCTCACTTTTTAGCGCTGCCCCTCAACCACCGGTGTTTCTTCCTCCGCAAAAATCAAGTGAGTTGGTGGCCCCCTGATTTGTCTACACTTGGGTTATTTAGAGTCGCATACATATCCCACGATCCGTTCTTGGGTTATATGTATGGAAACTGTGCGAAATTACCGTGTGCGGCCATGACTCAATCTGCTAACCGTTGTATATAGATTCCAAGGACTACCCTGTCTCCAACTCGCAGCGCTTTCCACGCAAAGAAACACCCACAGTATACCCCACAAACTATGCCATCCACATCTATGGCTCTGACGCCAGGGCTGGCGTCCTTTCTCCGGTCGTTGAAGACCAATCCGATTGACACATCTATCGATAATCTGATCTCGTGCGTTCTCACTGTGATCTTACATCTCGCACGTTCGCTATGTATATTAACGAGTGTCCAGACTCCTGAAGCGAAGACAAATTCGTCACTCCCGATCATGCGCTACCGCGACTGCTTACCTTCTCCTTCGTGTCATCTCGGCCTGTCGGACATCAGATGCAGCTAAGCTCATTGAGCGGGTCCAAAGTGTGGGAAGGCGGCTGATGGCTGCGCAACCCAAGGAGATGGTAGTCGGTAACATCGTCAGGCGCGTGCTGGGCCTGATTCGGGATGAGGCCGAAGATGACAGGGAAGCCGACTTCAACCTGAGTGAAGCAGGCTCCGAGAGCCAGCCTCAAACACCCCGTGCCTTGGACGGTTAGTACTCGCCATCCCGCATTATATGTGTGACTGGAAAGCGCTAACAATTGGATAACAGATCCTTCTGAATATTCATCTGGCCGTTTCGAAGGCTCGGACCGAGGCTCCTCCCGACCACCTTTGTCGCAGCCCGCACCGATCTCCATGTTCAGTCTACTTTCACACCCCGAGCCCGAAACGTCGCTTCCCGGCACTCCTGCATCGGCTTCGCCATCCGGAAGATTGCTGGGGCACGCACAAAGCAAGGACATTCGTGCCGAGGTTCTCGAAGGTGTCAATGAGATTATCGATGAATTGGGTCAAGTAGATGACCAGATTGCGGCCTATGCCCTCGACCATATTCACTCCAACGAAATCATCCTCACCCATACATCGTCCACTACCGTCCAGAAATTCTTGCTGAAAGCTGCCGCCAAGCGGAAGTTCACCGTGATTCACGCCGAATCCTACCCCAACAACCACGAAGCGACCCATGCCACCGTCAGCGGCAACAGTACTGGCGATGAAGAGATCCTGAGCACTGAATCTTTCCAAAAGCCTCTGATCGCTCTGGGTATCACAGTCATCCTGATCCCGGATTCTGCTGTGTTCGCACTCATGTCCCGAGTCAACAAGGTCATCTTGGGCACACATTCCGTTCTTGCCAATGGTGGGCTGGTTGCCTCCGCAGGTACTCGGGTTATTGCTCGCGCAGCAAAGGTGCACCAGACTCCTGTGGTGGTCGTGAGCGGCGTATACAAGCTTAGCCCTGTTTATCCGTTCGACTTCGACTCGCTGATCGAATATGGTGACTCCAGCAATGTTATCAGCTACGAGGATGGTGACTTGGTGGATCAGATCGACGTTCAAAATCCTCTGTACGACTACGTCCCGGCAGAGTTGATCGACCTCTATATCACCAATTTGTGGGTTCCCATATGTATTCTTGTCTAGCCGAGCTAACTATGGACGTTCTTTTACAGGGGAGGTCACGCACCGTCTTATCTTTACCGTATTGTGTCCGACCACTATCGCAAGGAGGACATCAGCTTTTAAGCGCCTTATTGAAGAGAAGAAGAAAAAAAAAGCACGAAAAATGAAAAAGGGATTGGGTATTAGACAAGCATGGCTACATACGGGCGTAAGGATTGTAATAGACAAAATATGAGGGACGATACCCACCGGGCTAACAAAAGGACTCATGGAACTTAAGACACGTAGTTACCCGAAATGGAATAGTAATGAATCAAGATCATATGATATGGATCATGCGATAAGACCAATTAGATGAACATTGTACCCGGATGTTCCAGCCTAAAACCCAAGTTATATCATTGTGAAAATCGTTACGGACATCTCAAGCACCCAATGCACACTACAGCGGTTAAAAGGAGACGGAGGATTGAAGTTTGAGACTTGATATTTTAGGGCCCTTCCCAAAGAAATAAATCATGGCGCCATCTTTTATAAGTATATCAATCGTAGTAGCTGCAATTTATTTGCAGGGTCATCCGTCCTGAACCATAATTTCCAGACCAGACCATAGACTGAAGATAGATCCCATCGTAGTAATCTTCCAATGTTCCATGGAATGGGCCCTTTCCCATCGTTCCCGCTGCAATCGTTCGTTTGCGCAATTCTCTAAGAACGGGGCTTCTCCTTCTTCTCCTTCCAGAGGGCGAGCAGGGAGACACCGGAGACCTTGACGACCTTGAAACGGACACCGGGAATATCACCCTTGGCCTTACCCTTACGACCGAAACCGGCAAGGAGAACCTCGTCGTTCTCGTCGATGAAGTTAAGACAACCGTCGTTGGGGACTGCGAGTTGAACCGTTAGCACAATCTGAACCATATCCTTCCATGCGTGCCGTTTCCTTCGATTCCATCCGAGCCCCATCTCCAGCATATCCACCATCCCAACATCACCAAACGATCTTCATTTTCCGTATGTGCAGCACATGGTATAACTGTAGGAGAGAAAAGAGGGCTACCCACCGAAAGCAGCGACCTTCTTGCCGTTCTTGATCAACTGGACCTTGACACACTTGCGAATAGCGGAGTTGGGCTGCTTGGCCTCAACACCGACCTTTTCGAGGACGATACCCTTGGCGTGAGAAGCACCACCGAAGGGAGAGGACTTGTAGGCGGTACCGAGCAGGCGCTTCTTGTAGTGAAGATCGGCCCAACGGTTCTCACGGCGGGTGTTCGCGAGCTTGCGCGCGGCGTTAAGACCACGAGGCTGTCCCTTACCCATCTTGGCGGATTATGTTCGAAGGACGGTCTGTAGAAGAGAAATGCGTTAGATCTTGCTGTGGCAATCTGAGGCTTGGTGCTTTCGTGATTTGTGGAGGGGACGTGGATTTCAAATGTACATGGCCGGGGCGGTGGAAAATCAAAAATCAAATCATTCGGTGGCAAACGAAAATCCCTAGACACGCATATATTTCATCAAAAAATGGCAGCAACAATATACATACCGACTGATATAGATTGCCGAAAGGCCTGATGGGGATGGTTGTCGAGAGTCGAAGGGTTCCTTTCACGGCCGGCGGTGTCGCTGAAGGCTCACCAAAATGTTCTGCTGTGCGCGCTCCGCCCTAATCGGCCGCTAAGCGAGGCACGGGATCGGAACAACTCCCGCCGTCCTCCGATATCGATAAGCCCCTTATCAGTGAACGGTCCAGCATTGATTGATGTATGCGGAGATTAAGCTCCCTTTTGCTTACGGCGGTCAATTGGAGCTCTGTTCTGGTCTAATTCGCCTGCGAACATTATGGATGCGGCTCCAAAATTGGAGAACCTGAGGAAAATCCCCTCTGCGCGTCTCCCTCCCCCAGTCCTCTTTCAAGGTCCACCCACTTCCCATAATGGATCTAACATCTCTCTCACACCTGCGATGCCTCCTGTTTCTCCGGGTGGAGGGGTTCAGCGTCCTGAGCTGCAGCGGAATCGTTCCTCTCGCCATCACGGTGGCCTCGAGACTCCAGGTTCTCTTTCGCCCTTTCTATCGCGTACACAATCAAAAGGAGAAATAGATCGCTCGGACGCCATTTGGCAAGAAATGCAAAATGCTTTGTCAGAGGTCGAGCTGAGCGCGGTAGCTAGCGAACACGTTTTTGGCGAGAAGCACTCTGAGGCCCTTGAAGACCTGCGCACGAAACAGCTGAAGCTTGCGCAAGCCTGGGCTCGTAGTGAGGCTGATGAGGTAGTTGATCCCAAGAATGCAGCTAGCAAGAGTCAGTCGAGACCAAGGGTATCCTCTCGAGGCACAAGTCCTACCGGAGAGCCAACCGCACCGGATGATGCCTCCCAGAGGAACCTAGATGAGGAAACCGAAAAGGACATTCTTCTGGCGCGCGAGAGGCGTGAAGCGAATGACCGCTATTTTGACCGGGTCAACAACGGTGTATTGGATGTGGTAGCTAAGCTTGAGGAGGTTGCTCAAGCTATGCGCGCCGTGGAGAGGGAGAGCAGAGACATATGGAGTGATAATGAAAGCATAACCACAGAGACCGCATCCACGGCTAACACCGGATGAGACTGTCAGATGCCTATGAGTATTGATCATTAGTGGACGTCGCGCAAGGTTCCCAGCATTGTGGCTAGCAATGGTCTACGTGCCGTGTTGGCTGACAGTCGACGTATACATTCCATCAATTCCAACCATGCTCTGCGTAAGAGGTGGTTACTACCACGTACGAGGCAATGGGAATTCTATCGTCCTGATCGTGTGATGACCACAGGAAACCGCCTGCAGTTTGCATGACCTGCGGTATTATGAGAAGACGGCCATGGCGTTTATTCGCGTATAAAAATGCAACGCAGTGTCGTCATTCGATGCAGGGAAAATGGTAAGGCTGGACCAACGAGGAAAATAATAATACATGAGAAACGCTAGTCAATGACAGACAAAGAAAGGGTATCTGGACATATCTGCTCGCCAACGTCGAGCAACTCCAATGAACATGTACTCAGCCAAATTGACTCTACTCCCTCTTTACAAGCCTCACCACAGTCTTCCACCCTTCCAGCGCCGTTTCTCGCATGTCTTCCCACCGACTTTCGTTTGCCTTTTTTGCCAACTTCTCCACTTCCTGGTTCCAGTGATGCTTCAGCAAGTCCTCCATAGTAGGCCGTTCTGGCTCCGCTGTTTTCTTATCTTGTCGAGCGCTATCTCTCGGGGCTAGTCGGCGATCGTAGGCGCCTATAGGCGACGATAACCAATTTAGAGCTTGAGTCTGTTGACGTATAGCATCACGTTGTTCCAGGCGAATAGACCGATGTACTTGAACCGTTAGATATAAGGCGGTTGTAGTTAAGGCAAATCCGCTGAACTATTTCTCATATTAACTGATAGTTCGGCACATGCCGTCGAGTCGGAGAGGGGGTTGCCACTTACAAACCCAGCGAAGAAGCCCATATCTGCTTCTTTGTTTTATGAAGTAAACTGATTCTCAAAAGGGTGGTGAACGCTTTCCGACTGCTGGAAGACAGGTGGGGGAGGAAGCCCTTCGGCGCCGGCCGAAAGAACAGCAGTCACGATTCGGAGGTTCTGAAGGAGCAAACTGGCGACTCAATACTCGTTTATCAATGCAGAGAGATATGGCGAGTCCAATATAGTCCAAAGTAAGAGTTAAATGGGTGAAATTGGACAAGGTAGGCTTGTCTGCTGGTCTAGATGGAAGAAACAAAACTGCAAGTATGGGGAGTTTCTGTTGCGCGGATCGGGAATGCCATTTGAGCACTCCGATTGGCTGCCGCGGAGGAACGAATCTTTCCACCGGTCCTGGAAGATGCTCGAGCATAACGGCTGTGAACTGCAACTCCATCTTAAGATCGCCCACCTCCAATTTCGCCTTTCTCCCTTCTCACCTGTTCTTCGCTTGCTGGAGGAGCAAACCCACGACCTTTTACACAACACACATTTTTGTCGCCCGCCAATTGCCACGGCAAAGAGAATCAAAAAACAACCGAATAAAAACACTTCCCGTATACACCTATCACAATGGCCGGTGGTGCAGCCAAGTATCGCCATCTTAGCCGCAAGTCATCGCACAGACAGGCCCTTCTTCGCAACTTGGTCACCTCTCTCTTCAAACATGAGTCGATCACAACAACATGGCCCAAGGCCAAGGAGGCGCAACGGCTGGCTGAGAAGTTGATCACATTGGGCAAGAAGAATACAGAAGCGAGCCGGAGACAGGCTTTGTCGGTTTTCTATGTATGTGGGATTCTGGTTCTTCATTTTTTTTTTATACATCCGCGTGGAGGGAGCCTGCTTAAAGGACAGGATGAATGTTGCATGCCAACTTGCTCCTTGATCCTAGACTTATCTTGAGGCTGTCGGTTTCTCTTCCAATTGGCACTAATCGGATCACAGACTCCTCATGATCTCCTTCCTAAGCTCTTCGGACCCCTTCGGGAACGCTACGCCGAGCGTCCCGGTGGTTACACTCGAGTATTACGTGTCGAGCCCAAGAAAGACGACCAAGCACCTAGCGCCATCCTGGAACTCGTTGACGGCCCCAAGGATATACGCTTCGCGATGACGGCACGCACCGTCGCCAGGCAACGGTCCAAGGGTCTGGACACTCTCAATGAACTGACACGGTTGAACGTACAGAAGGTGACGCGGTTCCGAAAAGACGGCATTGACGACTTGGAGCGCGAGATTAAGAAGTTGGAGCTTGACGGCCGGAAGGAAGAGAAGGCTCAGAAGGCTCAGGAGAAAGGAGAGTCGAAGCAATAGATGCATATAAAAACAGCCCCGTTGAATCCGGGTAGGTGTTGTCAAAGGCTCGGCGAATGGGGCACCGCGGCGACCTGAGTCCATCTGGTGCTTCTGTATCTGTACATTTTTTCCTCCATGGTCTCATGTCTTTACCTGTTGGTCTTTATGATCGTGTAATTTTAGCTGTTGTTTCCTGGATACAGACATGGGCTTCCGCTTATTCATAGACTGTCGATGTTTATCCTGCAACTAGATACGTTAAGAGTAAACAGTGGACATCCTCTGCTGATGGCAGTCCCTCTTCATCCGGCATGGCTGCCTGATTATCACCGAGTAGCCTGACTGTTACCGCATCAGCCATCACACTTGCAGATCCAGAAGAACAAGCAAGTCACACTTCTACTTGGACTTTCTTTCAGAATGCTCTGTGAGGTATATGAGTATATGCTCCCAGCAGCAGCAACAAACCACAGAAGATAATATGTGCATATATCAGACATGGAGGCAATTCCCACGACGCATTAAGCAGCACTTGTTTGTTCTGACAATAACCGCATTCAAGGTTTCTCTTTGCAAGAGGAAGTTCAAGAGTGCGAGCAGTCTGTACATAGAGATGAACCTCCGAAAGTTTACGATGTCCTGCAACTATTGGTATCATTGTTGGCCATCACGGTTTTGTGGAGATTTTGACTGACAAAACACCTTACGGAGCCGCAAGTATGCATTAGATCTGATATACATACTAAAATGAACCCTTCACGTATGGTGTGTCCCACCCTGTGAGTATGGTTTGATTTCTCACGCTCAACTGATATGACCGGCTGAGAGCATTCGTTGCCGCCGTTGAAAGCAGTATTGAATTCGAAGCTAACCGGGCTATCCTTGATGACTGATAGCTTCGTCTAGAGATGGGGTAGTTGAGTCCCTCGTTATGCTAATGCCACACCCAAGAACTAGATTGGTACTTCCCAGTCAAGATCTTGTGCTACCTGTCTTACACAGTCAGTGATTCCTCATCCATGCCTCTAAGCCACAGCCTTCCGGTGGTCCTGGGTTCCGCGGAATCCAGCGGGCGCTTGAGGACTGTAGGTGTCGGGACAAATACGGCATATACGGGTTGTTCACCGGCCAACAGCTGGGCCGAGGTGGCCTGACCTTTGTGGAGTCGGCATTTGATATTATCAATTCGCATCTTCGAAGGGATCTTCCCTAAAGCATGGCAGCATAATGAAGTGTGGTTTTGGTGCGCTGGGCCAATGGAAGACACGCGCAGACTAGAATAAGTCTTGAGCACTCCACTGCCATTCCTTTACTCCTGGTGGAGCTTGTGCTCCGTCGACGGGTTATCCCAGGGATTTGGAAAAGCACAGTTTCCAATTGGCCTCCACCAGCATAGCAGATATAGCATGGAAGGCCATGTAGAACATGGTTGGAATGATGTACTACTGCCAGGTACCCACTACTAATACTTTACCCCGGCTGTGACCCACTTTGGCGCATTATCCGAAATACGACGCCGATACGATGCCATTTAATCCGCTAATTGGCTCACGCTCTTATATGAGTAAGCGGTCCCTAAGCCCTAGTTGTCGTATAGAGCGTATACGATGTATACGATGATGGCTGTGGTTGAAGATATCTATGTAACGAACATGAGCTTCTACTGCTATAAAGATCTGTTGTTGTCCTGCCTCAGCGATCTGTTCCTATTCATAGCACATCCGCTGTTCAAGCACGTCTCTCCTTCTGCCGACCTTATTTCTCCTCCACCTTAAGGAATTCGCTTCCCAAAGCCCTTCTCCTGCACAACATCGACTACGGACATCTCACAATGGCCGTTGCCCTACAAGAAGACCCCGACCTTGCACTAACCAAGGCTATGCACGGAAAGTCGGCAGAAGAGAAGAATGCCTTCTTCGCCATGCTCAAAAAGAACAACGCGGCCCATCGGGAGATCACAAACGAATATGTGCGGCGGTGGAGGACTGAAAAGGGCATCGACGGCACGACTGACGAGGCCCGAAAGGAGAGAACGTCTGAGTACATGGGCGTGGTCAATAAGTGAGTGGCCTTTTTTCCTGCTGCGGTGCACTTCGAAGAGTTGTTCGCTGACTGGTTGACCTGCACAGCTACTATGACCTTGCGACAGACTTTTATGAAGAAGCATGGGCACAGTCATTCCATTTCTGTCGGTTTACTGTCGGCGAACCCTTCCTCCAAGCTCTGGCGCGCCACGAGCATTACCTGGCATATAAATTGGGCATTAAGCGGGGAATGGAGGTTCTGGATGTTGGATGTGGTGTTGGGGGCCCAGCGAGAGAGATTGCCCGATTCACTGGGTGCCAGGTGGTTGGAGTCAACAATAATGGATATCAGATTGCACGTGCGACACGACATACGCAGAAGGCGGACCTGGAGGAGCAGGTTTCCTTCGTCAAGGGTGATTTCATGGTAAGCATGATGGAACCATATTTCACAATTACCAGGATTGTCTGTCTCACTGACTGCCAACTTAGCGTCTTGATTTCCCAGATAATACTTTCGATGCAGTCTATGTCATCGAAGCTACAGTCCACGCTCCAAGCCTTCAAAAAGTATATGAGCAGATCTTCCGCGTCCTTAAGCCAGGTGGCCGCTTTGGTGTATATGAATGGGTCATGACGGATCGTTTCGATGAATCTAATCCCAAGCATCGTGCTATTCGACTAGGGATTGAACGTGGCAATGGTATTGTTAACATGCGTACTCAAAATGAGGCTGCTGAAGCTATTCAAGCAGCGGGGTTCGTTCTCGAACATGAAGAAGACCTAGCAGCACGGCCAGATCCTATTCCATGGTACTACCCTATTGCAGGGGAGCTGCGGCACGCTCGAAGCCTCTGGGATCTACTCACTGTTCTGCGGATGACGAAGGCCGGACGAGGAGCGATGGGTTACCTGCTGTGGACGCTGGAAATGCTGCGGCTGGCCCCATCTGGAACATCTGAAACAGCCACCGAGCTTGCCGGCGGTGGTGACAATCTTGTTGAAGGTGGTAGGCTTGGCCTCTTCACTCCGATGTATTTCATGATCGGGCGGAAACCGGATCTCTAGGGTTGGATTTCGGAGCCTAATGTGGAGTACAGGGTGTTGCATATGTTACGAATGTTGAATTAGAAATATTTGCTTGTCAATATCACCTCATTTCCCTAATACTACTTCATATGGGGGTTGCATTTGCTTGTCTGGTATAAGCTCTAAGAAGGTTAGCAGACCCCGGAATTCTTTAACCGGTCAGTACTAGGAAGATATTCTCACATACCTGGTTGCCCATACGGAATCATTCCAGGCTTTGTTACCTAAACTTGGTGGAATATCGGTGTTTTATCAATCAGCTGTGATATCCCGCAGAGTACGAGTCTAGCCCTAACATTCTGGCCTAGCCCAAGAATAACCTACCACTAGAAGCATATCTAGTAGATTCACTATAATATGAACTGATGCCAGGTTAGGTTCGCCGTATTCTGAGCCTATCGGAAAAATCTGCAACGAAAATCAGATAAGATGAAAGGTTACATCCAAGCTATTTACCGTTTTCGGTCACGACGTAAGCACTCTGGAATGCAACATCCGGCATGTCCGACAATTCCTTCTTGCCTTTTTCCCTCGAAGACAGTTTCATGTCAGTCCACTTGACACTGAAAGGCCCAAAATGATGGCGTAATTGAAAATCGCAATTTAAAAACAAAACATTGGCATTCGCGGTGTTCAGATCTGCTTCGTCCAGCCCATATACACCTCTGGCAACATATTTGCAATTGCTCCTCGCAAATATGACGGCTGAACCTAAAGAGATCCCACAGGGGGCTTCTGTGGAGGCAGGCCGAGACCAAAACTATGTGGCCATAGCCGACGATGAAGCCCAGGCGAAGCTCAATGGACTCAGAGAAGCACATGGTGTAATGACACCCACACCCTATTAACCATCCTGGATGATGCAAATGACTAATGTTATGCCACTCGCTGCTTAGGCCACCTGGGATGGCCCAGATGATCCTCATAACCCGTACAACTGGCCGCTTACCCGCAAAGTCTCCATTGCCATCATCGTGTCCTTGGGCCAACTGGCCACTCTCATGTCGACCAGTATGATGGCTGCAGCACTGAACCAGATTGCAGAGGACGTGGGCCTGAGCATTTCCGTCACACAGGTCTGCTTCTCAATCTTTCTTCTTGGCCTGGCCTTTGGACCCTTTCTCGTCGCTGCCTTGTCCGAGATATATGGCCGGAAATTTGTCTGGCTGTCTTCGAATGTCTGGTACATTCTGTGGAACTCACTTTGTCCCGTTGGAAACAACGCAGGACTGATGATAACCGGGCGGTTCCTTGCAGGCTGTGGAGCAAGCGCTGGTGTCACGGTGAGTGGCTGCTTGTAAAGGCTCTCCGGGAAACAAGGTAGCTGACAAGGACGCAGCTAACGGGACCTATCATGGCGGACTTGTTCCATGCCAAAAACCGTGGAAAGTCCCTAGCACTGGCCACCCTCATCCCGTATCTGGGACCAGCATTAGGGCCAATAATGGGAGGGCTAGCCTCACAAAACATCCACTGGCACTGGCTCTTCTGGATCCTGTCCTCATTCGAGGCACTCATCACCGTCCTCGGCGCATTCATCCTGAAAGAATCATACACGCCCACCCTCCTGCGCCGCAAGGCAAAGGCGCAGAACCCGAACCTCTACCCCGAGAACAGCCCCCTGACGCGACAATTCTACCTCGACCTCTTCACCCAACTCCGAAAGAACATCTACCGGCCCCTCCGCCTCCTCTTCAACCGCCCCATCATCCAGTTCCTGGCCCTCGTCTACGGCCTCGACTTCGGCATCTACGTCCTCATGCTCTCCACGTACGCCAATCTCTGGATCGACCGCTACCACCAATCCGAAACCATCTCCAGTCTAAACTACCTCGCCATCGCCATCGGCACCACAGTCGGCGCCCAAGCCGGCGGCCACCTCATGGACTACATCTTCCGGCGCATGCGCGATCGCCCCGGCGCCATCGTCACCCCGGAGTTCCGCATCCCCTACATGATCCCCAGCGTGCTGCTGATCCCGATCGGCCTTATCTGGTACGGCTGGTCCGCCGAGAACCGCGTCTCGTGGATCGTGGTCGATATCGGCGCCGCCATTTTCACCGCCGGCTGCTTCATGGTCGGTCAGGGCATGCTGGCGTATCTGCTGGACGAGTTTACCCACGCGGCCTCCGCCAATGCGGCCACCAGGATGCTGTCCAATATCCTCGGCTTTGCGTTCCCCATCTTTGCGCCCAGCTTGTATGATCGTTTGGGGTTTGGGTGGGGGAATACTTTGCTGGCTTTGCTTTATCTGGGGGTGGGGGTGCCCATTCCCTTCGTGCTGTGGTTTTGGGGCCCGAAGATTAGGGCTATCGGGAAGGAGGCTTAGTAAGGGGGTTTTTTTTCTGGGGGGACTTGGAATTTACGTTGTATGTGGGATGGTTGCTGGGTACTGATGGTGGGGGTTTTAGGTCTAATGAGAGAGAGAGAGAGAGTAGTATGCCATGTAATGTTAATGATCATCTTTAGGAGATGCCCTCCAGATAGCTAGGTTATCTGGACTAAGCCCTGGCCCTATGGGCGTATGTGCCGGATTATACGAGTTGCCATGCTCTTATATCGAGTTGTGGCATATGTTCAGCTGTCATAGTCTAGACAAAGTCGTTCAAATTCTAGCAAGTTTATCGGGCTGGTATCCTGACATCTATAGATACATGCATATATCATCATAACATCGTGAAGTACTCTATGGGCGGGACTGTTCTCGCAAATATGTCGTCCATGGTGGTGCATAGTGTTAAGCCAGCTGTAGGAGCGAGGGCCTCCGCAAGACCTGACAGGATTGCGTGTAGAGTCATCTAATATCTTCTCGTGACACGTTGTGCAAGCTGATAGGCCCTTCAGAACCGGTACTCTGGGATTTCTAAGCCAACCGGCCCTGAATTGAGTTGCCTGGACCAGCAGCGCCAAATTCGAGGTGATGCAAGGCGTATTGAAGTAAGCTGAATGCTTAAGTATTTTCAATAAACCCCGATCACGAATCGCTCTTTTCGCCGTTCTCTGCAACAGCCTTCTCACGCTTTTCGAAATGGCCCTGGATCCAGCAACGGTACATCTTTAGTTTCTTCTGGCGGTTGACCACCAACCGCCGGTCATATGCTAAAGCGTGTATTTTGAAGGCACCGTCGTTCTCGCCGGTAACGGGCTTTTCACCTTCGGGCTTCTCTGGGAGACCCTTCTCGGGTGTCCACCGACCCCACATTTCTTCCAGCTCGTCTCTATCAAAGAAGAACACACGAGTGCCATCTCCACGTACGTAGAAGTTCTCATCCAAATACCGACCCTTCTTAAATCGAACCTGAGCCAAGTCTCCTCGCCCATAGTCACGGAACAAGACCTTACCACCGGGCTTCAGGACCCGGTAGATATTGCGCAGGGCCTTTTCCCATTGGTTCGGGTTGAGGGCGGAGAAAATGAAGATCAAAACCACGACATCAACTGATTCCTCCGTCAGCCCTGGAGGAAGGGAGTCGTTGTTCTCATCGGGTTCGGCAGCGACATCCCAAACGTCCGCAGTGATGTGCTTCGGGTTATAGTGCTCGCTCTCCCGTATAACCTTGACGGCATATTTCGAAAAGTCGCACGCATGGACCATGAGTTCCTCGTTCGCATTGTTGTTGATCAACGGGAATGCTGTGTTTCCTGCGCCTGCGCCCACCTCCAGAACGACCTTCTTTCCTGCATCGGGACGGGTGACCTCTTCTAAGATAGGGAACTCCTGCTGCAGCCACTTGCGATCCTTGAAAAAGTTCGCTGTGTTGTTCTTATAAAACAGGTTCCACCATTTGGCGGGGTCTGCGTTGAAACGGAACTTGTCGAAGTCCGATGCGGGCGAGTCGCGCTGTTTGGCGTATTGGACTTCTGCGAAGGCTAAGAATTCGTCGTCGGGTTCGACGTGATCCCAGGCATTGAACTCGAAGACGTCATCGCCTTGTTCCAGGTAGCGAGAGCCGAATTGAAAGGGATCACTGCGTTTGAGATTGTTGGAGGGGTCGTGCGAACGATGCGGGGCAATCATGGGAGGTTGAACCTCTTGGGTGACTTTTATAATGTCATCGTAGGAGTGAGCGTTTTCTGGAGCCATCTTCCTCAAGACTGAAAAGAACGTTATGCGGCTCAACGAAGGAATATAAAATAGACCGCGATCAATGGAGGGGAAGGAAATCGTGTTGCGGAGAAGAAGAAAAAAGATCTAGTGGGGAAAAGAAAAAAAAAACCCCCCCGTTCCTGCCTCAGGCGCCGTCCGTATCAGTGGATCCCTGAAACGCTATCTTCATCGCAGCCAATCAAAAATGTGGATGCCTGAGAGGATCAGCAACAAGCCTGAGCTCGCCCTGCCTCAGGCACTCACCAATACGAATGTCCCCCCATTCGAATGTCACTTCGCTTTCTCCTCACTTCCTCGCATTCCTGCATACTGTGTCCTTGTCTGGACATTTCGCTCCCACCAGTGCATAAATTGGCATCATCACCCTACGGGATCACGCTGCAGGTGCCGACCGTCATGCTGGACATGCACTGAGCACAATTCATCTTTGCTCCACTCTTATCAGGTCGACCGCATTGACCACCTGTACATCGTATACAGATCCCGCATTAGTCACAAGGACGTATTTCCTTACTTCTTTTCTCTCGCCGAAGTCATTAGAGATTATCCTTTATATCCTCCGGTCTCAGACTATTTTACGACTTATTTCCTGAGTCGTCATGTCCATTTTCAACATACTGTGCGGTTGCGTGACCCGCAGTTCCCCACTGTCATCTCAACTGCCGGCTCAGCCTCGTCATCAACCACCCCAAAATAGAGACAATGGCACCACCACACATAATCCCGATGGCAATGGTCCCCCAGGAATATACGGTGAAGATGGCTACAGCCCCGTCGTCCCATTACCAAGATATACCCCACGACCCGTGAGCATTCAGGAGAAAACCCTAGAAGCACACATGCAAGATCCACCAGTCTCATCCTCTGAGAACGCCAGCAACTCAACATATTTCCAAGATGAAAAGGACCGTCTCGCCTTTGAGATGGCCCCCAACCGGAACCACAATCCCGAGGACCTTACCTCAGAGGTCTCGTCCGCTATCTCTTTTCCCAGTAGTTACGGGAATACTTCTACGGCAACGAGAGACACTCCGCCTCCGCCGTATTCGTCTCGCGGGGTCTCTCCTGCGCCGTCGAGGTCCATGTCAGTGTCTTCATCTGGGCATCCGCTGTCACCGCAGCAGGTAGCTATGATGCAGATTGCGCAGCCCCGACCTGTATTCCAACGGCCGCACAGTTTAGTCCGGAATGTGTTGTCGCGAAGAAGTTTCGATGAACAGCATGAGTCTGGGAGATCGCGGAGGTTCTCTTGGGAGAGCCAATAGTTGGTCCAAATAGTTTTGCGATTTCGAGGCTTAATTGGTCTGTTGACTGATCGGGACATCGCTTGGGGGGCTTTGTCTTGTCTCTTCTTCTTTTACCTCTTCCTACCCTGTTCACACTGCCTCTTCCTCCACAATACTTTTCTTTATCTTTTCCCTTTATTTCCCGATACTACGTTTGGCCACTGGAGCACCGCATATTTATACGAGTAATGATGGACTTTGAGAGGGCTTACTGTCTATGCATGGATATGGGTAATCGGCGTTAAGGGTTCTCTTGTTCGGCTTGATCTGCATCATATAATAAGACTACCGCACATAATACATATACATATATACGTGTTCAAATCATGAGACTTTCCGCATGTGAAATAATACACTCTGAACACTCGAGCAAACACATTAACGCATGGAACACCAACCAGAAAGTCATAAGCCTCGACCAGTCTAGCCCTAGCAAGTACGTTACAACACCACCAAATCATACTGACACGCAATCTGCTCCTGCACATGCTTGAGTAAATACCCACAAGCCTGCGCCGGAAACTCCAGCAGATTAAGAATGCGCGGATCATCGCTCTCCTCCAGGTACATGCAGATCGCCACACACTCGGACCTGGCCCTCGTTTCCATCCACCAGATATCAAGATTTACTATCAGGGCCAGCCACCAGCTGAGGATAATCAGTGCAGGCGGGTCCTTCTTCAATAACTGGTCATAGTAGTCCGGTAGGAGCCGGCCCATGTAGTTTGTATAGTGGGTGAAAGTCTTGATGCTTCGCTCCAGGGAGAGCAATGGGGTTAGCATTCTCAGGGGCCAGTGGTAGGGGTTTGTTTCCTCAGTGGTGGTATCGTCTATACCGCAGATATCGGCGAGTTCCGGATGAAGGCCGATACGTCCGGCACGATGGTCGTCGTAGAGGGGGTTACCTTCGCGAGATCGCTTGAAGACGTCCCACCACATGCTTTGGGTCATCCAGGGGACCGTGAGCTCGAGGAGATAGCGCAGGCCGCTTTGGAGCATCAGCCAGTTGAGGGACTCGGGGTCGTCGGAGAAGACGAAGGAGCTGCGGGGGTTGTATTCTTCGAGACTGAAGGAGTGGATGGTCATTAGGAGACAGGCGGAGTAGAGGGGGTCCATATTGTGAGGGCCGACGGCGGTGGAGATCTCCTCGGAGTACTGGTTGATGGCCTTTTGCCAGTGGTATGCCTCCACCACCGTGTATGTCTTGTCTTCGGGGTAGATGCGGCGGAGATGGGATGTTGCTGCGCCGATGATGGCGTGCATGAGGAACGGTGACTGGGCCCGGTTAGCTTTTCGATGGCCTGCTGACTGGGGATATGGCAGGAACCCTGACATCGAACGCCAGCTGTATCATTTTGCCCCTCATCATGTTCTGGCTACGCTCGGAGCTGACAGTAGGGATCGTAGCTTGATGGAAATGGTGCAATGCTCGGATACTAGAAGACAGACGGCCATTTTTAGGCTTCAACCGTAGTAACTCGTCTAACTTGGACGAGACAGCAAGCAGCGACATTGTATATGCCGCTGATTCCTGCTCGGTCAAGCTCGGGACTTTGTCGATAAAGTAGGATATAACACCCTTGCTACGCGTAGAGCTAACTGGACCAGCGTCATAGCTGCAGTCAACTCCAAGCTTTTGGCACCGCAGACAATGGGGCTTAGTCTCGTCACACTAGGAGCCTTCAGCCCTGATTCCTTCGAATACAAGGAGTATGTATGAAAGTGGCGAGTACCTTAACTCTTCGTTGCTTGCATTTCACACATCCAGCGCGCGACTTCCGATGCGATCGACGGGCATGATAAACCTTCTCAGTGCCGTCTTCTACACCTGACGACTGGTATAGTGGCACACGAAATAGGCTCTTCCGGCCCTGTAAGGTGTCCAGGAGTGTTGCGGGGTGGGCGCTGTGGGACTGGTCTTTCCCAGTAGAGTCATCTGCAATAGCTGGCATCGCTTTTTATAACCAACTTCCAGCCGACGGCTTTATGATATATGTGTGTGTGTGTGTGGAAAAGTAGAGGACAGGTGCTGAAACTTGTTCCTCCTTTTCTCATCATAGACGGAACGAATGATTGTCCTTTGGGTGGATGTGAGAGGAATACGAGGACTCAGCCCCGTAGTCAGTGTCCCTACATCATGGAACAGTATTGAAGCTGTCCAAATCCTCATTGGCGTGAGACACACCGCCTTGAGCCACAAGAGAAAAACATAAATAGTTAATTGTAATCGTGGGCATTCCGTCTTATATGGCACATCTGGGGTATCCATCCGGACGGGCATGATGGATCCGGAAATTGTCCAACTGTACGGATAATAAAATGACAGGGATGAGATTTGACCATCTCCGAAGGGATCCAATGACTTGAACAATTGAAAATCCGAGTCGAATGCCTTAGACCATGCTCGATGCTTATTATTCATGCATAATTGCTTTCTTCAATCGCAAATTGTTCCTCGTAGAGTCGTAGGTATCGACTGCACCGTCTTCGGGTCTTGGCGCACAAACCGCTGCAAGTATTTGAAATGCATGGTGTCGAAGAGGAAAAGACATGAAATAGATGCTATGGGGTATATTAGCTCTGCATCAACTTTGTAAAATTTTGCTAGTTGCATTTCCTCTGGTATAGGCACGGTGGTTGGGGCTATATATGCTAATTTTCGCATTGACATGTTACCTACTGGTTCATCTCTGTGAATACGAGTGTGTTTGGAATAGTTCACAAGGTGAAGGACTAGACAGGAAGTCTCCGACCATAATGCCTTTGAAACAATGCACAACTGACACGAAGTATAGCACAAGAATCGCCGTTTGTCAAGTATAGTTATATGCCGCTAGTCCTAACCAGGTAGCTCTCGTATTCGGCCAACAGGAGCAACCCTCTTGATGTATCCTCGGAATTTTTATACATTAATATAGCCCATGTGCTTTTGACGAATCAAAAATTTGAATACTCATGTTCTTTTCGAAAAGGCTAATGCTCATTACTTCATACACAACTGGAATGGCCCATTAACTAGCCGATCTGCGCATTGGAGAAGTCCATCTCTGCATCGGAATGTCAGTAAGCCTTACGAGACCTTAAGCAAGATTGTGTCCAAACATACCCGGATGTTCCGCTTGGAACTTCTTCAGAAGATCCATCTTGCGCTGCTCATCGCTGCTAATGCCGCCGATTTCCTTCTGTCGCTGATCGTACATCATCTTCTCAACCATGGCCCTGGTCTCACCGTCCAAATCACTCAACTTCGATGACTCGGGTGTGATCTTACTGACGTCGATCTTGGGCGCAGAAGTCACCACATGCGGCCACCACTCGACCTTATTCACCTTGTCCAGATGAACCGCCACCTCCTTTCCAGGCGGTTGCGATGTCGTCTCCAGCGTCCATGAGCACTCATCAAGTATAACTGGGTGAGGAAAGTCTCCCTGTGAAACACTTAGCTATCCCATCCTCACTGCCCACCGATATCACTAGAAGAGCGTAGCCTACCTCGATAATAGGTTCCTGTCCCTTAACCGCCACCTTGATCTTAGTCTTGGTCAAAACCACATCCAGATCCCTTCCCCTAAGATTTCCCGGTACGGAAATCGTCACGTCCACGTCTTTGATTGTCTGCGTCCACTTGTATGGCAGCTTCGCTTGCTCGGCGTCTTCCTTCGCCTTGCGCTCCTTCTCCTCGCGCTCGCGGTCGGCCAGTTCGGCGGGGTTCGGATCGCGTTCAGCCTCGGCAGAAGACATGGTTGGGTTTGGGGTCTATGCGCTTGCTCGGACGTTTTGCCGTAAGTTGGCTGATGTTGGTGGTTAGTACCTGTGCTTGTTGCAGAGTGGGATGGCGGGGTAATGAATAGAAGTGGGTTTGCGGAGAGGATAGATGTACGCTTAGAATACCTTGATGGGTTTTGATAAAAGCGTTTTATATTTGTGAGTCTTCGGTGAACCGGCTACCGAGTGGATGTGACAGTACAGGAAAGAGATTCCAAGTGTTCGTTGTGATTGTTTGGACGTTTGTTCTCTCCGTTGGCGGGGCCGTTCCGCATGGAGCTCGAGCTTACTAGCCTCTTTCGGGTGCTTTTCTATTCTGGAAGCAATGTGGATATTTGAATACCATTCTGTAGATTATGCATTTTGCACATGTTTTTATTATGTCAAGAAATTTTTATAATATCATGTAATTCGATTGGGCTGGCTTGTTCATGGTAGCAAGCATCCCGATCTTCATAGGGTATTCGTAGTTAATCTGATATGCACTGTGTGAATAAATGGGGAGAAGAGAAAAGCATTATCATATATGTCCGTGAATAAGATAGGGTAGCATGTTAGTGAAAAGAATCAGGACTGGTAGCATCACTCGAGATCTCCCCTTGAAGGCCAGGGCAGTCAACACACCTGGCGGACCACTCAACTTAACCTCGGAATGGAGAGAATGCAAGATAGCAACGAACGTGAATAGCCTCATGCAGTCGGCTCTGCACTTACTCTATGCTATCGACCACGTCCTCCTCCGTGATAGGTCCCATCCAGGGTGAGCCGTCGAAGATGCGAACATGATGCGGGGATTGAGCATTCCGGTGAACATCTTCCACTTGCTCAACGGATACGCCCGGCTCCTCGACGGAGTTGAAGAATTGACCTGCATATTCTGCAACTTCGTTTGCCATCTTAGTCTCCAAGATCCCCTCCAGCATCTGCATGTCTTCCTTCCACCTTTGTTCCCTCCGTGCCTTTTCCTCTTCCAGTCGACGGCAGGTTCCGTCCTGCTCTCGAAGCTTGAGGCAGTTCGGGCACAGATAGTTTACCTCGCAGTATGAGCAGTTACATGGAGGATTGGCCTCAACGCAGTCCTGGCATACGTGCACCGAGCAGCTTGAGCACTCACGGAGGACACTACCACACCTCTGTCGTTGATCACCGACAGCTCGATACTGCGGGCAAAAGAACGATTGGCAGCCTTGCCACTTGGTCGAATCTGACTGTGATTCACAACCAATGGAGGAGCGTGATGAGGAACGGGACCGGTTCGAGTTCGAAATCGAAACACTCCTGAGTCGGCGGTGTACAAGAGAGATGGGTCCTGGCGGGTCGTCAGCGCCTTGCACAGTGTGGCTACCAACATCTGGGACGGCATCCGCAGGATTATCCTCGGTAAAGCTGCTTGCAGTAGAGTCAACAGCCCGGTGGGTCCTATATGGCAATGCAAATTCAGTTGATGAGCTCATGTAATGCGACGAAGCAAAAGCACTGGTGGTCTGTTGAGAGCTTGATCCGGGCCGATTTTGGATGGCCATCTTTTCGAGTGTAAGGTCGCGGTATCCACAGATACGTAGGCGGAGGCCTCGTAAATCATGTTCAATACATAATGGCTTCGAGCAACTTTTACAGTGTACCTTCCACTGGGGAGTATCATAACATTCCTGGCACAGGTTTCGAGGGCAAGCCGTGGGTTCTCGGTCTGGAGGCCCGAGCAACCATTTCATCATAGCTATATGTCCCGTTTCGAGTGTGTAGTCGGGTTTCCGTGGATCACCATAGGCATACTTGGGAAAAGTCTTACTCCACTCTTGCGCCGAGTATTCCAGGTCTTCCCAGCCCTGCCCACGGGGCAGAGGCGCTGCTCGCACCTGGTCTACATCCCGGTTAGGAGTTCCAATACTAATACCGCCTCCACCGGAAAAGATTGGTTCGGTACAACACCAGTGAAATTTCAGAACAGGGTGAGGAGGTGTGGTATTATGATTCAAGGTGTCGCTTTCAGAAATATTTTCCAAGGGGTCCAACATGAGGCAAGGCGAAGTGGTAGCCCCCGGCGCCCACCAGAAAGGTTGCTTAGACTCCCCTGATAGCGAGGAGGGACGTCGAGGGCGAACATAGGGCCGATCATAAGCACAACTTGCACAGAGCGTCTTACGACACCCAACACAGTGCATTAGAACACTACACTGTTCGCATCTCTCCGGAATCTCTTCGTAGCAGTTGTCGCAGCGGATATTTTCCACAAACCGCTTATGGCTCCAACGTGAATGGGCCGGAGATATTTTACCCTCGCCAAGGTCCCTGCCTTCTCCTGTCCCTAGGGCTTCACCATAGCAGCCAGTCTCCTCGTGTTCCCACAGCTTACCGTCTCTTTTGGGTGGACGGCTGCTGTGGTCTACCGGGCCAATCCAATTCTTCGATCGCCATAACCGGTCGAAAACCACCCAGACTTCCGCAGAGCCTTGCGGTACTCTCATGGAAACGTAGCCTCTCCTCCTATAGCATCTCCCGGCGGGGGTCGAACACCATGCGGTATCGGTCCAAATCCCTAGTTTATGGCAGAGGCTGACTAATTCATGGGTCGGCTCCGAGTCTGAATCCTTCCGAGTTAAAGAAGAGGAGAGGTAGGGCCTTCTTCGGTGATGTCGGCATCGATAGGTATACAGGCTTTTCAGCGCAAGACGCTTGGTAGATGAAGAGCTACCAATGCTTTTTTCCATATCGACATCATATTGAAGCCCAAACATTGTCAGATACGGAATGATATGGTATTTGAGGGAGACATTTTTACATCCCCGGACGGAGAGATGCTCTAGTGTTTCGCGCCGTGAATACAAGACAGTCGATATGAGTATCTGCCCAGACACCGCCGTATTATCCAACTCTAGACTCCTCAAACACGGACTGAACGGAACCACCACATTCATCAACAGCTGATCGAGAGCATAAGGCCGGGATTGCCGTGGCACCACCACTGGCTCCAGAGTCCCTGGTATGACAACCCGGAGGGGTGAAGAGGTACCTGAAGGGAAGAATAGACGAAACGACAAGTGCTTCCATGCTGTGGGATAGGATCTAAGAAAGGACCGGAGGTAGCGGGAAGTGTGGTAGAGTTTCAAAATGGAGTCTGTCGGGAGTTGAAGTAGCAGGGATTCAAGGAGAGGAGCATGAGTTGTAACAACTCGCTCGAAGGTTGAGAGAGAGCGTTGGACGGGGGTGAGCGACTGTTCCAGGGCGGAGTCAACCAGCACCTGCTGATTATGAGCGGCGCTATCGGCCATGCTTTCAGGTGCTTAGTTCTCCTATGGACTGGCGGTCAGATCGTGAGTGAGAGATGTAGCAGCGTGGCTTATTGCCTTTGTCTTTTCGTCTGTCGGTCACGCTGTGGCTGTTGCTGTTGCTGCCGCTGAAGGTCAAAGTGACGCGAGGTCGCGAGCACAGCGGAGATTGCGGAAGATGCAGCGCATCATAGGGAGAAAAGAAGGAGGGCGACACAGCGCAAGGAGGGCGGTATAGACTCAGGAGTTGGACATCATGCGAGGCCATCAAAGGGAGAATAGGATACGATAATACTGGCCGATGAGTGGCTTTGACAACTCACAATTGGGACAAAAACCAACGGCCTTACGGCCGGCAAACTGCCCGCTTGCATCATGTGATAGGTCGACTCCAAAAGACTCTGCTCATTTTTGCGACCTTCCCTATTCGAGCAGTGAAGATACTTCAACTATTTAATAAATAATCCAGAGGCCCTGAACCTCAACAGGGTTGAATACTATTTGGTCGATCTATGGAGGAATAACCCTTTTTCTTTCCATTTTCAGGGGTTGGCCTTCAATAACATAGGGTATATAATATAGTTCATCAATCCAATGGATCTCCCGGGAAGTTTAGTGCCGGGCTATTGAATCGCCCACTGTATATCCCCTTGCAATGCCCTTGCGCCCTTCTACCACCAGCGTATCATCGGGGGCGTCCTCTTCATATTGAATATCGAAATCACTCCCCAACCCCTTCCACGTCCGTTGCGACCGAAGAAATTCTGCCCCTGGGGAGAAGGTCCCGCCGATCATAGCCAAATCCCCTTTGGCCCGTTTGGCTAGTGCTCGAGCAGCAGACGGCCCACTAGCTGCTGATGCCGCATCCTGTGCTGAAGCTGAAACGCGGGGTGCAGGATTCCGCATCGGCCTCGAGTGCGAGACATATCGGCCGGTGCGCAGATCGAACTCAGGTGGTGCAGATTCGGATTCCGACATATCCTCTTCCTCATCAGCGGTCACACCATTCGACAATGGAGTCTCATCCTCGACTTCCCGGTTAGGTTGATTAAGAACGCTCTGGAAGTCACTCTGCCAGGCTCCGGTCCAGATACGCTCGGCATCCCCCTGGAGAGCAAGCTCCAGCTCAAACGGGGTGATCACCGGCTTCCAGAAATCTTTGCTATCAACTAAGGAACTCTCCCAGCAACCGATGACCACCCAACCATCAATCTCACTGAAATTAGCCACCTTAGCTGCGTTCAACTTCCCCACCACAAACATATAACTCTTCTTGCCAGCTTCCGCGAGTTTTTGCTTCACATGTTCTACGATATGTAGATAGTTCTTCACACTGAGCGTATTGACTAAAATCCCGAAGATTGGTGCAGTGCTGAGACGGGTCAAGGTGGCATATCGACGCCGCAAAGCGATCGCGGTCGATGCAGGCAAAGGCTTGACGTTTTCGTTTTTGGGGTCATCTGTGGGATATATGTGGATTGAAGCTACGCGAGACGCCAGCGTCATGAGGAGAGCCGTGGGGGGGTCTGAAATGTGGAAAAGCTGCCATTCTGATAATGAATCAGGAGTCTCGCGAACCGAGTCTGGCACGGTTCGATTGGGAATCGCAGATGATGGGTTGTGGACCAAATCAGTAGCAAACAGGTTGGTGTAACCTTCATTCACAAGTCGTGAGTACACCGCAGGAATATGGTCGGTGTATGTCACGTCAGCCGCGAGGATGACCTTTGTGGTAGGGTCAGGGTAGGTCTCTTGAAAAGCGCGAACGACTGGGTCGATGGGAAGAGGTTTGTGTGTGAAAACGTAGATCACCGGTAGTCTAGACGTTGGAGACAGGCATGAGCGGCCATAGTGCACGACGACATCTGCATTGACATGCTCCGCGGCCACCTCGTCGACGCAGCAAGTTCCGTAGGACGTATCGGCTAAGATATACAATTTTGGCGACGTCTCCATAGTGTCCGCCATATTGAGTTGAGAAACCGAATGGGCTAGGCCATCCTGCTCTGCAGTAGCACTCGCTCCATCTTTCTGCGTGTGAGAAAGATTGCTGTCCGTAGCGTTGCGCTTGTCCAAACCACGGCTAAGCAATTGAAACACCCGTGGTGCATCCGGAAGCATGTCATCGGGGAACTGAAGAGCAATTCGCTTATAACGAGCCTCTCGGATCTCCTTCAACGTGCGGTCAATATCATAAGTGATTGATAGCTCCTCATCCGACAACGTGCGCGGTGCCTCTTGTGTAGTAGTGATGGATTCTGTGGCCTCGAGAATACGATCATCGGGGGTTGACAGCACGGGGGCTGCTGCCATTTCGGTAGCCATCTCGAGATATTGAAGATATCAGCAATGTAATAGATAACAAGGGCAAACTATGTTGAACTAAGGGAGATCGTGGAGATGGCGGGGTTTGAAATTGTTGTGGATTTTTTTTCGCGATTTTGGGAGAACAAAAAAGTCACCCCACTTCACCCCGCCATTATTTCCGTACAAGAGCCAATGGCGCGGATGCCAATTACTGATGTTATATACATGAGAGGCGATGCCTTCCCCCTTTGACTTTATACTTTTTTCATTCATAGTATTTCTGTCCTAGTGGGATGGTCGATCGATAATGAGCAAATAAAATTTTACCATTGTTAGAAACGTATCATTTTTTGGTATGTAGGCAGGTAAGATAGCCTAACTATCAGATACACATGCAATAGTTGCGTGCTGTATAGAAGGCTCTCTAACCTACAAATCTGCCCGTGCTGGTTCCCCAGCCCAAACACGTCGGATTAATTCCCGGATTGGTGCGCGCTCGATCTCCCGAGGGTTCCAGTAGGGGTTGCTAACAGCAATATCCGCTGCCTTGTCGATATCTTCCTCCTTCATGCCAAAGTCCTTAAGGCCTCGCTTGACTTGCAATTTGGACAGCAAGATATTTAGGCCCTGGATAGCATCTCCATTACTATCGGGAAGTGCTTCAGCTAGCTTCTTCATTGCCTCTGGAATCTTCGGCGCGTTGTAAGAGATTGCATGGGGTAACACTGCTGTATGTGTCTCTGCATGGGGCAAGTTGAAACTGCCACCCAACGTATGGCATAGTTTATGGTGGATAGACATACCCACACTACCAAGACAGGTCCCGCAGAGCCAAGCACCATATAGAGCCGACGCCTGGCAGATTGAGATGTGGGGTTCTCGACAATTTCAGGAAGGGCTGATGCTAGTGCACGGGTACCCTCGGCGGCCATCAAGTTGATGACGGGGTTAGTATTGCGGGCATAGAGTGCTTCGACTAGTCATATGAAAACCGTTGAGCTTTCAACATCATATAATGGTCAGAACAGTAGCAGATTCTCAAGGACTCACCGGCATGAGCAATAGCATTCACACCACTAGTAGCACTCATTGCTGGTGGCAATGTCATAGTAAGGTCGACATCGTAAATGACAGTTCCAGGAAGGATTTTAGGATCTGAACGTGTCTTCTTCAAACCATCGGCCGTCTCGCCCAAGATAGGGGTCATTTCACTTCCCGCATAGGTGGTTGGAATGCAAATGTGAGGCATGCCCGTACGGATGCTGATAGCTTTCCCCAGCCCGATGGTGCTTCCACCGCCGATAGAGATGACCAAATCAGCATTCTGAGACTTCGCATACTCGAGAGCCTTTTCTGTAATGTGTGTAGGAGTGTGCATTGTAGCCTCAGTAAAGATACCGGCTACCTTGCCCTTGAGGACATCCTTGACCTTCTCCGCTTGGCTGATCTGCTGTGGCGTTGACAACACCAGCGGAGCCTTCAGATTGAGTCTAGAGATCTCATCGGGGAGTTTCTGGAGAGTACCACTGCCGAAGACGACTCGCCCAGGGTTCGCGTTATATTCGAATGCATCCATCATAAGAGCTTGTTCTGCCTTTGTGACGTTGGAAGAAGATGGAAGTCACAGCGGGACAGTCAATGGGGAACAAATCGGCTTTATATCTAGTTGGTGCTACTTGTGTAGGAACTGGCGGTCGACCGATATAAATATCGAGACGCTTATGGGCTAGAGGAGGCTTTGATCATCATGAATAATCTCCCTGCACCCCACACCCCACCAGTAGTAGGAGACGGTCCTGCAAACAACCGTCAGGCAAATGCCTTTGCCGTGGGTCCCCTTCGCGGATTTCTCGGCAGCTGCTGCTCTGATCGCTTCCGGGGAGGCCGATTTATAAGGAAGAAGGACGGCGGAGTTCCTCACATCGGAAATCCCCCGTCCAGTGCCAAATCGACCAAACGTCACATGGTCAAGTGGGCTAAATTTGTTACTAGACCCAAAGGATCGAAATTGACGTCAGGTTCAATCCTGTAGAGAATACTTGCCCATATTGACATATAAATCGTTTGGTTAAACCGACTAAGTTACATACTATAAGAATGATGCAAGTGTTCCGACTTTGCAGCTCACAGCCCTTCCCCAATCTAAAAGGTTTCTTCCCATAGAAAACTCCCCACGCTATGCATTCCGCTGTGCAGTCCGCTCCTCGCATTTGTTTCCTACAAGCCAATTCCCTTCGTGCAGGTATGAATATCAGGAGGAGCGACAGGATCAATCAAGATCATAGAACGCCATGACGTGTTGACCGCCGCTGCGATCCTTGCCCTTGCCCTTCTTCCGTTGTCTCTTCGCTTCGTCGGCCCGCCGACGTTCTCCATCGCTATCGTCCGATTCATCATCATCGTCATCGTCGCTGTCTTCATCACTGTCTCCAAGCATGTGCTTTTCACCAGCGCTAGCGCCATTTGCCCCAGATCCGACTGCTTCATGCCAAACCTTGACCACCTGTCCACCACCACTGACCATACGTCCTTCCACATCGAATCCTAGACCGACAACACCCTCCGTTTCATCGTGCATGACCTCTGACACAGCTCTGTTCTGGCCAATCCTGACGAACTTAACACCACCACTTCCGAGACCAACCGCGACCATCTTGCCCTTTCCAAGCTCATCAGGGACCATCGCGAGAGTTTCGAGAGACTCTCCTTCCCCGCCGCTTCGCTGAACGTAGATGCGCTCGTCCTGATCGTCCCAAGCACCCTTTTCCCAAAGGGTCAGGACTCCACCGGAGCCACCCACAATCACCTTTTCGCCGCGGCTTGTCCCAGTCGTGGCCAAGCCACCGACATACACGGAGCTGACCAATTCTTCTTCCTGGTCCTCACTTCGCACTAGTACTCCTCGTCGTAGATCCGTCACGGCCAATGTAGTACCACCAGTTGAGACCCATTGTTTGCTAAATCCCGAGGTACTGGTATCCGATGCAGGCAATGGGGTAATAGACGAGATGTAATCATCGTGAGGGTGATGTGTCTGTTGTGGCCGGGCCGAGACGCGGGAAAACGGAAGGCGAAGGTCATAGAGATGCAGTGCGCTCGAGTCAGTAGCGAGAAGGAGGGTTTGGGGGGAAAGCGCATGGATGACGGTTGGGGCATCAACAGAGCTGCAGAACAAAGACGAGTCAATGCAAATCCTCCACTAACAGGTTGTCCCACGAAACTATATATATATCGGCCATTATTGGACTCACCCGTCTTTCTCCGGGGGAATTGCAATCTTATTTTCCACCACACCGGTCTCTGCCTTTGCAGCTTTAACCAATCCATCTGTTCCGGCGGAGTACAACGATTCACCATCAAGTCCAAAGGTCAGACACCGACAGCTGCCTTTATGTCTTCTCGTCCTCCACATCGTATCAATATGTCCCCGGCCATTTCGCGACGAGGAAGTCGACGCCTGGTCGTCGTCACTGTCCACTTCTTCGGACGGAAGACGGAAGGTTTCGACATGACCGGTGGCAAGCCCAACGGAGACAATTGGTTCCTTGGGATGTATAGCCTGCGCGAATAAATCCGCGGAAAGCGGTAATGTGCAAACTGTGTCAAACATGGCGATGCAATGAAGAAATGAAGGGTCACCAATCTTCCCTTTTTTTCCCCTTCGGAGCTCTTGGATAAAGCTCGGATCGATTTCCCGCTCGAGAAAGTGCGGGCCGATGGATCTTCCGCAGGCCGTTCCAACTGTAATTTATATATATTCACTCTTCGGGTCGATCATCGACTACTCAACATACTATCTACTGCTAGTTACCAGGATTGGTGCTACAATAGTTTGCACAATGTGGATAAAAAAAAAAAAAGGCAATGAAACACTCTGTCTCGTCAATTTGTCCTAATTGAATACAGACGAAGAAAAGAACGCGATTCACAGAGAATGTCCTAATAAAATCGAGTGGAACCCCCTGATTCTGCCGAGCAGAATCAAGGCAAACAGAAGTGAAGAAAAGAACAAAGTATAGAGATATGCGTCCTTGCGAGGGCCTCTATCCAGCACATCTTTTTCCCATGCTATGTACATGTCTTGCTCAATGTTCCCAATGCCACACCTAACAAGGCTAGCCTTGACTGCCCTTAAATTCTAGCACTTAGGCTGGAGCGTCGAAAGTAGAGCCGATCGGACCAAACTTGATGTTAGAGTAGGTCACTGTGGCACTGCCGTGCGCCGACTCGACCTTCTCAGGGTCACCGGCGTGTTGCTCGCAGGTGCCACGAGCGACACCGGGGGTGCTTGCGTCAGCGTCTTCTGGGTAGCTGCTGTCCAGCCACATCATGCTGGCATAGTGGTCATCCCAGATACTGAGGGTCAGGACCATGGAGGACAAGGCGTTGCCCATACCCTGGAGTCCGCCGTGCTGCGTGAAGATGTCGTCATCGCCGAATGCCGTCTTCTGAGCAGTGCAGAAGTCGGTGGTGATCGAGTTACCAGTGACACCTTCAACGTTCGACGCGGCATTGGCGATGACCTTACCGCCCTGCACGTAGAAACGCTTGATCTCCGACAAGGCGCCTGACTCGGTGCCGTCGGCAGTGATGAATTGGGTCACCACGGTAACAGGGGAGGAAGAGTCGACGAGCTGGCCGGGGCCATAGAAAGATTCATTACCCATGCGGTAAGCGTTGAAGTCACAACCATCAGGGTCGCAAGTTCCTCCATAACGATCCCCGGAGTAAGTTCCTCCACAAGCGTCACCTTCACACATGGTCTGAGTGGTATCATCGCAAGGATGGGGTGTGTAGGCCGTGGAGATGCTGTTGGCTTCCCAGATATCCATCTCGGGGCAGCAGGAACCGTGGCCACCAACACCGGCATTCTTGTCGCTGTCGGAAGGCGTCCATCCTTCCACGTTGGCCTGATTTCCATTGTTATTCTCTTGAGCCGAAAATATTAGGACGTATTTCTTACCTGGCCGTTGATGAACTTCAAGTCTCGTGGGCACTGGGAATCACAGTAGCCAGTTCCATACTTGGCACCAGCCTTGTTGGTTGGGTTCTTGGCGACACCGCCGTCGGCGTCCATGGCGACGAAGTAAACGGCACCGTTCAAGCCACAAGGAAGCTGGGAAGCGTCAACATCAAAAGTGAACTCATTGTTCAAGAGATTGAACGTCTGGTATGACTCTTCGTCTGCCATCAGGTACAGACGAGAGCCGATATTGGCGCCGGTGACAAACTGGAGGGACAAGGCATCGCCGCTGGTGGTAACACCGTAAGTGCCCTCATAGTCAGCTCCATCCAGAGCACAGTTGGAAGCGCAGGCTTCGTTATCAGGGCAGAGGCTGGCATCCCACTTTGTTGGTCCAGTCAGTCAGGTCTATATGTCCCTTCGGGATAGACGTAAAAATGGGAACTCACAGTGTTGCCAGTGTAACAGTTAGTAGAGCCATCAACAGAGTGCAGCCAACGCCAGTTGGAATCGAGCACAACAGAGCCTTTCTGCTCGGTGCAACTGCCACCAGCAGCACACTTTTGCCAGGTCAAAGAAGGGTGAGTTTCCGCCGTCAAAGTTCCAGCCTGCTGGGCCTGGACGGCAGTCCAAAAGGCAGAGAAGAGAAGTGCACGTTGATGCATTGCGGGTGCTCTATGGAAAGAGAGAATGGATTGAACTGATTGTTTTTTGTTGCCTGTCCTGCAGAGATGATGTTCTGACCTTGAGGAGGAGGCGTCGGGCCTTTATATAACCTGTCTGCGATCAGAATTTAGGAGAGAAACACCCTGGCGTTCATTTCGGAAAAATTCCTATACGAAGCCCTATCCATACTAGCCGGTGCAACGGACCGTGATGCCGCTGAAATGACCGTTTCATAGAGATTGGGGAAGCCATGCAGGAACCGCCGGCATCACATGAGCATATTGCTGTTGAGGTACAGCCAAGAGTGGATCCTACAGTGTACATGACATAGGTGTGTAATGAACATTTGAGGACTGTTGGCGCATAAGGACTGTAGTTGGTCTGAGACCGTAACGGAGCATGCTCCGAAATAATGAATTAAGCGATGGCCTCAACAGGTCCGGTTAGAGAATTACAGGAAGGGGAAGAACTACGTCCCTTGTTAATTTCGAAGACTGTCGGCAGGGCGAGGAATCATGATACATGCGTTCCGGGTTGACCTTCTGATCGAAAGAGGCTAGCAAGAACTATACACGGAGATATATCCTACTACCAAAAGCTCGGTTTGATTAGAGGCCCAGGGAGGAGTGACGTACGAAGCTGGCGCCCTATCCCAACCGGACAGGTGAATGTCTTCTTCACGATTGTCGCCCCGGCTGGTCCGGGCCATTCCTCCTTTGCCGGAGACTAGGCATTTGTGGTAACCTCAACCGGGGTGTAGTGTATCTAATCTCAGTTCTAGTCCTTGTTTTGGAAGTCGATCGACAAGACGAAACTCCCTATTAACGTGGGTAAGGATGAGGTGGTATGATGTGCACCGATTGGTTGTGATGCAGATTCTGAAGCATTGAGTGTTTAGATGAAGGATTGACCCATCATTAAACGCCCTGGATCAACCCTGCCGATCGTCGGAATGCGGGGGAGAAGATCCGTCAATGAGATCAAGCCTCGCGCTGCCCTTGACCTGTCGGCACTGTTGTTCGTGGAATTGTGGCTGCCAGATGCGCCCGGGAACTTGGCATATCGTGGCTAATGCAACTGGTCACTCTCATCCAACCAATATCCAAGCTTCTGGTCATTTATGGCGTCGGCTCTGAGCGCTTCGGGTGTTCTTCGATCAAGGCATGGTTGCAGAGTCCGGGTCTTGGAACACATAGGCGACAGCAGCCCTCCGTGCCGTTCTCGTAACTAGAACATCTCACGGTGCATAAGTGATATGCAGCTAGTATTTTCGGTAATTACCCGCAACAGTTATCCCTGTAGAACCCCATCTCTGGAGCAATATGGTTCCTTCCCTGATGTCTCCAGACGGAGACATCTTTCGAGACAGCCAGGCTGACCTGATTAGTAGCTGATAGGCTGTGGGGCGGGTACCTTGCAGATCGTTTCCCCATCCATCCCTTCTTCTGCCTGATATTCGGCGGCTGTCATATCAGAAGACTTTCATATTTAGCCGGGATTCTGGTCCCAAAATGACCGGACGGAAGGTTCGTCCGTATCACCAACAAGGTCAATGCCACCATCCTATCGCTTAGACGGAGGGGAGAGAAGAATAATGAAAGGACCCCCTCGTTGGGTTATTGTGGAAGTTCATCGTCGACACTTCGATCCGATATGCCCTGTCGGGGTTCCATAGATGGTCTTGTCCTCTCGCCTGATTCTTTTTACTTACTCTATGTCTACAAGTGGGCTGTAGCTCTGCCTGCGAGCATTCCACTTGATTGCCCCATTTCTATGAGCCCTGCATCCTTTGGCCCGATCCTCCATATATCTCTAACAGGAGCCCGGTACATCACTTAGAGCCGTCTATGGGATAAGTCCGATCTCTAGAAGGATTATAATATAAGGTAATATAAGGGAACCATTGGAATGTGATGGGAATATTCTGCATATGTCCTTTCGCTTCTTTGGTATCTACTCCGAGTATATCAACATGAGGGGATAAGAAAAAAAACAAAAAGAGGGAGCCTCAGGCCGACGAACCTCGGCTTAACGGCAGCCCCACTGGTCAGATGGTTAAGTTATCAATAGTCAGCCTCGAAAAGGAAAGACGCAGCCGCGACGGACCCTCGGCATTTCTCTTCATTCTTCCTTCATGAATCATTCCCATCTACGGCGTTTTATACATACATACATACATACATTCATTCATTCATTTATTCCTTGAGAACCAGTTGATTTCTTTGTGGGTTGAAACTATAGACGAAAATAGATATATACTACTTAGACATAGTGGATAAAGGGAACCCTGGCATCATGGCATGGTATAGCCAGACTATCGATGTTCTTCGCGATTCAGTTGGGAACCACTGCGCCCAACTTCCCGTGCTTGCTGCGACAGGGGCCTCGTTGACTGTGGGGCTCCTTTTGCGCTCGCTTCTCACGGAGCAGCGTCCCCAAGGTTCTGTACTTCGTTGCCCCCGAGTCATAGCCTCGTCCGCGTCAGATGCAGAGAACGAGAACGGTGAAATTCCTCTCCCAAACGATGTGCTCCCGGGGGCCCGTGATGTGTCAACTCCGTATGGGTCGATGCGAGTGTATGAATGGGGTCCAGTAGATGGACCGAAGGTCTTGTTCGTCCATGGTATCACTACACCGTGCATTGCCCTAGGTGGAGTGGCGCATGCTTTGGCAGAACAAGGATGTCGAGTTATGCTATTCGACTTGTAAGTAGCCTATTGGTCCATAGCTCTGTCTGAACCTTAAAGAGATAACCGTCCTTCGCTTGCTTTCTTATCTGATACATGACGACCAGGTTTGGAAGAGGCTACTCGGATTGCCCGTCCGACCTCCCCCAGGACGATCGGCTCTTTGCAACCCAAATATTGCTTGCTTTGAACACATCTTCAGTGTCATGGACGGGAGCTGGTAGTGGTAAATTTAACCTAGTTGGCTACTCTCTGGGAGGAGGGATAGCAGCATCCTTTGCGTCATTCTTCCCTCAGTTGCTTTCTTCGCTGGTTTTGCTTGCCCCGGCGGGCTTGATACGTGACTCTCAGATCAGCTTTCAGTCACGGCTCCTTTATTCCCGCGGCCTCATCCCTGAACGTGTTTTGGGTTTTCTTGTCGGCCGTCGTCTCCGTGCGGGCCCACTCACTACTCCGAGACCCAAATCCCAAAAGATTAACGCCGCGGATGCATTGACCGAGGAACTTCCCTCACAAGGAGGCGCCAACACCCAGCTGTTGTCTCGAGCGTATCCGCATGTTACTGTGCCCGGAGCTGTTAAATGGCAAGTTAACTGCCACGCTGGCTTCGTTCATGCTTTCATGTCCAGCATGCAACACGGGCCGATATTACAGCAGCGCCAACGGGAATCATGGGAGCGCCTCGGTGAATTCCTATCTACTCAGAGTAAACTATCACCCGAAGAGCAGCAGGATAACGGTCTCCCAAGTGACAAAGTGATTATCATGTGTGGCGAGCATGACTCAGTTATTGTCAAGGACGAACTCGTCCCAGATGCCACATCCGCTCTTCAGGGCAACGTGGTATTCAAATACTTCAATGCGGGGCACGAGTTCCCCAGTACAAAATATGATGACGTAGCACACGCCTTAATGGAAGTGTTACATTGATAACTGCCTCGGAGCTGGACTATATGACAGGGAAACCCGTTCTTCCTCGTTGGCCTGAAGGGCCTGTCATTTGTCCCGGGTATGCGGCCTTTGTATGTTTCCGGGCATCGGGCTCTGTTATGATTGTCCATCCTGATAGACTTGTACATAGAATGCCCTCTGTGGCCTTTTGGACCCCTAATTTTGGTTATGCTTGGAATATAGAGTAAATTTCCGTGTTCATTTTTTCAAGATTTCGTCTGTCGCGTCGAGTTGACTTGAGAGTCGTGATACATGATTAGACCGGTCTTGCATTCGCGCGCGAGCAAAGTAAGGCTCATCTGCAGCGGGTGACTGTGAAAATCGATCGACCACGCTGTTCCTGCTTCCGTCCGGTACATGGCTCAGATCTCCTGCACTGAGACCCTTGTTCATGCCGTTCGGAACTCTGCTTCGAGCATAAAAGTCAGGATTATGGCCGTATGAATGGACAAGGAGTCTTACTTGGTGTGCTGTTTGCTTGCAGAAGACATTGTGGGTAAAACTCAAGCTATGCCACCGGCCTGTACTAAAATAAAGTGATAGTTGTGTAACGGTACGCCAAAACGAGTATTATGGCGTTCGAGAGAAGATTGTTCGGTTGTGTGTGTTTCGCTGGCCGTCGCAATAGAGAAAAAACCGGAGAGTTCAATAACGAGCTGGAGTGGTAGGAGTTGTGGTTTTTCTATATGTGAGGTTTTGTGCTGTTGCTGACCGTGTGAATTTGCTAGGGACAAGCATGGAAGGACTATGAGTTTATATACCTCCTTGAGGTAACCATATCCCGCAACTGCTTACAAAGGGAGCCCGACGGTTGTGATACAAGAATAGAAAGAAGAAATCTCCACGATAGCTTAACTCGGAATCGACGAAAATGACTACTCGATGGCGGGTGAGTGACGCAGAGATGGGGATCTTCGGCTTGACTGCATTTTTGGACATCGTATCTCTAACCGTTCACCTGGAACTGCCCCGATGATTATCTTCATTTGCTTTGACCGGAGAACCAAGCCTGTTTAGGTCCGCCACATGGTGAGATGGGGCTCTGCCCTGCATATGCTTTAGCAGCCCACTTAAAGGGACCCACCAAGGCATTGCCATGACGGAAACTACAAAATTAGTTTCACGGGCCCTAGCCCCAGAAGAGGCTGGTTTGCCGATGATCATCTGGCGGCAGGGAGTTGAAACTGGGATATGAAGTAAGACTGGTGCCAAGTTGGGGCAGAGTTGGATACGGAATGGACATTCTGGGGAACCCATGACCGACAGGTAACAGGCGCATCAGCCGAGGAGGAAGCGTTCTCCCCCATCCTTTCGGTATGCAATTCTGGGTCCAGTAAGGCTAAGCGAACTATGGGGTAAGG